AATAATATATTAATATATATTAAATGTCAATGATTTACCAAATGAAAATTCAATTAAAGGATTTACATACCCGGTATGTATTTTTAATTTCATTTGAAGGCTTAATCCTAGTTAAGTAACCTTTTTACCAGATAGTTGTTTTTGTTTTTTAAGCTATACCTTTTCTTTTGCAACCACTCAGTGTGTGTTTTTGTCCTGTTATGCTGCCTGTCTCCCTGTAAATTATAGCTAATCATGGTGGGCCATTTCTGGAGCCAGTCCGGCCCTGGGGGGGAACCAGAGCATCACCTCCCTGCAAAAGGCAAAAATCTGAAACCCATTTCTTTGGGGACAGTGCCACCTTGTGGTTACCCTTAAAACACTCAATGTTAGGATGTAACACTAAATTCATTTGAACCTTTCTTGCCCATTTGAATTCCTCTACTGTTTCTCCTCCTTTTTAAGGGGATTTATTTTAAGTATTTATTTTATCCTGGATATCTCTCCGTCGCTCTCTGACAGCGATCTGATTGTTTAGTTTTTTGCTTCTTCTCTCCATCAGCCAGGCTCCACCACCTGTTTTTAAAATCCTTTCACCCAGTCAGAGTTTCCTTCCTGGTTTTATTCCAAGTAGGGTTCTCTTCTAAATTATATTTTATTGTTCAGCACTTTGGCAAGTCTGCTCTGGTTCTGAAAATGGGTCCATTTAACTGGCTGCATTTTAAGGATGTAGATGCAGAAAATGAAGGTAGATCAAGAAAATTACAAATGTGTGAGACAGGCTAAGTGATCACGCATTGATCTGTACGTAAAATCTTTTTTTTTTTCATTTAAAATTTTTTGTTTTAATTATTTTTTTGTTTTGTTTTTCTGTTAAGATAAAAAAAAACTTGTAAAATATCTGGAAAGAAATAAAATAGTTTTTCTGACCACTGTTAATTCATATTTACTAGATTTTTTTATTGAATGCAGTCAGGTTCTCTTAGCCAATCAAATTCAAGCTCTTGATGCTTAATACGCACTGAGTAAATGTTAAGTTCAAGAGAAAATAAACTAACCATAAAAATTTACTGCTGGACTGTAATTTACCTATATGAACATAAAGCTGTCACTTGGTATCTCCCAGGATGGAATCTGTCACTTGGTATCTCCCAGGATGGAAGCTGATCCATGGTATCTCCCAGCATGGAAGCTGATCCATGGTATCTCCCAGCATGGAAGCTGATCCATGGTATCTCCCAGGATGGAAGCTGATCCATGGTATCTCCCAGGATGGAAGCTGATCCATGGTATCTCCCAGGATGGAAGCTGATCCATGGTATCTCCCAGGATGGAAGCTGATCCATGGTATCTCCCAGGAAGGAAGCTGATCCATGGTATCTCCCAGGATGGAAGCTGATCCATGGTACCTCCCAGGATGGAAGCTGATCCATGGTATCTCCCAGGATGGAAGCTGATCCATGGTATCTCCCAGGAAGGAAGCTGATCCATGGTATCTCCCAGGATGGAAGCTGATCCATGGTATCTCCCAGGATGGAAGCTGATCCATGGTATCTCCCAGGACAGGATGGAAGCTGATCCATGGTATCTCCCAGGATGGAAGCTGATCCATGGTATCTCCCAGGATGGAAGCTGATCCATGGTATCTCCCAGGATGGAAGCTGATCCATGGTATCTCCCAGGATGGAAGCTGATCTATGGTAAATCCCAGCTGGGACTCAGGAAATTATGCTTCCTTGAAACTTCTTTCTGATCTGAAAGCATTTTTTTTTTCAGCTCCGAGTTCCTCTGCTCTGTGATCCAGAATTTAGACTAAACACCCAACAACCACAGGAATCCTTAGAGTGAAGACCTTTTGCAGCTGTTGAAGTTCACAGAAGCATTGGATCATCAGCCTCAGACCAGAACCTTAGATGACAGACATCAGACATGGTTTCACTCATTCCTTTTAACAGAATTATGGAGCCTCTGCCCTTTTTGCTCCCAGTACACAGATGCCCTTTTGGTCAAAATTCTTCTTTAATTACATTTTTCCCCCCATATCCCTGCCTCTAACACCTAGTAAAAATCATGTATTATGTTATTTTTGTATTTCATTAGAGAAATAAAATGAAGCCGCCGGTCAGCTTATCTTTGACCTTTAGCCTCTTTGAAGCATGCAGTAATTGGTGAAGCCAGACAGAGAAGCAGGATCTGGGGGGGGGGGGGAGAAGATTATCATCTGATCTTTTAGCTTTAATCATTCAGAGAAGAGTTTGTTGTTGAAACATCCAGGTTATTTTATTTATCATTAGCACCTTTATCACAGCACAATTAAAGGATGCTTTCTGATCCTCTAGATTTTAATTGCATCAAAGCTAAATATGTCTGATGATATACATCTCTAATTCAGAATAGCAGTACTTCCTTATAATGAAAGGCAGAGGGAAATTCTGAAAGGGATCAAATATTTAATGCACATCCATATACAGCTCTTTATTAGGAGAGTGATGTGTAGTGGTTAGGGCATTGTGCTTGGAATCCAGAGGTGCCGAGTTTAAGCCCCACTCCCACAGACTCTAGATCCCTAAGCAAGACTCTTAACCCCACACTGCTCCCAGGGTGCCGTACAATGGCAGCCTACTGCTCCCCAAGGGGATGGGTTAAATGCAGTTAATTTCATTGCTCTGTACTTGTGACAGTGCAATGACAATAAAAACCCCAAATCAAGTTGGATTTCTTCATGCTAAATATTTTGGTCTACTTCATAGAAAACTGAACTGTAAGCTGTATGAGTCTGTTTTTTTAATTAGTTTTTATCCTGAGTGATCTCTGTGCAGACAAAATTATGATAACATTGTATTTAAAAGGTGAATTTTAAAGCACATAGGGTCACTGTATTCAACAAGAAGCTATAAAAAGAAAAGTTAGGAAGAAAAAAATAGAAAAGTGGAAGGTAAAATAATAGAACAGAACAGCAGAGGCTGACCCTTGAGAGCAATAGTACATAGAGGTAATATGGAGAGAGATGATGATGACCTTCAGGAGGTTCTGAATAAGCTCAGATTAAATATTAGATTAAAAGTTCCCCGTTTCCCTCTGCTGGTCTTTACCAATAAAGTAGGAGCTGAAGAGGAAACCCCTGAATCGAAGGTTTTCAGTTTTTTGTGCTGGGGATCCACAAACTACACTTCCAGCTTTGACCACTAGGTGGCAGCGTTTTACTAGAAACGATTTAAAATAATTAGTTTAAATTTAAGAATTAAAAAAGTTTCTTTAACAACCTAAAGTGTCCTTGACTCAGAACATTGCTGTGGTACCTTTATGGACAAACTGACACATAATTTAATCAGAACCACCTAATTTGTTTTCAATTCTGTTCATCTTTTTGTGAGTGGCGGCCTAATGGTTAGGGCATAGGGTTTGGAATCCTGAGGTTGTGAGTTTGAAACCCACTGCCACTCTGGCTCTCTGAGCAACACCACTAACCCCTGATCGCTCCCTGGGTGCTGCATATTGCCCCCCCCACCCCTCCCCAAAGGGCATGGGTTAGATGCAGAGAATGAATTTCTCCATTGTGAGATCAATAAAATTCTATATGTTTATTTTACCTGTAAAATTCAAGTCGCTTCTGTAGGGACTGCAGGTTTAATCCTCAGGTACCAGCCAGGCTCCAGTCCAAACAGAACTGGTCCAGTGTTCTTAACCGAAGCAGGTCCAGCAGCTTTGAGAGGATGAAGTGTCCCGTTGGTATCATTGACCCAGTTGCTTTATCTCCCGCACACATGGCGGGTTTCCATGTTTCCCCTGCTCCTCCATCGATCAGGGGAAACGGATCGCTCCGGTTCTGCTATAAATACTCCCAGAGCCGTCCGTGTCCTTGAACAGTCCTCCTCCTCTTCATCAGTTAGCAGTTATTTCTGTCTCGGTCTATAAACTGTAAAGTGGTGTCAGCCTCTGGACAAGCAGAGATTAACAAGAACCACGTACAGAACCTTCTGCACCCACTTTGGACACAGCCTGTGATGGTCCACTGATGCCCTTCAGACGTACCACTGTTTGTAATCAGCAGCCTCAGACCGGCACCAGAGCAGAACCTCAGGTGGTTCCAGTGTGTGGGACCTTCACTGCAAGCAGCAGTTCTGACAGAACTCTCCACACCAACAGAGAGAACACAGATTCCGATTGTTTGGTTCAGGAGAATAATTTAATGAGTTTACAGATTTGATATGTTCAAACTTTCACACCAACAGAACACATCCTGATCAGAACCAACAGATCTGTGGCTGTATTATTTCCCCTTAAACACTCAGAGGAGATGTTTATGTTCAACCTTCAGAACCTCAGAACCACCAAGTGAGAAGGACCATCTTCAGCTGTCTGAGTCAAAGGAAAGGAGTACCTGATAGAACCCGGATTATCGGAACATTACAAGGATCAGAGCAGAACCCAGGAACATCTGTTGGTACGGAGGGCCGGAGCTGAGGCAGATACAAATCCCTAAACCCAACCACCAGATGCAACCTGATGAAACTCAAGAGACTGGATCTGCACCAGCCTTCTGATGTCAGAAGTCAAGAATTCCTGCAGTGATCATTTCTCAATGTTCCCTCAGTTCATTTTCTAACAGTTTCATCAGATTTTATTTGAACTAACTAAGCTGGCATATCTGTTCCTCTCCCTTTACAGGACAGACGTGCAGAAGCAGAACCTTTCATTGCGATATTCTGGACAGAAAGTCAAAACTCTGATCTTTTTCTGGTCACTGAAGGCACCATAGCAGACCTGATTACAGTAAAAGAGTGTTTACACTGCTGATCCAGAGTCAATCAACACACATCAGAAAACTGAAAGGGCACATAATTCCCAATTGTTTAATTATTCACTAAAGATGAACTACCTTCTCTCCATTAATAAATATCACAGCATTTTCATATCTCTACGGCAGTCATTGTCAAACAGCGGTACGTTTACTGGTGGTGTTACGGAGCACGACTTTAATAAAAGTGAAATCTGGATCTCTGGAATTGTTTTATTTTATTTGACTGCAGCTGAAATCATCAGACCTGCAGAGATGCACTAAACTAAAATGGGACTAAAGTTGGTTCTGAACCATTTATAGAAGAAAAACTGAAAAAGAACAAGAAGGTCCAGTAAAACAAACAGTGTTCTGATCCTGAGCGTGAAGAACAGTCCGGAGTCAAAGGGGGTTTCAGTGTCACACATACACTTGGGCACTTTCAAAATAAAGGTTCTTCCCACCGGTTTGATCGAGCTTGAAGCTCATTGAGCGCTTGTGACTCTGCAGATGCCTTCATGCGGGGTGGCGGGGGTGTTCTGCTAGGTTTGGGTCAGATGTGTATTTTCAGGTGTGTGTGTGTGTTAGGAGGAGGAGGGCTTGCTGTAATCTTCTACCCCGGTGATGGTGGCTTTACAGAAGAAACAGTCCTTGTTGTTCATCAGATGTTGGTTGATGCAGGCTCTGCACAAAGAACACATTAGAATCAGAACCTGCAGAACTAAGAACGTTCTGACTAGGATAAAATTTAAGACAAAAAATAAAAATAAAAAAAACAGTTTTTCACTGGTATAGGTCTACACTACTGGGAACAGTCTAAACTGGATCTACTGGGAACAGTCTAACCGGATCCACTGGGAACAGCCTAAACCGGATCCACCGGGAACAGCCTAAACCGGATCCACTGGGAACAGCCTGAACCGGATCCACTGGGAACAGCCTAAACCGGATCCACTGGAAACAGCCTAAACCGGATCCACTGGAAACAGCCTAAACCGGATCCACTGGAAACAGCCTAAACCGGATCCACTGGGAACAGCCTAAACCGGATCCACTGGAAACAGCCTAAACCGGATCCACTGGAAACAGCCTAAACCGGATCCACTGGAAACAGCCTAAACCGGATCCACTGGAAACAGCCTAAACCGGATCCACTGGAAACAACCTAAACCGGATCCACTGGGAAGAGCCTAAACCGGATCCACTGGAAACAGCCTAAACCGGATCCACTGGAAACAGCCTAAACCGGATCCACTGGAAACAGCCTAAACCGGATCCACTGGAAACAGTCTGAACCGGATCCACTGGAAACAGTCTGAACCGGATCCACTGGAAACAGTCTGAACCGGATCCACTGGAAACAGTCTGAACCGGATCCACTGGAAACAGGCTGAACTGGATCCACTGGAAACAGCCTAAACTGGATCCACTGGGAACAGTCTGAACTGGATTCACTGGGAACAGCCTAAACTGGATCCACTGGGAACACCCTAAATTGGATCCACTGGGAACAGTCTACACTGGATCCACTGGGAACAGTCTACACTGGATCCACTGGGAACAGTCTAAACTGGATCCAGTGGGAACAGCCTAAACTGGATCCACTGGGAAGAGCCTAAACTGGATCCACTGGGAACAGTCTAGACTGGATCCACTGGGAACAGTCTACACTGGATCCACTGGGAACAGGCTGAACTGGATCCACTGGAAACAGCCTAAACTGGATCCACTGGGAACAGTCTGAACTGGATCCACTGGGAACAGCCTAAACTGGATCCACTGGGAACAGCCTAAATTGGATCCACTGGGAACAGTCTACACTGGATCCACTGGGAACAGTCTACACTGGATCCACTGGGAACAGTCTAAACTGGATCCAGTGGGAACAGCCTAAACTGGGTCCACTGGGAAGAGCCTAAACTGGATCCACTGGGAACAGTCTAGACTGGATCCACTGGGAACAGTCTACACTGGATCCACTGGGAACAGTCTAAACTGGATCCAGTGGGAACAGCCTAAACTGGATCCACTAGGAACAGCCTAAACTGGATCCACTAGGAACAGCCTAAACTGGATCCACTGTGAACAGCCTGAACTGGATCTACTGGGAACAGTAAATTTTAGGTGTCCCTTGATCACAATTCAAGAAAGGCTTTAAGTTTGCCAGACCCAGCTTTTGATGCAGATGCACAAGAAAAAAATTAGTGCAACCTTCTACATATTGTAAATGTAAGGTTGAAAATATAATTTTCCCCTTTTGTCAATAATATTTTGGGATTAACTTTTATTTAATTGTAAATAGTCAACTGATGACTTTTATGTATGAGCAGAATGAGCCAATAAACAAAAGTTAGCAAAATAAAGCCGGAGTGACCCATTTCATTTCCCCATAAAAGACAAAATATATCTAGAAAAATATTGCATCATTTGCTGCATTTTTCTTTTTAACTAAGCAAATCTTTTTCTACTAAAACTTCAGTGATTTGCAAATCAAATCATCTTTTAAAATACTGTTTGATTAAGTAACTTTTAATCTAGAAAATAATGTAAATCATAACTTTTGGCGTGCTTGGACAAATCTAACTTGACATTATTTGCCCTCATGCCAAAAAGACGCCACTGCTATACGCTGAATTTAATAAATAAAACGTAGTGCGTCTTTACATTCAACTACTTATGTTAGTTGTAATAAATACTTACTTAACAAACAAAATTAGTCTTATTACATTTTATTCAGCTTAGACTGATTTATAAAATATAGCAAAGCGGGAATGAGTGAATACAGAGAAATAATTATAGATATAATCCCTAAGAGATGTAAAACTATCAGCGTATGTCACTCGTATATGCTGTCAGACTTCTTGCCGCTTCATTTTGATGAAGTGGGCGGTAACTGTGACAGATCTGTTTTCAGCATGATCTATCAGTAGAATGAGCAACAATTTGTGCTCTCAGCTGTGTTTTAAACAAGTGGTTGAGGTTACTCTCATAGGGATGTTAAAACTTGGCTCCATGAAGTGCATTAACCCACCAAAGTTTCAATCAACCATGCTTGTCTTTCTATGACTTTACAAATGCTTTGCTTAATACCCTCCGGTACTCAGTAATGCAGCACAGCTCAACAGGAGCCATTTAGGTAATAATTACAACCCATAAAGTCTATTCTGCATCCTTGTTAACATTAAAATGTGTTCTAGACAGTTGCACATGTTCACGGTTATTCTTTTGCAAGGTTAAAGGGATGCTGTTATGCCACGTGTGGCTCTTTGGACTCACTTGCAGGACTTGTGCGAGCAGGGCCTGAACACAGCAGAGATGGAGTGGGCGTAGCAAATGGGACAGAGATCTTCCTCACTGGTTGGCTGAAAAAAGCAGAACGAGATCTTTTTATAACAACAGAACCAGTTTGCAACAAACCAGATCAACCCCTTTAATGCTGCTGCTGAGGTCACATGACAACAAGTGCCCCAGTTGGTGCAGTGCATTATGGGAGCTGGGAGTTAATATGAGGTTTCACAGTTGCACAGGTGGCTCCACTCATTCATCCATCCATAGTTTTAGAAATGAGTGACTAGATCAGATCCCTGAGAGGAGATGGAATATTATACGGCTCACAGTGAAATACTTTAAATTTCAAAGTTTCAATTAAAGAGTGTTACTGGAGGACGGAATAATTAATATATATCTATTTTTTGAAATATTACTTTTGTAAGATTAAAAAAGTATTTTAATGGCAAATCGAGGTCAATTGCAATTACCAAAAATAGTAATTTACCCAAATATGGTAAAAAAAATTAAAAATAATCCAAAGAGTGCTTCAATAAGAGATTCATGAAAACAAACTTATAGAAAGAAACAAGATCTCTCTTTAGAACATTAACGCTGGTACAGGACATGATTTTTTTAACTGTTTAAATTAGCTTCATGACTTTTTACTTTAAGTTTTAAAATAGCTTAATTTAAAAAAAAAAGGGTGTCATTTACATTAGAGAACACGTCTGATGAGTTGTGGCGCTTATATCCAAGCTACCAAAATTGATAAATTGGATGTTAAAGGGTTAAGATTATTTTACTGGTTTAGTAGGAAAACAGAAGCAGCTCTCAGGTGAAGTGAGCTGTAGAAACATCAAGATGAGAAAATTCTAATAAAAAGCTGATCAGAATGAATATCATTAAAATTACTCCTTATTAGAAATACGGCCCATTTGCGACCGGATGATTCACAGGAAGCTCAAACACCTCCGAGATGACTTTAAGAATAACTTAAAGAGAAACAGTACATCCTCAGAACTTCATGAGGAACCAGTAAACGACACAGTAGGAGGAGAAGGAAGAAGCTTTCCATCAAAATGAGTAACTGAAGCTGTTCCAGCAATATCTGCCGAGACTGAGCTGCACACACACAGACTGTGGATGGTTCTGTTCTCCATCAGCAGTAGGAGAACCCTAACCTGCAGTGGGCCGCTGATTGTTCCAGTATGATGATGGTGGACAGCTATCGGTTTTACACTGTTGATCTCAATCTCTAACCATGGAAAAAAAACTCCACAATACTGTCAGAGTCTTCAAATTGGGAAAGAATCCACGTCTCTGAACCTGGTTTCAGGACTGCAGTGTTGAAGTCCTGGTTTAGACAGCTCACACTGGACAGACTGCTGGTCCTGTGGGTCTGAAAGAGGCTGTAAGGACTATTTCCTGGAAGATGCTAACTAACAGACAGAGGTTCCTCCGCCTGGAAGATGTTTTTAGGAGCAGAACCAGATAGAGGAGCCTGTCTGCTGCTAATGTGCTTTATGTGGAGGTTCCAGCAGGTTCTCTGTGTTCAGACTGCAGCTCTATTCTGTCCAATCCGGAGCAGCAGGATGGTTATTTTACTGCAAGATGCTGCTGAGAGTCTAAAGGTCGTCTCTGTAAGGTCACTGCCTCCCTGCATGTCCTGCAGGACCCGTCAGAACCCGAGATGTGACCTTTCCATGAGTTTGGACCCTGTAGGGAGGTTCTGATCTCCAAACTTTGGTCTCATGTTGTTTAAGCAGAAATCTGGGCCACTGAGCAGAATTCCTGCAGGGAACCCAGATCCTGTGATGTTAATCCTGTTGTTAGCATGAAGAGGAGGGGGGTGCATGTAGGTCAGCAGAGGGAGGCAGCAGAGCCTCCTCTGACGGAGGACTAGGGGGGCACAGAGAGGACATGGAGGACTGTCTGAAGGTGGAGGAAAGGAGCGGTCTGAGCGGGTTGAGTTTATACATCAAAAACATGACGCCATCACACTGAGAACAGTCGAGTTTTCTGCTCACATTTAAAAATGTACATCATAACGAGGCGAGAACTTTCTGAACGAGATAAACGTTACCCTTTATGAAAACTAAGCTGGCATATCTGTTCCTCTCCCTTTACAGGACAGACGTGCAGAAGCAGAACCTTTCATTGCGATATTCTGGACAGAAAGTCAAAACTCTGATCTTTTTCTGGTCACTGAAGGCACCATAGCAGACCTGATTACAGTAAAAGAGTGTTTACACTGCTGATCCAGAGTCAATCAACACACATCAGAAAACTGAAAGGGCACAGAATTCCCAATTGTTTAATTATTCACTAAAGATGAACTACCTTCTCTCCATTAATAAATATCACAGCATTTTCATATCTCTACGGCAGTCATTGTCAAACAGCGGTACGTTTACTGGTGGTGTTACGGAGCACGACTTTAATAAAAGTGAAATCTGGATCTCTGGAATCGTTTTTTATTTTGAAAAACGATTTTTAGTGTGTGCTGGTCTAATTCATAACCTCTTATCAGTCCCTTATTAGCCAGTCAATGCATTGGCCGATTCTAACTAGGCAGACAAGGCGCCAGCCATTTCAGCACTGGACAGTACCACCCCAGGTTAAAGTAATAGTACACCCAAAACATGATTAGCCTTCATTTTCTACTCACCCCCATGCTGAACAACACCCTGGAGTACTTTTTTGATATCTCAAATGCATCTGGAGATCTGAGAGGCTTCTTGCTGTCTGCTGACATTCAAATAATGGAGGTCTATGGCGCCCGAGGCAGAAAGGTCCATAAAAGTCCACAAAAAATGTGTCAATATTCCTCCATACTGCTCGTCCAATGTATTGCAAGTGTCCTGAGTGGGTAGCATCCAGAATTTACTCGAAACGAAGTCATTAAGAATGTTTTTAGGGCATAAACAGTAGTGTATAGGATTTCCTGAAAGCGCGTTCACGACGCTACGGAAACCGCGGCAGACCAAACCAGACGAAAGTGCGCATTCAGCTCGGCAAAGAACTCATGCTCTTCCTCAACACTGAAGTCCTCAGACATTTTTCTTTCGTCGTTTCTTTCTTTGGACAGGTAAACAGCACATTTCTTCTTCTATGCTTGCATTATCTGCAGAGCAGACGCTGAATGTGCACTTTCGTCTGGTTTGGTCTGCCGGCTTCCGTAGACTCGTGAACGCGCTTTTAGGAAATCCTATACACTACTGTTTATGATCTAAAAACATTCTAAATGACTTCGTTTCGAGTAAATTATGGACGCTACCCACTCAGGACACTTGGAATACATTGGACGAGCAGTATGGAGGAATATTGACATGTTTTTTGTGGACTTTTATGGACCTTTCTGTCTCGGGCACCATAGACCTCCATTATTTGAATGTCAGCAGACAGCAAGAAGCCTCCCAGATCTCCAGATGCATTTGAGATATCAAAAAAGTACTCCAGAGTGTTGTTCAGCATGGGGGTGAGTAGAAAATGAAGGCTAATCATGTTTTGGGTGTACTATTCCTTTAAATCAGGTTCAGCACTGGACAGAGCCTGTGGTGACTGCACAGCAGGGGCAAACAAGTTAATTGTTTTGGCTAAGGGGTTCTGGGGGACTGCACATCACTCATCCTTTGAAACCCGTCCATCAAATTCTTTCCAATATTTCAGAATTTAACCCTTTGCCATTAGCCTGCACTTCAGACAGGACCCTAAATCCTTCAACAGCACCCATACGAGGCTCCCCAGGTTCAGCACTGGACAGGGCCTGTGGTGACTGCACAGCAGGGGCAGACAAGGTGCCAGCCATTTCAGCACTGGACAGTACCACCCCAGGTTCAATCAGGTTCAGCACTATCCCAACATTTGTCACTATCCCGACAAATGTAGGCGACTAGCGACAAATCTAACAGTATTTTTTGGCGTTGCTGGAAACTTTGGCGACATGTGAAAGCACCCATCTCTCTATAGACTGGAAAAACGATCTGAAAATAATTTAAGAAGTGTATTACTTAAGTGTATTTATCCTTAATGAAATGTATTTATCCTTAATTTGAGTAGGTAAATGAGATAGTTTGCCAATGGAATGAGTATTTTAACTATTAAAGTAAGATAATTAGATAAAATGCAATGGAAATAAGACAATGCAATTGTATTTTCTTATTTTAAATGGAAATTATCTTGTTCCATCGGCAAAATGTCTCTTTTACTTCCTCAATTCAAGAACAAATGCACTTATTTTAAGAAAAAAAGACTTATCTAGATTTGGATTTTTTTTCAGTGTAACGATTCTATCTTTAGTGAGCAACGCTGGTCACTATACAGTGGACAGAAACACAGACTTCTGGACAGAGAGACAAAGTATTCTACCCTTTCTACTAAAGCTGTGTGCTTTCCGTTGCCTCTTACAACAACATGTGTGCGACAAAGACTGCTCATCCCTCGCCTTGACTATATGAGAGCCCAGAAACAGGCTGGATGCAGAAAAACATCTCAGAGTTGAGCCGTCCTCTGTTGAGCTAGAAATTAAAAGTCAGACAACCAAACCTTTGGCTTCTAAGAAATGAAAATATTCCTGTCACAATCATTAAAAATAAGATGGTTACATTGAGACTGACACTAATGTTCTTACAGCTGTTAATGACTTGGTCCATTTTTTATTGCAGAGCAGTTCACATTACCACAATTACTAATATTCTGCTGACTAAAGTCATTTTCCTCAAAGAGGTTCAGATTATTTGCAGTGCGTCTGTAAATGGCCTTATCCGTTTCTCTGAACAACAGTTATCCTTTTTGGTTGCCAAGTCCTGCACTACAGTATATTACATTTATGCATTTCAAACATAAAATTTTTGTAGCTGTGGAAGTAAAAACATAAACCACATTCAAACTACCCATAAACTGTTTTATCTCCATTTTGTTGTATATTGTTGTGTTTTATAGGCTGACATTGTGGTGGTACTTGAAGATCTCACATTAGTTTAAGGTGGTATTCAGAGAAAAGAGTTTGAGAGCATCTGATCAACAGTTATTCAAAAGATCAACATGGTTTTCATTGTCTGATCTACTTTGCTCCTATGATTCGCAGCGGTTCGGATCAGATCAGAGCCTCTGCGGTTCCGAGGACATGACGGAAACTCAGTGATCAAATCCCAAACAGCGGGAATGCTCCTGCTTCGTACGCCATTTTTAGATCTGCTCTGAAAACCCACCTCTTCTTGATGCCAGGCGCTGAACCAATACTAGTTGTGGATTCTATTTTATAGAAACTGCTTTATTTACATGTTTTTTTTCTGAATCATTCTGTTTAAATTTCTAGTTTTTTTTGTTGCTGTTTCTTTGAATTGTTCTCATTTTTCATCAGTCAGTTCCTGCTGTTAATAATATGAATGTTTCCATTTAGGACTGAAACAAATGGGCCGGAGAAGAACACGGTTTATTCCAAACTTCCTGCAGAGCAGACGTTCTCACTGAACCTGAACAAATTTACAGCAGAAGGAAGATGATCTCCGTTAAAGGTCAACCGGACACTCAGCAGCGCTGTGGAGCACCTGGTTCTGGTGCTTCAAGTTGCTGTCCTGGTGATTCCAAGCAAACAGAGGGTTCTGGGTCGCTGTGTGTGTGTTAATGGAAACACTGGGAGAACTGGAGATGGCAGCTTTTCAAACACTTATGATTTAATCAGTTAGGGCTGAAGGAGAAAACTGCTCCAGGATCAGCTGCTGGGTTTCTGTTGATTCTGGAGGATGACAGGTTCTGATTGGTTAGCTTCTACAGAAAACATGTCCTCCTTTATACATTCAGATCCGAGCAGAACCAGATGAACACCTGGTGATCGGGTCCATCTAAGAAAACTGTGGCAGGTGATTAACTTCTGAGATTCAACGGGTTTGGATCAGAACCAGAAAGGCAGCCCGTGAGCAGAGCCCTGTGTCTGTGTGAGGAATTGATAATGGATAAGAACCAGACCAGCTGCAGAGAAGACAAACACAGGAGACCACGCCACAACAGCTTGAGGTTGGAGAAGCTCCCGGACCAGGACCTGAGCGGTTTGGAGTTCCAGAGGGTTCAGGATTGATTTGCTAGAATTCAAGGAATCCAAACCAGAAGATTTAGGCTGGATATCAGGAGTTCCCAGACATGAACCAGGGCCCTGATCTACAAAAGCATGCACAACTCCCATTCTGAATGTTTCCAGTAGGGAGACATTTCTAAATCTGAGGTGCACAAAAATAATTTCGTAGCCTGAAGCTGCGGGCGCACGTCACCACACTGTTTACCTTAATACAACCCATAGTCTTGCATGTTTTTTCAAATACTACTGCAGGGGCAGGGCTCCTCCAGGTTTACAATCCATTCTGAGTAAACATTGGAAATAAAACAAATTTTGGGGAAAAAAATTGTTAAATTCTCATATTTTAAAACAATTCAGCATTTCTGTTTTTTTTTGCCAAATATCCCTGTTGTTTACACACACACTTGTTTTACCAGCTGAAACAAAAAACTTTCACATCACAGGTTTTGTGGGGAACCTCCTGTGGAGTTAATATCTAAACATAATTTAATATCCTGGGTTGATTCCGTTCACAGATGGCTGCCACTAATCCTAATGTTGGTGGCTGAGAAACCTAAACCCAGGATAAGTGGGTTTAATATGATTTCATTTAATTCCTGTTGGGAACGGCTTCTGCTGTGCATGTGCGTGTAATGTTTACATTCTGTCTGTTTGAACATTGAGCTCACTGATTGTAATGCAAACCAAAACCTTATTCAAGTATATTAATATGGCCTCCATATTACTATTGTTAATATGCCACCACTTTATTTTTTTATTCTTTTTTTATTTTTGTTTCAACGAATATTAAGCTTACATCTAACTGCAATTTCTGTTATGGTTTTTAGATTTAATTAATAAAAGCTAAAGAAAAAAATAGGAGCAATTAGTTGATTTTTGGTGTCTTTTTTTTTCCTCCATATAAAATGTCATCAACATTTTTAAGGCAGGTCATAAATCTTTGTGAATTAACACATTTTTAGCATGTTAATTTTCAGACGTGTCGACAATGCGTTGCAGTTTTCTTTTTATGTTCACGAGCTTCGTTCAGCAGTTCTCGTCTCTGATCTCCTCTAATGGGACCTCAGGTCCACCGCCTCCTGCCTGCAGCCCAGCCTGACGTCATTCCCACCCTCTCAGTGTTTCAGAGACCCATCAGAGATCCATTAGGGAGGCTGTGGTTCTTCTGAACTCGCAGCACTTTAACTCTGAGCAGCTGAACTTCAGAGTGATGACCTGCGATACTGTCCATTACGAACCTCTGCTGAGAAAGTTGCACTTTATTAGATTTACAGTCTGTGTGAACCTGACGTTGCAGATCAGAGATTTATCCTCTCTGTGTATCCATCGGTGATAAATCCTGCTATGCAGAGGCCCGGCCCAGCCCGGCTCAGGTTTCCAGACTGAGAGGAGAAGGAGGACGCCTGGAATCTTGTTCCGTCACATTCAGCTGCTGGGAAGGCTGTCGGCTGGCCAACAACTTCTGAGGAAAACCAAACTGCTGGAGGCTATGAGTAGGAAGGAGCTGCTGAGGATCTGATTGAATGTTTGGGCCCAGATTGATCCCAGAAATAGAGCAGGTGCAGACAATGGTGGGATGTCTCAGCTGCCGGGAAGAAGCAGAGGCTCTACTGCTGCTCCGACCTCAGAACCAGCATCTTAGGACAACTTAGAAAATGCATCACCATAGGAGAGGATGTGAGGTGCGGCGCTCAAAGCTTTAGAGGCAGAACTTACTGCTGTGGAGGCGGCGGCCTGTTTAGACTCTTCAGTGAGAAACTCCAGCATCATCTCAACCTTCTGCTTCTCCTCCTGGCTGATGTAGTCGGTGTCTGTGGGCAGGAAAACACAGAACGGGATTTAATGACTCACACATCGGCCTAAAAGGGTTCTGACAGGTTACAGCTTCAGAACATGACGTCTTCTGTACTTTTAACCCCTTGGTTCTACAGACACAGAGCAGAAACAGATTCAACGGTGTGTGTGTGGAATCTAAAGCTGCTTAAAAACATGATTGGATCTGATCTCAGCCTCTGACAGATGACTCGTTAAAAACAGTGCTTCATCTGCAGGTCCAAGTAAAACCCAGAGAACAGAACAGGTTTGCCTCTGATACTAAGACAGATGTTCAGCTACACAATCAAAAGCAATCAGCAGTCAGTCAGAATTTATCTGGTGCCAAAATCTGATGGAGCTAAAAACCTCAGAACATCCATCTGGATCTTAGCTGATCCAACGTGTCTAAAGCTCAGCATCCATTTAATGTCGGACTCTTCCACAAACCTTCAGGATCACATCAGGTTTCAGTCTGGTTCTGTTGCGGGATTAAGTCCTGGAACATCTTTTCCATTCCTCTGGGTTTTCAGCCTCAAGTATAAAATATGTGAAATTCACCAAAATTTACCACAACTCTGTTCTGAAAACCAATGTTCTATAATCCAATATTCAGTTATCTCAACATTCTAAAATCCATTGTTCTATAATCTAATACTCTGATGTCTCAATGTGCCATAAGCCAATGTTATGTTCATGTATGCTAATCCAATGTTTTATTTTAATCTAATAATCCAATTTTTTGTTTTAATCTAATAATCCAAGGTCTTATTTTAATCTAATAATCCAAGGTTTTATTTTAATTTAATAATCCAAGGTTTTATTTTAATCTAATAATCCAATGTTTTATTTTAATCTAATAATCCAATGTTTTATTTTAATCTAATAATCCAAGGTTTTATTGGGATCTAATAATCCATTGTTTTATTTTGTTCTAATAATCCAATGATTTATTTTAATCTAATAATCCAAGGTTTTATTTTAATCTAATAATCCAAGGTTTTATTTGGATCTAATAATCCATTGCTTTATTTTGTTCTAATAATCCAATGATTTATTTTAATCTAATAATCCAAGGTTTTATTTTAATCTAATAATCCAAGGTTTTATTTTAATTTAATAATCCAATGTTTTATTTTAATCTAATAATCCAAGGTTTTATTTTAATCTAATAATCCAATGTTTTATTTTAATTTAATAATTCAATGTTTTATTTGGATCTAATAATCCATTGTTTTATTTTGTTCAAATAGTCCAATGATTTATTTTAATCTAATAATCCAAGGTTTTATTTTAATCTGATTACTAAAGTCTATTGTTCTACAATAAAATATTTTGTGAATTCAAATAGTCTGTTAATCCATTGTTATGACAATCAATTCTATGTTAAAATGATAATCTAATAATCCACACTCTTCTTCAGTCACCAATAACAAACTCTAAAGAGCTCAAACTTTTCACCCAGCCTTCCTTCACACACAGATGTGTGTGGAACCCTGCTGTTGCCACGGTTCCAACATGAGGTCCCTAAAGTCTCCTTGGACCTTCTGACCTGTTCATAGCCGTATCAATCTCAAAGTTTAGATGATGTCACTTCCTCTGGGACAGAACTTTTGGTTATCTGAGCAGCTTCTGAGAGTCCAGGCTCATACTGAGGAGTCCTGTAACATTAGAGAACCTGGGAGGAGTTGTGGAAGTCTTGGGTCTTTCTACAGAACATCAGATAGTTCTGGGTGGTCTTCTTGGACAGAGGAAGCTTCTCACTGTGGGCGTAGATAAGCAACATCGAACTGCTGATGAAGTTCAGTTGCTGGTCTTGTTGGATCTCATTGAACTTCTTCACTGCAGCAGAACTTGTCATCCTGAAGTTCTTGATTTTCTTCCAACTCCAGGGCTGCTCTGACCCTCAGTGAAGATCCTTTAGTGTTTCCTTAGTACCTCTACCTTCATTAGAACATCTGAGCTGTAGGGTTCAGAGAAAGGGAAGATCTGCAGGCTTCTTGATATTTATAGGAAAACTCTTGAAAACTTTCTAACATCAGGAAATGCTGAGGCTGCAGACACATACCTCTGCAGACCTCACAGTGGTTCTGGTCACCGAGTGGACATGAACAGAAGCTCAGTGGAGACTAAAGGATGTTAAAGTGCCACTTCCCGACCGCAGTGTGATCAGATGAGAGGTTCCGTACAGACAACTTCAACAGCTGGGTCAAAAGGTTGAAGTAAAGATGATCCAGATCCATGGAGCTCACAGACAGCTGGTAGATAGACTGTAGGAACCAGCTAATACACTGAGTCATTTTTGAAAAAAGTAGTTTTCCTGCACCGTACTTTTTACTTTTACTTGAGTAATCCTCTGAAGTATCTGAGTAAACGGTCTGTCTACTCTTTCCACTTTGGATTACCTCCCTGAACGAAGAGTAAACCTGTTTTATTAAAAAAAATTATAATAAATCACATTAAAAAGATTCTTCCTATTTCTAAAAAAACTGGCGCTTTGATGTAGTTTTCTGCTGAGTCATGCAGAGGTGGGGCTAATATGTCTTATAACAGAAGATACTTGATTCTAACTTGAATATATCACCTGCCGGAAGGACTGGTTTCATTAGCTTGGTGTTGGTAGAGCTTCTTCTGCCTGATTTGTTTTTATTTTCCAATCACCTTTATTGTTTTCTTGTTTATCTTAGTCTAAAACAACATAATTTATATAAAACTTTGAAATTCAGTTACATAATTAAATATACAATATTAATAATAGTAATCTTAAATATGTGAAAACGTTTTACTGTTTTGGGCTGAAATCTTTTCTAAGCTGGGATTTAAACAATCCAGGAGAGACCCTCCATCAGTTAAATCCTCCTCTCCTCCTATTTGATGGGGTTCGATCCATGTCTCCATTTCCTCCTGCTCCATCAGACGGATCGTGTTTCTGTGGTGAACCGACAGCGCCTCATCTGAGCTGCGATATTGGTGTGTTGGCCCGCTGCCAGGTGGATGATCCCTGCTCCAGCAGGATGGGTGGAGGTGAAGGCCGGCTGTTAGCAGAGGAACTGACAGCTTCTGCTGGCAGAACCCAACAATCAGAAAGTCTAAAATATTTGCCCACAAACCAGAGTCCATTAAAGGTCCGCCGGGCGATCCAGGTTAGTTTTAACTGCTAGAAACGGACCGCCTGAACCTCTCAGGAGCTGTGCTCCTACTGCAGGAACATTTGGTCCTTAATTCTGTTCACACAGGCGAAGGAAAGACTCAAATCTCACATGTTGGACCCTCAGATAGAGACAAAAGTCCTCCTGATCCGATCCAACAGAATCTCAGCTGCTAGGTTTGATCACCCACCTGCTGCTTCAGAAAGAGGAGACGAGAAGAGTCACTTCCTCCACGAGAGGAGTCACAGACTCCACTTCTGGTTCATGATCGCAGACTGAACAGAAAGCTTAATGGAGATCCTAATAAGAAGGACTGATCTCAGAAATGGTTCTAGATCAGAAACTGACATCTCTTCTGCAGCTCATTCCTTTGTTTATTTCACGCCAAACTCCTCGCCCGTCTGACTGACCCAGGGCGGTTTCAGCCCAGCAGATGGGTCTGAACCGGATGTGGACTCCCCAGAACCCAGATCAGTCCTCAGCAGTCTAATCTCAAACAGGTTGGTGCCAGGGGCTGACAGACGGCACGTCTGGCTTCCACTAACCCTACATGATGCTACACAGGGTGGTCATGGAAACTGCTGGTGTTCCCATGGCAACAGAGTTAGATGCTGTTGTGACAAGACCAGCCTCACCTGGCAACAGGAAACACAGACACACAACCACAGCACAACACTTTGAAGAGCAGATGGTGGGACAGAGGCTCCGGGTCTCTATGGCTCCTGGTCTATGAAGATTCAGGTCCAGGTCTCTTTCTTCAAATTTTGCCACACAATATTCAGTTTGAAGTGTTACGATGGTTCTGATGTGGTGAAATATTCACCTTGTGACCAATCAGGGATTTCTATGAATGGTTCAGTAGAACATGGACCTGAAGTTCTACTTAACTTAAACCCTGCTGACCCCAGAACCATCCAAGGGTTCTGATGTTCATGGGTTCGGAATGCTTGGGTTAAAATGCCTTCCATGTTTTTGTGTTTCTGACATCAGTCTGTTCTTAGTGGATGAAGGTCCTTTATCAGAACACATAAAAACCTAAAGCAGTCAACACAAATTTAAAGTAAATTAAAGGTTTCTGCAGCTCAGGCAGAGCCTGTAGAAACATCTAGGAACGCCTGGAGGAACTCACATGCATGCAGGGAGAAATGTTTCCTCTCTGAGGAGTTTACAGCTGCAGAAGGAGCCAGAGGAGCCACAGAGGAACCCAAAGAGGCGGCCACAGGACGGCTGACAGATGACGCATTGGGGGGGTCTCCTGGCTCTCCTAGGAGGTGCTGGATGGAGTGGAGCTGGAAGCAGGGGTCAGAGAGGAGGACGGCGGCAGCTCGAGATGTTCTGCAGAGACACGAAGTGAAGAAAGATGTGATCAGATGTTTGACATCAGCAGCTCAGAGGGCTGGACCTGCACACACCTGACCATGCAGAGGAGCATTTCAGTTCATTCTTAGTTTCCAAGTAAGAATTCGCCACAACACCAGCTGATTTAGTCAGAACAGAAGCTCATGTTTGGCCCCTTAACCCCCATTCTACCCCGAGCTCACAATCTAAGATGGCTGCCTTTTAAATCTAGCTGCAGCTCATCTGAAGATCTCTCAGGTGGATTTTCAGTCCAAAATTATCCCCTCCTGGCCTTCTGACCCAGAGTAAGGAGGTGCTCAGGTTGTCTTAGATTTAGCAGGAGCTGAATGAGATTTCTGAGGAGCTTCATTCATCTCTGTGCTGCGTTCTGGCTGAAAGCTCTCCACTTCCGAAACCGATCTGTTCTGCGGTTCATCTCCAGCTCAGCTCAATTTTCAGTTTCCCTCTCATTAAGGCTCATTATTCAGCCGTGCTTTGTTAATAAGGAGCTGCACATCATATTAATATTTATCTGCAGCTGGGACTCCGGGGAACTCCTGGGCTCTGAGTTTCTCTGGAAACCTCCTCCAGCTTCAGCTGCTTCACAATAAAAGCTAGAAGGACAGGAGGAAGAATGCATCAGGCTTTAAATGTGGAAAGTGGGAATCATAAATGTGATGGAACTATTAACGATGTTCCAATCTGATCTAATGAGCATCCAGAGTTTTTGTTAACTGTTTACATGTTAAAATTTGCTTCCTTTGACCGACTATAAATATAATCTAAATAGCTTTACAGCAACTGAAAGGTGAAAAAAGCTTTCCTAACGCCAGCAGGCGCCATCCTTCAGAGCTTTTTAGAGGCTTCACAGAATTGACCTGCTGCTGGGTTCCTGTAAGATCTGCTCTGAGCTCAGATTAAAGCTTCCCCGTCTCAACATCTCTGCTGTAAGAGCAGATGGAGAAGAGATGAGGGAGCAGAGAGGCTGAAAATGTCAGCATGAAGCTCCTGTTTGATTAGATGTAAAAAACAAAGATTCCTGCAGAACCCAGAGGACCCCAAAATAATCATCATCATCATCGGTGTGGCTGCAGAAAAGGATCAGCCGTCAGATTACTGATTACACCAGTTCAGCTCAGTGTTTGAGCCGTTGCCCCTAACGACACCATGGAGACGGTCCGTTCACGTCTCCAGGTGTGACTTGCTGAACAACATCTGGAGAGGAGAGTCTGAGCTGCAGAGCAGATGCCAGAAAGCCGTAACTTAAGACAACCCCTCTGTTTATCATTTGTTAGGTTCTTTTTTCTTCTTTTGGTCCGTCCATCTAAAACCTCCACATTTTGTCTAGTAAGCGCTCAGTGAGCTGGCTGCTCTGCATCTTTCCTTCGGGTCTGTGTACCTACAGATGAGTTTCTCCAGTGTTGAGGGCTGAAGATATCTGGGAGTTTTGGTTCTTTTGATCCTAATCACAAGAATCAGTTCATCAATCTGGTTCTTTCCAAAGATCCACTCATTGAATCATTTAGGTAAAGCAGTACCATCTTGCACTTCCAGCAGAGTGCCAATAACTGAACTACTCCTCAGAGGCAATTCTCTGTTTGTTCATTGAAATTAACTAACTAGTTGTTCCCCTGGAAGTGCTGCTATGTCGCTGCACAGAAGCAGACTTGATTTGTTTGCTCTGTCACTGAATCACGGTTCTCCAGACACGGTGCGTTCTCCATGGTACAACATTGACCTCAAATCTATTTATTTTATTATTCTATGTGAACTAGCTTTAAACAGCCAGCACTTGTATTAAGTTGATAACACACTTTATTTTATTTATTTGTTTTAATGCAAGCATTTATGTTTGTGTCTTTGAACCTTAACAATTTTCAAAATAAATATGCAAATATTGTCAGAACATCTTCCATGTCTGCATGTGTTCCTTAAAATTGTTTTTTTTTTATCAAAAAGATGAGAGAAAATGTTGAAATGTGAAATAATTTTAGGAAATGTTAAATATTATCTGCTGACAAAAAAGTAAAAAGTTAAAATGATGTCCTGACTAAAACTTGATTAAAATGTTGACAGTTTTTGTTGACTAAAACTAAACGAATAAAATTATGTTTTCTTGGACTAAAATAAAGACTAAAATGCTCGACTTATAGTCGACTAAAACTAGACTAAATAAAAATGGGATGATGTCGACTAAATGTGATAAAAAACTAACAAGCGATGCTGAAACTGGACTAAAACTAAAACTAAATTTAAAAATGGCTGGTAAAATGAGCACTATGGTAGACACAGCATTATTCTGAATATTGTTCATTGAACGACTCACACCCTGTCCTGACAAACCAGCACACCGGCAAAGATCTAAACTCCTCTGAGAGAAACCAATCCGTTCCCAGACCATGTATATTGAAGCACCACTGACTGACTTTAGCCCCAAGTATTACACTTAGTTTGAGATATATCAGACGATATTTAAGGTCAGTATTCAGCACTGGGCGTGCATCATCAGCCTGCCCTACTCAAAACCTCGGCTATGTAACTTGAGAGGGACGGATCCATCCTTGTATGGATCATGTGACCCACAGTGCTTCTTTACTGCAGTCTGAGCTCCACTTAAAACACAAGAGCTAAAAAAAAAAGCTAAAATATGTTGTAAGACCAAAGGAAAGAAATTATGATTTGTTCAATTGAATAAATAACAGAAAAATCACCCAATTGTTCTTCAGATATTTACCTATAAGTGGCAGTTAAATTAACCAACTCTATAATAAACCATTCCGTTGAATTGGTCCAATATGCAATAATAGCAACTATAATCGGGACATAAATAAATCTTATTGATTATTTGACATCTAAGAAGATTTAAAGCTGATGATAGAAAAAAGTTTAACCTCTCCTCTCCATCCAGTAAGAGGCACACTCACGCCTCCGCCATCTTGTTTTGTATTGTATGCTAATGCTTACCATTAGCAAAAATTGAACCTCCTTAGCAGGAACATGCAGCCTTTAGGTGGCTTTTAAACTATTTACTTCCTTATGTTGACATCAAAGCTCAAAAGCTTCACCAAAATTCCAACATTTCCTTCTCTTTTGTTTACTTTTGGCTTAATTTAAAAAAAAAAAAAAGGTAACAGAGCTACTAGGATCATCTCTGTCCCACTTTATCTTATTGGGGCGGAATCATTTTGAGTAAATTTTGTGATCGAAACCAGAAACAAATATCCATACATTTTTGTACCCATCAAAAATTATACTTTTTTTCAGTAAATGGTAATGTTCTTTGGATGTATTATTGTATTAATCAGCAAGTTTGATGATGTCCAGAGTGAGGTGATCTGTGCTCTCTGTTCTTAAACTAAAAAGCTATAAACACGCTCATTGGGTATCCTTTGAGCCTTTTTGTGGGAAATACTTTCACTTTATACAGGGAAAAGGCCTGCCAACTGTTTTACAAGCATGTTTCATGTTTTATTTTCAACCACGCTTTGATATCAGTTCACTTCCAGAACGGATCATTGCAATTTCTTTTTTTTGAAGAGGATCACATTCAGTTTATGAAACCAAATAAGGGGGAAAATTTAGAACATTTGGTGTGGAAAAAACTAAACAAAATACACATTTTAAAGTTAAACATTTGAGAATTGTTAATGTAGACTGTTTATGTTTTCTGTTTATCATTTATGATCAACTCCACCAAAACAGCAGGAAACTGCATCAGTTCCTCTCGAATTTGACGTCATATAGTCGCTCTATTCCACTATTGTAATCAAACCAGCAGTTGTTGTTTACAGTTAGTATAATCTCATAGATCTTCATTCATTTAAATGCATTAGGAGCTTTTATATTCAATGACACTTTGTTAAAACGATTCTACAGCATGGAGGCAGATGGTGTTTAGCAGGAAGCAGGGAGAAGCTCGTCAAATGAGTGTCCCATTTCTCTAGGATGTATTGTGACCTTACTAAAGGAGATGCAGCCTGGACTATGCACTGTTTCCCAAATGTTTCCTGAAGGTTTTCCACTTGGCTTTGAGCTGCTGCTCAGATGTGCACGTCTTTGTAGCCAATCAGATGGGCTGTGAAATCCGCCTCGCATGGCTCCTTCTGTGGCAGCATAAGCCATCCGAGGGGTGAAAACAAAGTGAGAGCAGGAGGCAAACAGACAGTGAGCAGAGCAGTGAACGCAGGGAGGAGGAGGAGGAGGAGGTGGGGGTGAAGTAGGAGCAGAGGAGAGGAGAGGAGGAGCTGGGAAAGCACCAGAAGAGGCAGACGGAGCGCACAAATGAGCAGAAATAGACGGAGGAAGCAGCGGCAGCAAACACTCAGAGCAGGGTCTCAGATATCAGACAATCTGCTGCTGACATCAGGACCAGAACAGAACCGGAGCTCCAGGAACTTTACTCTCTGCCTGTCTGAGGTGGTACTGAGCAGCGGAGGCGCTTCTCTCCTCCAGGGTTCTGAATCAGCTCTGAGCAGCAGCAGAGAGAGCAGCATCGACACATTAAATCAGCTGCAGCGTGAAGCCAGGCGGAGTGGATGCTGCCGATTCCTCTGAGAGCAGCAGCCGGGCTTTCACTCAGGCTGGGTCCACAACAAGACGGGACGGGCTGAAGCTAAATATCTACTAAAGGAGAGTCAAACTGGACCATCAGCAGGTAAAGTTCATCAAACCAGGATGTGTTGGCTGTTTAAAGCTGAGCTGAGAATCAAGAGGAACTCATGTCCTCTCCCTAAATCTGCTTTATTCAGGGCACACTGAGCGGGCCGCTGGGTTCTAAGCTGATCCGTCTCCTTCGCTGATGGACAGCAGGTGGACGCAACACCTCATCCAACATCAACACGGTTGGTGAGCAGAGTTACAGCTCCTGAAAGCTCTTCATCGAGTCAAATTGTCTTAAGAGTAAGAATGAGAGACCAGCTGCAGTCTGACGTCTCCATCTGAGGTTCTTAAAACATTGAATCAAGATGAGATGAACCACAGGACGCGAAGGATGTGAACAGCTCTGATTCTTTCTGAAGTTTGACAGACATTTGCTGGAGGTTCACACCATCCCGCTGGTGGTATCATGCTTGCTGCTGCTAGTTACATCGGTTCCCTGCAGGGGGCGATGTCGTCTCCATGGTCTGTGGCCGTACTGATGGTCTATCTGCAGTTTAATCCTGTCCGACCCGGCGCCTGCCCGTCCCGCTGCCTCTGCACCTCAGACATCCTGAGCTGCTCGGACCAGGGTCTGGATACGGTCCCGGGAGCCATTCCCATTTCTACGGTCACTCTGGACCTGAACCACAACCAGATCCTGCAGCTGGAGGAGGACAGCTTCCAGGGTCTTCTTCAGCTGGAGGTGTTACGTTTAGCACACAACCGGCTGACCACAATCCATCCCGGAGCATTCAGGAACTCCTCTGGAGGTCTACTCAGACACCTAGACCTGTCAAGCAATCGGCTGCACGCCCTAAAGCAGGACTACTTCCAGGATCTGCCTGGACTGGAGGAACTGCTGCTGTTTAATAACCGGATCATGCTTGTGGAGAGCACAGCCTTGTCCGGACTCGAAAACCTCCAAAAGGCCTATTTAAGTCACAACCGCCTCACCGACTTCCCTTTCTTCAGCATCCAGGAGAGCAGCCATCCCCAGCTGTCCCTGCTGGACCTGTCCTCCAACCGGCTGCCCAAGCTGCCTCTGGTGGACATCTACAACCTGCCCACATCTCTGCAGAAGGGACTCTATCTGCACAACAACTCGCTGGTGTGCGACTGCTCCATGTACTCCCTGTTCAGGTTGTGGGAAGAGAAAGACTTTGCCTCTGTCCGGTTCTTCAAACAAGAACATGTCTGTCTGGTCCACGGCATCCAACGAAGTGGGATACGGTTCTTCCTGCACAGACGCTACTTTGATAAATGCAACCTGACAGCTGCGATAGAGCAGGAGGCCGATGTGGAGGTGAGGTCGGGGGCGCCGCTGCTGCTACACTGCATCACATCTCTGTCTGGGCGCAGCGTCACATTTTTCTGGCTCGTTCCAAACCTGGAGTATGTGGTTCCACCTGGGAACAATAAATCAATCAAGATGTTCACCAACGGCAGCCTGGAGGTCGTGGCAGCCCAAGTGGAGGATGCAGGGATCTACGTGTGCGTGGCTCAAAACGGCCAGCGGAATGAGTCCAGGGAGGTTAACGTGACGGTGCTGCCGCGCCACGACGACGAGGCCGCAGAGCCGTTCAACACGGGCTTCACCACCCTGCTGGGCTGCGTAGTCAGCCTGCTGCTGGTCCTCATCTACCTGTACCTCACACCCTGCCGCTGCCCCCCCTGCCTCAGGCCCCGCCCCCCGGTCACCGCCACCCTGAGTCAGAGCAAAGAGGGCGGGGCGGGCAGCGCCCAGTCCTCCATCCTCACCCCGACCCCGCCGACCACCACGGAGGGCCCGGGTCGCAAGGTCAGTACCAACAAGCGTGTGGGGTTCCTGGAGCCGATCAGGGAGCAGCAGAACGGCAGGCTGAGGGGCGGGGCGGGCTTCCTGCTTGGGGCGGAGCCACAGCAGCGAGCCGCGGAGACAAACTCTTACGTGTCAGTCTTCCCAGACACACCCATAATGTTGCCATAGCGACAACACTCACCTCGGAACTGGTAGTGCCCTAAGCCCCTCCCCACCAACACCTCCCCCACCTCACCCCTCACCCCCACGCACTGCAGACCTGAGCACTGCCCCCCCTCAACTCGCTCAAGTGCAATTCTGATCCAGATTACTGTTAGCTCAGGTCTGCCCACTGAGCCCCAGAACCGCTGCACTGTGACGGGTCGGGCTCAGACCCACAGAACCGCCAGAGTTCAGACCAAAGACACAGAGGCCCCCTTTAAACCAGACTCCAGGGCAGGGGGCTGCATGAAGCGCTGCTAAACACGTCCCTTTAAGCACGGCTTGTCCCTTTAACAGAACCGATGCCTTCGAATCTCCGTTAGAAATATTTTTTTTAGAGTTCTGTAGCTTCCTATTAGTGTTTATTGAGCCATCGTGTGGTTAAATGTTTCTGCTCCTCTGACACTAAACTGTCTTCAAGTCAGAGACGTTAGTAAATAAGTGTTAAAAACGATTGGCTGTTTATCTGCCTGTAGGAAACAGATTCCATTTAGAAACCAGCTGAAACCATTTGGAATATCCAAACGTTCTCTTCTCCACTCCGCTCACATTAAAGCGAGGCGTTTCTTTGTCTTTATGGTCTCACTGCATCCAGAGCACCTTGTCTTGTCTCTACCTGTGTTAATAAACCTCCATATGCAACCTGCCTGGTTACTGTGTGCCGGTGTGTGTCTGCACAGTCACATCCTGCATGTTCAACCTGGAGGAGCAGGTGGAAAACAACCATCCTGTCTCCTGCTGCTCCCACACATTTCAGCCTTGAACAGGATTCACACCCATGTTTACACTTCCACTCTGTCAGGCTGCTCACAACGGCCCGATTCTGCAAGAGGCTGCAGGGAAACGGAGGCAGGAGGATCAAAATGAGCAAGTTTAAAATGCAAACCTTCAATCCGCGTTGATGAGAGAATTAAGTAGATGATGATGTGTGTTAATTAAAACCGTTTCCTGTAGAATCAATGCTTGTTCTGACCGAGCTACAGCTCCACTTCAGTATAAATATTTCTACGTTAAAGCTAATGGTTGCTTCCATTTGAATATAAAAACAGAAATAGATCAGTAGACTGAATACATTTTAAGTTATTTATATGTAATTGTTCTTTTTTGGGGGGGGCTTTTATTTTTTTATGATATATTTCTGTTCAGAATAATTTTCTAGAGTTGCAGTTTATTATTTTTATTTTGAAATGCCCTTTTAAACAGGCTGTGAGTCTCAGAAATTAAAGAGACCAGAAGATCCTGGAAGGAGGAAGGACAGCAGGCTAGTTGTCCAGCGGCAGAGCAGAGGACAGAGCGCCAACGTAAGAACCTGCAACATGATGGAGAGGATGAGACAAGAAACTTTCATTCCCTGTTCATCATCTTGAGATCCTGCAGTCTCTGCAACAGACATGGAACCTCCAGCAGGATAGAAACTTCTCCGCTACTGACAAACATTTATAGTATGTTTAATGTCTGCATGCTCTGAACCCGCCTGATGCTTTGTGACGAGGGAACACCTCAGCAGATACCAGGTTAGAGTTATCTACAACCTTTCTACACCATGTTAACATCCCAGCTGAGCAGCTGAGGCAAGAAGAGGAAAGACAGAAGCAGTAATGAAATATTGATGAGACTTTTCTTCTGCTCGGAGCAAACCGAGGACATTAAGACGGATGAGGAGAACATGGCTTTAACCCAGGGAACCTAAAGCGCACACCTATGGTTTCACCATCTGGTTCAGCAGGTTGGATCAACTCAATCATCATTTCTCTGACCTGCAGACAGGAAACAGGAAGTCCACAGATAATAAGCTCCACCTCATTCTATCTCACTCTGTATAGACCTGACAGAGCTGCTGCGTTGTCACGGCAACCTGCATGTAGACATCCTTGAGTTCAATCAGAGCTAATGCTCTTCAGGGATTGGTCACAGAAAACCTCCAATCAGAGCAGAAATGGCAGGTAAAAAAGTTCAGGCTGATCTGTGATTCAATCCCAGAACATTTCCCTCCTGATCATCCTCCAGCAGCAGCTTAGGAGATGCTTTAAAGATTTAAAGAGAGGCTGCTTAATGTCTGAGGCATATGAGCTGGGAGAGAGTTCAGGAGAACAATAACAGGACATGAAGAGTGTCGTAATTAATGTGAGAGCGACAGCCCAGAACAAACAGTAGGAATATAATCTCTGCTCGCTTTTCTTTAGAGCTGCAGATAGAAACTAAAACATCTTAGGAAGTTAAAGCTTCACTTCTGAAGCCAAACTGGTCCCATCAGAAGCTGTAGGGTGATCAGAGACCAATTAGAGGCTTTAATTGTGAAGGTTTGGAGACAAACTGAGACTGAAAGTTTTAACATTTTAGAAGAGAATATCTGTAAGGTAGTGAGCAGAGGGACTTCAGCTCAGACAGACAGGTCAGATTCAACATCTGGAGCAGGAGCCATTGAGGAGCAGCGGCTCCTGCAGGTCAGCCAGCGTTTCACTGCTGACATCAGAAGGTTAGAAGAAGCTGCTCCATCAGGGAGAATCTCCCAAAAGCTCCACTGAAACAAGCACCATCAAACATTGATGGCAGCTTCTGCGTGAGGAGCTGAGGATAGATCCTCTAAATCATTCATCAGCTTCAGACAGAGAATAGGGAAGGTTCCACCCACACAGAACCGCTTCCAGAACAACACATCCTTAAAGCGCTGAAGCTCCATCTGACAGGAGAAAGCATCGGACCACTGGCTGCAAACCTCTGGCTTCCAGGGTTTATGGTTCTGCAGAACCACAGAGATAATGTGGAACAAGGAACCCTGCATCCTAGGAAGAGCAATAGACTGGGATGTTCTAAGAACACAGAGAAGATTCTGGTACTGAACTGAAACATTCACAGCAGAAAAAGGCTCCAAGTACATGAAAAATTCAGAGGAACGTTAGATTTATGTTAGCTAAGTAAAGAACTTCTAAAGAGAACTCCAGAAACCAGACGAGCTGAGATGAGTTTGGGTCCGAAGTTAAACATCCTCTCTTTCCTGTTTGTTCCTCTCTACCTTTCCTACTTTCATCCTGACCTCCTCCTCAGGTCTATCCATCTCACCCCTATTCCTCCATTCCTCCCTACTCGTCCCAGCCATCTGAGCCTCTCCTCCCCTGAGCCTTCCTCTTCCCATCTCCTCCTCCTCCTCCAGCCTGATCTTCGGACCTTTGCTCTGCATGGTTTCCTGAAACTGATCCCTGAAGAGGACGGCTGACCGTCATGCATGTGGGAAAAATCACAGACACGTTCCCCACAATGCCTGACCGACCCACGGAGAGGAGCAGAAGATGATCCTGATGGTCTGATGAAGGAGGAGCAACAGGACAGACGGACCTCGGAGTCTTCATCACAGTTTGCATGATGGCAGCACCATCACAGAGTCAGAGCAGGCACTAGGGGGTTCTGGGGAGTATAATGGTGAGAGCAGTGCATGCTGGGAGAATAGGTTCAGATTTGATGAGTCACCAGCTGGTTTAAAGTGGTCCAGGTTATAAAAGGTTCCGCTGAAATACGAGCATGATGATCTCTCCTAATAAACAAGTTGAGATGAGACAAAAAAAAAAAAAATGGGGAAATGTGTCGGGTTCTTTCCGGGTCGGACCTGCCGAGAACAGCCATAGAGACATTTACCAATGCTTAAAAAGTCACATGACTACATTGTCATGACAACAGGCAAGCTATTATAGAGACATGTTGCAGAGGGACATGTCAGGGTGATTTAACAGTGATCTGTGTTCTAAACTGGAGCATAAACAGGATTCTGAAGGTTCTGGAACCTGCAGTGTAGAGCCGCAGGATCCGGTAGAAGCAGAGAGGAGTTTAAAGATTTGATTTGTCACTAGGTAAAACCAACACACGTTTCCGTTTCAGCCAATCACAAGCCTCCTATCTCCAAATTTGTATTATATTTGTAAGTTAGTTGTTGAAGTATTTGTTCTGTTCCTTGTTGGCCTTTAGAGGGATGTGTGATGTGTGTTGATGTTTTATTCAATCACAAGATGACCAAAAAAAACAAACAGGTTATGTTTTCTTGCGGCCGCAAATTTCTGATCAGGTCAGAAACGATTTGACCAAGAGTCGCCCCAAACTTGTCGCACGACTGGAAAAATGGCCTCAAATACCAACAAAAATCGCACCGTTTGTGCCGGGCTTAAATCCAGCTGACAGGCAGTGTGCAACGCTGTTCCCTCAGCTGTTCTACAGCACTAGAACCGTTTTAGAGGTCCAGAACCTGAACCTTTTTTACACCTCAGGACACAGTAACAGCTCTAGTCATTCATGTCAGGGACTACAGTTCAGCAGAACCAGAAGAGGAGTTCTAAAAGAACCTCAGCCAGCATCCAGCCATCTTAAAGTATAACTTTACTTTAGTATCAGGACCAGGTGGTGATCCTCCTGCAGTTCTGACTCAGATCCCGTCAGCAGGATCCAGAGGTCCTCCACAGCGGGATGGGTCTACGTCCTGAAAACAACGCGGCTGTGATGGAAAAAGCCAACCTGCTGTGAAAGTGGCTTCTGATTCTGTGAAGCTGCTAAACTAATTATCCCGGAGCCGAATCTGATCTGTGGGAGGTGGTGAGCAGCTCTCAGCTCTCCGAGCCGCAGCTGATGGATCATAATTAGCTCCATTGATTTGTCTCACAGCAGGGGGTGGGGGGCTCTGTTATCAGTCCTGATGAGGACAGAGTCAGACAGATGAATCCACTCTGAATATCAAGTCAATCTGGAAAGAAGCCTGTCGGATCAGACAGCAAAGGAAGACATCTGATGGAAGGAGAAACTCTTTCATTTAAAAACTGACTTCTGCAGCTTTAATGAAACTTTAATGATCCTCTCTGCTTCTCTCCAACCGAAGTTCTGTTTGACTGAACCACTTGGTGCTCCTTCTCTCTAAACGTGACCTCCATAAGCAGATCTGTCCAGGTTCTGGATTCTGTAGAGTGAGGATGGACTGGAGCAGCGTTCTTTTCTGGTGACATCCTGGTTGAAGCAGCTGTACATCCAACCCCGACGTTCCACTGAACGGGCCGCCGTTTCTGCAGAGCAATCTATTCAAGGGCCTCGGAGCGGCTTGACTCTGATTACTCAAGGAGGTGGTAGTAGTATACATTTAGGCCAGGGGTCTTCAACGTTTTCCAGGCCAAGGACCCTCAAACTGATGGAGAGATGAAGCGGGGACCCCCTGATTATATATATTGTAAGAAAATGTGTTCTATCAAACTGGTCCTATAGTCACTCCTTTACAGATTGTTTCATGTAATTAAAGTAATTTCGCCCTGAGATTATTAAAGTATTTCTGATTCTGATTCCTGGTTGATGGCACAGGTGTTGTGAATGAAATGGTGCCCAGATTGAAAGAGCTCCCCTGTGTCGCTGAATGTGAGCATTGATGACTAAAAGACATCTTCTGCCTCCACTTATCTGTTTACTTCAGTGCGTTGAATTCATGTTAATGGGAATTTAAAGACATTTCATTAATTGAAAAAATTCCAGGGGGGAATATTAAAAAAAAGGATAATCATCCAAAACCCTTGTGACCCCCATACAGTACCTATGTGGACCCCCTAGGGGTCGCAGACCCCCTGTTGAAGACCTCCGATTCAGGCTTTGACAATAAAAAGGCCTTTGCCTTTTCCTTTGTAAAATTTTCCACCTCCAGAATAAAAATTTTGTGGTTTATGGTGTCGTATGAAGGGAGATTCTCTGGTGGCTCTGCCCTCGACCCGCAGCTCAACTCAATTTGGGTTTCAGAGTAAAATGCATGTAGTGTTTAACTTTGAAAGTCCAATGGATCCACTTTGCTTTTCATCAACTGACTTCCTGCCTGGAACATTCGATCCACTCCAAATTGACGTGGAGTTGAAGCATCAAGCGTGAAAAATAAACTAGCTTGGGAATTTAGAGAAACCTCCAGTGACCAACGCTTCAGGGAAGCAACTGGGGAAACCAGTCTGACTGACAAGCGATCACAGATGCCTTGTGTCCGCGTTCAGGGGAAGCTCTTCGTGACCAATCCTAATGCTTCATTGCTAGGCACACTCACACCAGATCTAACCTACAAAATACCAGCTGGGCTAAGAAGAGCTCATTCTCCAAGACAAGAGGTTCTGAAACGGATCATTGCAAACACATGTGTAGCATTAGAATCAAACAGAACTGCTGGGATGGGTTGAAGTTCAGCACCTGATAAGAAGGAACCGTTTCCACCAGGTCTGGTGAAACATTTTAAACATGAGCAGACAGACTGATGGCAAAGAGCAGTGAAGAAGATGGACATCAGATTGTAGCTCCTCAGAGTTCAACAGAGGCGATGTTTTACTGACAGCTGAAGACTTTAACCCCGGCTGACCTCCAGCTCTCCAACGCACTGAAAGCTGGCTTCATAATGGGATCAGATCTCCTCCCTAAACACATCAGCACCTTAAAGGAGCAGTCTGACATTTAGAGAAACACTCAGACTGGAGCTGCTGGCTGTCAGAGCTGCAGACATGAAGCTGATAGAATCAACAGTGAGTCAGAGCTGACAGCCATCAGTCTTCTACTGCCTACACGTCTGCATGGGATAAACACACGTCTAAGAAAAATACATATAACCTCTGAAAATAGGCTCTACCAAGAACTTTCTTTAGACCCTAAAGTGCAAATTCGTTCTCTGTCATTTTACAAGTTCAAGCTTTTCATTTATATTAATTAATATTTGGTTAAACATATATAAATATGTTTTTACCAAAGAGGAAGACAGTAAGGTACAGTTTGGATCTGGGTCGGCCTCGGGTCAGAAACTGTCCGAGTCGCTTTGTCTGGCGCTCTCTAGAACCACCATGCGGGCAAAGGTCTTACCAGCCTCTGGCCAGGATGTGTGGGGTCTACAGAGATGTTAGATGCATTTCCAGTCCCTATCACTGCACTACTCCTGGATGGAGGACAGGACGGCTGTCTTGATATTAAATGCAGAGCCGACCTGAAACCTTCACATTTTTTTCCTAGCTTTTATTGTCGTTGCACTGTCACAAGTAGAGACCAACGAAATTAACTCTCTGCATTTAACCCATCCCCTTGGGGAGCAGTGGGCTGCCATTGTGTGGTGCCCGGGGAGCAGTGTGGGTTTAAGGGTCTTGGTCAGGGACCCAGAGTGGCAGTCTGTGGGAGTGGGGCTTGAACTCAGAACCTCAGGATCCCAAGCTCTATGCTCTAACCACTAGAAGGCCACTCCCCAAAGCAGGCATTAGCATGAAGGGTCTTGCCTAAGGACCTACACTGGCAGTTCATTGCCCCCAGCTGGGGTACAAATCCAGGCTTCCTGTTTGCAGGACGGGTGACTTACCACCTGAGCTAGTCAGCCACTTTTTCTCACGGTTTGCAGGGTGGAGTCTGCTACAATTCACACAGATTGAGAAACCCACATCCAGAGAGCACTTTACCAATGTTTCCTGGTCTAATTCACCTTTTTCCACACAGACATCATATGAGTTTGGCTCCTGCAGTCATCACAGATAGGTGATCCATCCACAGCTAACAGCCCAGAGTCTCATTTTGGTTCTGATGATTGATGAAGTTATTTCTCCATCTGTCAAATGGAGTTTAGGTCGGTTCTGCTCAGAGCCAGAAAAAGACAAACTATTTTTAAGCAGAGACCCGACAGTAATACTTTAGAGCCTCAGCCTGAGTAGGTCGGTGTAGAGGAGCCCTCTGATGGAGCCCCAGTGAGTCACTGAGGTGTGTTTAAGGGCACCTCTGTAAATATGAAACAGCTGCAACAACTTCTCCTCTCATTGTCATCGTCGCTGTGTCAGCATGTGCAATCATGCAATGGCAAAGACAGCAAGGACAAAATGTTTGGTAGGCTATAACAATAATTCATGTGTGAGGTGTTCAGGTTCTGATTGTGCACAAAATGCTGGGACAGCTGGAAGGACTCCAACTGTCCAGTTAAGTGACCGGGGCACTGCAGACAGACTGGGGATGTGTAAAGACAAGGGGCAGTGTATTTTGGGATCTTTAAGGTCGTCATGCTGATTTTCAGCGAGAATCTAAAGCTAAATGTTAAATGACAAGATATGTATAATCCACAGTGCTGGTTGAAAGTCTAAACTAAATAGAGATAGAGAGGAAGTATGAGAGCATCCTTTACGGGCGGTTTCTGCAGAACCAGAGCAACAATGACTTATTCTAACCAGATTATCCCTCTGCTCCTGAACCTTCAGCAGACCTTCATGGTGTAATGGGCTGTTGAAGCGTTGGGCCTCAGTGGCTGCAGGAAGAGACGTGATAATTACAGCTAAATGAAGTGTTGCTGAAAGACTCTGTTGATACTGATGAGCTCTGCTGACTGAGCACAGATCGGTAGCAGTCCCACTGCTGTTGGCTTGGTTTTAAGAAACATCCTACTGAGCTCTATGCTGAACAAATTCAACTTTATATTTGTTTTTATTCCTGAAGGACATTTCACTTATTGTTATTCGGGTCGGATCAAAAGAAACATCAGTCCTTATAACACCGGATTTATAGAAGAGATCTAAAAACTCTACATCACAGACATCATTTACATCAGAAACATAATTTCAAGTCAATGAAGGTCAAAGAAAGTAGGACTGTACCTGACCCTGTTATTCTTTTGATCCATTTTCCAGATTTTCATCAATCACAGTTTAGATTGGCTGTTTTGTTTTACAGATTTTTCCCCAAAAAACTATAGAGTTTTGTGATAATAATGGTTTCGACCTGGTAAAATAGTCAGAAACAGCCTTTAATAGAAGACTCCCAGATTTCCCAGACCTCTGATTGATTCTGGAGAAAATGGACCTGAAGATTCTGTTTAAACTGTCAGGACTCAAAGAAATCACTGCAGACACAGAAGCACGTACATGAGGCTGACAGATCCAGACCTGCTTTAACACCGTTTTCTCTGCTTCTGCCCCTCAACGACTGAACAAAAAGAGAGAATTTCCAAAGCAACCAGTGACTCAGGTTTTCAGCTTGTGGTGAACATTAAACAGCAGAGATGGAGCTCAGTCTAAAAACATTTCTAAGTCTCCATGACATGAGGAACGGTTCGGTCCAAAGTCCAACAAGAGGTGGCACCACATTCTGCGGAGGTTCTGTCAGTTAAAAACCCATTCATTCCATCCATTTTTCTGTCACGCTTTATCCCAGCTGGGGTCACGAGGGGTGTTGGAGCCTAACTCAAGCAGTCTATGTGCAAGAGGCGGGGTAAACCCTGGACAGGTCGCCAGTCTATCGCAGGGCAATAAAGAGACAAAAGGACAAACAACCATTCACACACACTCACACCTAAGGAGGATTTAGAGAAGCCAATTAACCTAACAGTCATGTTTTTGGACTGTGGGAGGAAGCTGGAGTACCTGGAGTCAAACCACAGAGAACATGCAAACTCCCAGGCAGGGGATCGAACCCAGAACTTTCTTGCTGCAGGGCAGCAATGCTACCCACTGCAGCACTGAGCAGCCCTCAGACAAAAACCATGATCTTGAAACTCACAAACATGAAACCGAACAGAACTAAAGAACTACCTTTTTTTATTGTCATAACACCGTAACAAGTACAGAGCAATGAAATAAACTCTCTGCATTTAACCCATCCTCTTGGGGAGCAGTGGGCTGCCATTGTGCGGTGCCCGGGGAGCAGTGTTGGGTTAAGGGTCTTTGCTCAGGGACCCAGAGTGGCAGTCTGTGGGAGTGGGGCTCAAACTCAGAACCTCAGGATTCCAAGCTCTATGCCCTAACCACTAGGCTGCCACTCCCCTAACTAGAGCTCGGGTCCATGTATTCACTGACAGACAGATCATCACAAGCAGCAAACCAGCTGATTAGTTGCTTTCCTCCACTCTATCACCATTCCAGCTCTTTGAATCTGGTTCTAACAGTTACTGATAATGGAGGCCCAGACCTACCCCTGTTTGTCTCCATCCACCAGGATCCGGACCAGGATTCCTGTCACTGCCACTAGGATCGGGTAGTGGTCCACACTCTCCAGACCTGCAACAAATAGAGAGGATGTAAGCACAGTAACAGCATAACTGAGGAGCATCTAGACCAACCGAGTCCAGGTCAGGGTGGAGGCAGCAGCAGATGAGGCTCCCGTCTGCTGCTCCAAGCTCTGCCAAAGCACACCTTAACTCTGCAAGTGGAGCCAACTCTGACCATTGGCCAGTTTGGATGTTTCTGACCCTACAGCCACTCTACCTCTGACTTCAAAGGTTGCACACTCTGTGTGCTGGTGGGAGTATACGGTTCCATGCATACAAGTGACTCAACTCAAGTTTGAGTCAGTTAGAAACTATGAAGCACACCTAAATCCCCAGACCTAAAAAAGTATGACTAACTGTCAATGAAATACATTTTTATAGCGCTTACCGGAGGTTCAAATAATGAGGTGAGTAATGGAATCAGTGTTGCAATACAAAAAATGTCCTGATATGTTATCATATATGATACGATATGTATCCGTGCGCGACAGCTACCATTCATTCATCCTGTCCGCTGAACTGCTGCTAGTTTTACTCACATGCCTGGAAGATGTCTAGTGCTACTACCACAGATGATCTCGCTCTGGAAATGGAACGATTCAGATTAGCTCACCGAATGAATAGAAGAGGTAGAGCGTAGCCGCCTGTGGCCCGGACTCCAGTCCAGCACGTGGATGACGTCATACACGCTCCGCTTTGTTTAAAAAAATATCTAAATATAAAAAATATAACCGCGGATGTCTGGGGGACAGTGATTCGCCTACATGTTATGAATGCTGGCGTACCATAAAGAATAAATTATGAACTGTTTAGTCTGTGTCTTACACTCGTTGCCCATAGGAAGACGTTACTTGGATATAACAGAATATCTTCAGAACTGCTCCAAATTACAGAACTAAAATGGGTGACTAGAGCATGATGTAATAACGTAAAATCAAGGAGCTAATGTAAAAAAAAAACTGTCCCCCTGTAAATACAGATTAACTTTTGACAACGGTGTGCGGAACATTAACTGGTGGGAACCCTGCCATGGTTCAAATACCGCCTGGATACGGTCAGACAGAAGTAAATGTACATAAACAAACAAGCATTTAGATGAACAGGGAACTCCCACTGGAAGGAGGCCAGAGCACTAAAATAAAAAGGTGAAACAGCCATCCTGTTTGGCGTTTACTCAGAAACTGGCAAAGAGTCAAATGATTAGAGAAAGAGATTTAAACCAACTGACGGAGAGACTGAAACAGAACAAAACGTTCTGTTCGGTTCAGCGATGCCCTTAAAGCTGAGCAGCAGTGTGCAGCAGGGGGAGGCGGGTTTACCTGGCAGCCTGAGGTTAACGACCCGATCAAACAGGTTCTTCTCAGCCGTCACTCTATTCAGAACCTGGTTCAGCAGCTGCAGACAGAACAGAACCGGAACAACACAGCACAGCTTAAACAACCTGGTTCTGATGGATATTTCTCCAGAACGTCCGTGCAAGTCTGGACGGACCGGGTCTCACCTGAGCAAGCCGTCTCAAAAGCAGCTCTGCTGACGGGCGGGACCAGTCCAGAAAGATCTCTGGGACCAAGGTGACCGTCATCTCCAGAACCCTCAGCAGGCTGACAGACAGGTCGAAGCAGGTTGCACACACCTGAGCCCAGATTCACATCCCGGGTCAGAACTTTGGCACACGGTTACGTCTACACACAGAACCAGAACCCAAACCGAAGCTCTCTGAAGCAGCAGTTGGTGTGATTACCTTCAGCTGACGAGTGTCCACATAGTTTCTCTCTGGACGCTCTGCAGCCTGCTGGATCTGGACCAGAACCAAACAGAAGGAAGAAATCATCAGATCTGGTATTTTACTTTCACATCAGAACCGGACCAACTGGACTGAATTTACAGAACCCTTCCTCAGCCTGTGGTGTTATTGTTCTGTCATTGTTCTCAGCTCAACACTAAGGGATGTCGTTGGCTCTTATTGTGATCCGACTGCTGGTTCTGGTTCTGCTCCAAGCTTACCTCCTGGATCATACCGATGAACTCAGAGAAGGCCCAGTTGAGCTGGTTCAGGACGCTGTTGAGAAAAGAGGCGGCCATGTCTTTGTCCATGCTCAGTAGCTCCGCCATGTGTCTCTGCAGCAGCAACGACGGGCACGGTTCTGGACCGGAACCAGGAAAGGAAGCACAATCAGAGAGGGGTCTCAGAGGGACAGACAAAGAACAGCCTCCTAAAGATGTTCTAATGGGTTCCACTGGGTTTTGGGTCTACTGAGGTCAAACAACCTGGTGGCATCACGCTCATTAAAGCTCATGATTGATCAGAAAGACAGAAACCAGAGGAAGAACTCCAGCTATGAAGATCCATCATCATCATCATCACCACCACAGAATCGTCAAAAAAAGACAGATTTTTGTTTGTTTGTTTTAATATGGTGAGCAGGAGGTCAAACAAACATTCATTATATTTTCCAATGCTGTAAAAATTTGTATAATAAATCTAAAACTTTCTCTCAGTGAAGATTTACGCCATAGCCTGCAACACAGTGTCAGGCAGGTGGCTGTTGTAAACAAACTGGCAAAAAAGGAAGATGGCTGATGAGAACAATCTTTTTTGCTTTCTTTACCAGTGAGGAGGGATTGCCTGCATGTTTGCTTTGTAACAAGAAGTTGTCAAGTAATAAAAAGAGTAATTTAGAAAGGCATTCATATTAAATTTGCAACCAACCACCAAGCTGGGATTGAGAGAAAAATTGCAATTGCAGAACTTCTGGATAAATTACAGGAGCACCAAAGATACATTTAAGAAGTGGATTGCATCTGAAAACTTCACTACAGCTGCTAGTTTTGTTGCAAGCATAATCAAACAGGTAGGGCTCTTATGCAGGTGTGTGAACTTTCTTCCATTTTTTCCCCCAAATCTTCAAAATAAAAATAACACCAAAAATCTGATCTCCTTATTGTGTTTCTATGATATCATGAATGCAAAAAGAAAACTAATATATAAATATTGCAATGGAATTTAAACAAAAATCACTAGATATCATACAGCACAGTACTCCCATGATGTGACATATGCTCCAGGATAAACATTTAATCATGAATGCTTATTATTTATTTAAGCTTACATAATCTTTTTTTTAAATAGTGGGCTAATAGAGCCAGTGTTGCCATATGGGGATTATATAAGTCTTACATTTTTGCATCTCCAGAAAGATTTCTTTTTTTGGTCAAATATGACTCTTTGAACAGTTTAGATTCCCAACCCCTGATCTAACTGGATCAGATATGTTAATCCACACTGCAGATTAAAAGCAGAGATGCATCTGATCGGACTGTAATAAACCTGCAGGTGATTTTTTCACCAGGTCTGGACAGTTTGTCTCACCCGTTTCTGCACCGCTAACATTCACGGTGTAGATTAATTCTTCTGGGACTCAGAATGATTGAAAGATTGGTGCGATTACAAGACCTTCTCTGGGTCAGCTCACCTTGGATGACAGAACATGGAGCTGAGCAGCAGCGATTATTGATCAGTTGGAAGCAAATGCTTCCTGCTGCAGAAAATGCAGCAGAGGCACTAACTGCTGAGCCAGCACTAAGCATGATGGACAGCACCAACAGCACGCAGAAAACAACAGAACTTACTCTGGAAGCTAGCAATGGACAGATCTCCTGACAGGCATGCAGAGAAGACATGGATGGAGGTCAGAGAGCATGCATGAAAACAAGAGACAGATTCCTTCAAACAGAACATAAAATGAACAGAAGGGGGAGGTCCAAGGATTCTGGGTAGGGGAGCAGAAACAGAACCTGAACCTATGATTCTGCCAAAAAATAAAATCTAAGATGTGAGAAATCCAGAAAAAAGTTTTTACTGGAAGAACCTGATGTTTCTCTGGTGATGTTCTGCCTCCGGAAATAAACTATTTCATCTCTACAACACAGAGACTCTGGAACACACACACACACACACACAGACACACACACACACACACACACACACACACACACACACACACACACACACACAGGGAATGAGTGAAGCTGTAAATCGGAGCTGCAGTAAAAATAAACCTGCCGGAGACGGATGGACAGTTTTATTTATGGAAATCCATCAAAGGAGCAGAAACTGGATCAAAAACCATAAAAATGCCCCAACATGCCGAGAGAAGAAGTTAATGCTGTGGAGAATGAGTGATTTCTGCCTTTCCTTTGATGTTTATCTCCTCGGACAGACTGATGAGGCCTCCTGTTTTATCGCATCTTCAGCTGATTATTATTTCATTGGTTAAACTCTGCTCCTGCAATCTCAGGCTCCGAATGAAGTTCCAGGGGAGACAGATTTAGGGCAAACGGGAGGAAAAATTGACCATGTTTATCTCTTTATTTTCGTCTAGTTCTGGTTCCTACTCACAGACATTGCTTCTGGATTAGTTAACCATAAATAGCGCAGACACAGTCACACCAGAACCTACTCTGCAGGCTGGGCAGGTTGGCGTCCTCAGGTTTGGTCTTCAGCAGGTGAGGCAGACGGGTGTACCTGTAGCCAAACCCACAACCCTGACAGGAGAGGAGGAAGAGCAGCTGTTAAGAGACATCAGCAGAGGAGGAACACCTGAGGAGAACCTGACACTGAGTTCTAGTTCTTCCATAAAAACACCAGTTCAGATCTGGGCTTGGTAATACAAAAGCAGACAGATGCTCCTATCTACCTAGTTAGATAAGAATTTGCTTGTGTTTTGGTACTCACCCTCCAAAGTCTGACCAAGATCCAATTGGTCTGAGCCCAGGGCCTCTGCTCATATGGAGCCAGAAGGTTCCTCATCATGGCCACTCGCCTGAAACCAGAAAGAAAAAACCTTCTGCACACCTGTACCTTTATATTTTCATTAGAAGTGTTTTCATAATGTTATGGTTTTACATGAGGGGAGGAGGATTCCCTCATTAAATGCCATCTTGGTCCTCCTCAGCTAAACTATTAAGGATTTTGCCTTTTGGATCAACATCAGCGCATCAGGTTCTGATCCTGGTTCCAGATTAACTAAGATAAATCTCAAGACTCACTGCTCCTCTGGGATCCGCTCCACCGCCCTGAGGGATTGTGGGTAACAGACGTAGCTGGCCAACGCCTGCATCAGGGAATCTTTGATATCTGAGGAAACAGGGACACTTTAGTGAAGGAGATCCACCATCAAGTAGTCGGATAAACATCGCAATCCCCCCACAGTAACAATCTATCCCTGCAGCGCCCCCTGCTGTGTGGATAACAGCTTAGCTTTAGTGAACATCTGAGTGGCAGCTACAGCAAGAATGGAACCTTCTTCTTCCTTTTAAGAATAAAATATTAATTTTTTTCCTCATAAATAAGTCAGGTAAAAGGAGAATATTTTTATTTTAGTCTGATGATTAAAACAGGCTAAGAACTACGTGTTTCCAGGATTTTACAGAGGAGCCTAAACGCATCCCCCGTTTTAATTGTCCCAATAAGAAGCTGCTGGACGGCTGCAGGCAGATCGATGGATTTCCTGAGAAACAACAATCAGCGTGTTGCTACAGCTGATAAACATCTAGTTTTGGTCACAGAGAATCCTCTGAAGAACCGAACAAACCGAGTCACAACAGAACCTGTAGCCTCCCAACTGATCTGAACAAAACCTCAAGAAAACTGACCCTAACTGGTCTAATGTTGCTATCATTATTTTTTTTTTATGAAAGCGCTAACTTAGATCTAAGTGATCGTAATTCAATTCAGTTGAGTTCATTTATACAGCCCCAATTCACAACACATGTCATCTCAAGGCACTTTCCAGTTCACCAGATCATCCAGTCAAATTGATTCAAAGTTTTCTATCTAAGGAAAACCAGTTGAATGCATCGACTCAATGATTCGAAGGCAAACCCTCACACTAAGCATGCTTGTGGTTATTTATTCAATAGCACCTTTGTTTTGAAATCAATTATTGTGAGGGCTTCATGTTGCTATAAAGTCTGCAGGGAGCAGGGGTGTTTAGATGAATCCACCTCCAACTTTATTCAGTGTATGAATAACTTTGACCTTTACCCATTCAGGGGTTCTTGGATCAGAATCAATGGGTTGAAAACCTGAGGACTTTGGTGATGATTGCAAATCATAAAAAACCTCCTGAGGTTACGGGGTTAAAAGCAGCAAATCCATTTGTTGATTTAATTTCAGGGAACTTTATCCTTTAACTATACCTGGTCGTCATCAATCTCTCTCTCTAAGCTGGGCAACCCTGTTGGGTGTGTACTGTTACCTGTTCCAACGATGCGCGGGTCCGCAAAGTGCTTGGCGAGGATGGCGGCGAGCTGAGTCAGCGTTTCTTCATAGCCTGATGGAGAAAATTAAACGTTGTGTGACAGAGAGAGAGATGGTACAGTTGTCTGGGAAATGAAGTAAACTCTACAATGTTTTTGAGCACTTTGTAACTATATCTCCCTCCAAACATCGGATGAAAGTCAATATTTAACTTTCAAAGCATTTGCTCATCCATCCAGTAGCTCAAATTTGGAAAAGAGAGGAAGCAATTTTATATCTTAATCAACAATTAATCAAAAAATAATCAACCGGCTAATCTAAATTAAATAATGGTTTGTTGCAGCCCCAACTGTGATTAAAGTGATGGTTTCACTCAGCTTCTGAGAACCTTCAGTCGACAGGATCTCACGCAGCTGAGCATGAATGTTTGACCCTCTGAGCCCAGATGTCCTCTGGGCTATTTCCTCTTTTTCTACGCCTTATAAGCCTAAAGTCAACTAAGGTGAGATATATGATTAAATATTGCCTTTGACAGTACAGGGAATTCATTTGTTATCAAATAGGAGCAAACACCTTTCATGACGTCACCGTATCAATTTATTTCTGATCTTTATTTATTTTTTTTTGGAACGCTGAACAAAAGTGAAAGATGCATTCCCATGAAAAAAAACCTAAAAGAGTAATTTTTGTTAATATAAATGCATTGTTTTTCTTTAATTGAGGAGGGATGTGAGACCCTTTGCCAATAGAACCATTTAAATATAATTAACATTTAAAATAAGAACAACTGCATTGTCTATTTCAATTGCATACTATCTAATTATCTTATTTCAAGAGTAAAAATACTCATTTCATTGGCAAAAAATCCTACTTACCTTCTCAAGTTAAGGGTAAAAACACCTAATTTAGGATATTTTTACTTGTTTCTAGATCTTTTTGTAGTCCATCAGTTACCTGGCAGCTCCTCCATGCCGTTAGCAGGGCTGAAGTAGTTCTTGAGGGCGCTGTATGTGTTCATGGCCACGTTGAGGTAGAACTCTGGAGTGAAGGCGAACAACGTACCGGTGGCGTCGGCGTGCTCGATGGTCCGGATGCAAACACAAAGCAGCCAATAGACGTCCAGCATTTTCTCCTGAACACAGGCAGGAGTTAGAATTTCAAATGGGTCAGATACATACCAGCACGTTCTGCAGACGGTGAAGCACCTTGGAGTAGATGGTGGCGTTGATCCAGGCCAATCTGCGGCTCAGGTGGTTCAGCTTCTCTGCAAAAACATTTTGACTCTTCTGGAGCTCGTCCAGGATGTCAGCACGCTGAAATAAACACAACCCAGAGTCACTGGCTGGATTCAAACACAACCATCAGAACTGAACCTACAGAATACTTCAAACAAAACCAATGTTAATGTTCTACTGAATTAAGGGAGGGTTCTGTTAAAAAAAACATTTGTTTGGATCTTTCAGCGCCTGAAACAAAAAATTATCTCCAAAGAAAACATATTTAATTTAAAAGGAGGAACTTTCACATCAGAACCTGAACTGCACCTCGTTAGGCAGAAGAAGGTGATGATGTCAGATTATTTAACGAGTTTCTACAATTTTGCTGTGATTAAGCTGAAGAGGGGGGGAAAATTCTGCACTAAAAGAAAAAACATTATTTTATAATTTAATTTAACTTAGATTTGTTGGTTCAGATGTCTAAAGTTTTAATTATTGGCTCTATCCAGTCAGAGAAGTGTTCTGGTGGGCTGTCACTGTGGTTCTGACCCAGCTCAGAGTTCCTCCCCATCAACACTGGAAGATCTAATGTTCCGCTCTGCGTCTGTTGCTCTCTGCTGCCCCCTGTAGGAGCCGGACAGCAGGCAAAACTACAAAAACCTACAGCATCAGCAGGCAGAAAAGCTCCGATTCTGTCCTCACCCGAGCAGGACAGCGAGCGATCTTCTCCTCCGTGTCCTTCAGAGCCACGGCGTATTCATGGACCTCGTCTGCCACCACCACCATCTGCCAGGAACAGGAACACGTTTAATCATGACAGATCTGGAGCAGCAGGTTCTGATGCTGTTTGAGAGCACATTCCTTCTGGCTGACCCAACATCCCGCACCAGGAGCCTCTAATGGAGCTGCAGCTGATCAGTGCTTGTAAATGTAAACCAATCATAGACTTATTTTAGATAATTTCTTAAAGGGACACTATGCAACATTTTTCAGTTAATTAATGTGTTCCATAACGTTATGGATGACTAAATGAGTCATTTCAGGTTGAACAAAGGTTTTCTCGGCCGCCCTGGTGGTCTGTAGGGGAAATACTGCACTTGCAACTGCAGGAGCACCGACCCGCACCCACAGGATCAGAAGTCTCGTGAGAGTCAGTCTTGCTTTACGGCGAGAACTGCTACACGCCCCCAGTTAAAAGCATTCTCGTTGCTAGCACAGTGGCAATCTTTGTGCAGTTATGCTACGTTCACGCAGCAAAAGCAGCAAAATCGCGTCTGCTGCTTCATTTTTGCTGCTTGTACCAGTTAGTTCTGACGCGCGGCTGAAGCAGCTTTGCTGCTCTGGCTGTAAAAGTGTGTCTGAGGCGCGTTGGGCGGAGCTTCACTATCCTTTCTCTGCCTTGCAGCTATATTTGCTGTGATCAGTGGGAATAAAGTAGTTTTAATATGTGTTTAAGTTAGAAAATACACCTGAAAACGTAATCAGTGCAGTCAGTTCATTCAGATTATTATCCTGCCTTCAATATTTTTTCTGTCGGAGCCGCTCAGACCCCCACATACCAGCGGGGCGCCAACGGTATGGATCCCTTCATCAGCAGCGGTTCACCGCGGCAGCTGGTAGGTGTTTTTCATCTAAATAATCCAAACTGCATATTCTGCCGGCAGATTTCTGCATTTTAAGTTAATTTAGGCGTCAATAAACTGTTTAAGAGGAGAGATCATCAGCGCTGTGTCTCTCTCCCTGCGTTAAACGCACCCGACGCGCTGCTTCAGCTGCTCAGACGTGCTGCGCCTGCTGCTCAAAACGCGCCGCGGGACCTTTTGCTGCGCCTTGACGCGCGTCAACCATTGACTTTGCATGTAAACTCGCTGCTTCTGTCGCGCCAGCTACGTCCAGTGTGAACGCAGCGTTAGTCATTCGCTGCTAAGCTCAAAACAACCGCGCCTGGCTTGACGGAGAAACCAGGAGAACAGCTGTGCATATTTACGACAGTGCACTTTTACTTTCGCCCTCTGGAGGGAGCCTCACTGGAAAATCAACACCGGTTGCATAGTGTACCTTTAACATTTTCTAAATAAATAAACAATCTAAATCTTTCAGATTCAATAAAAAGCTGTTTTCTCATTTATAAATAAAACATGTTTACATACATTTGTTGATTTAACTGATGCTGATGTAGAATAAGCTCTCCTCACACTGGATTCATTTTAACTAGGGATCACATTGAATCAGTAAAAATTGCAGAGATTGTCTGTGTTGTTAATCCTGTCCCAATCAGCCATGTCAGCAATTAGAAAAGTAAATGTCTTTACTTTCTACATTTATCTGAACTCTAAGGCTCTGTGATAATTAATCACTGCGAATAGGAATCTTTTAAATCTGGTCAGAAATTAGGGGACGATCATAATATGGAGTGCACTGGGTTTCTTGATTGAGAGCCGACATAACTCTGTGGTAGTAAGTAGAGCTCTGTTCTTTACATTTGAGAAAACAACCCATTGATTAATTTTTATCTTACTTTTATCTTACTTTTCAATATTTGAGGCAGGATGTTGCATTAATGTGTGGACAGAAGGTAAAAAATGTGGCAAAGTCCCACAATTATTAGGACCTGTCACAGGTGGATGACATCACTGCACTGCGAGTTAAGGATCATTTTCTTCCGTTTGTGATTCAATCAGGCTGCAGTTATCCTGTGCAAATGCACAAGATAAGAAGCAGACATAGGGGGATAATCTATTTATTGAATAGGCTCTGCAGATAACGCTGTAATACAACTCAGGATGATTAAATGAATACTACATCATTGAAGAGAAATATGGAGGGTATTTCCTTTTAACAGCCTCATTAGATCCATTTCATCTCAAATCTTTATTTCTGTGTAAAACTCTCTATACCCTCTATAATAGATCAGTAATGCACCAAGATGGCTGCTGCTGCATGGTGGCACGGCTTCAGTAACAGCAGCAGTCACATGACTGACCTTCCCCAGCTGTTGATGAACGCTCAGGTTGTACATCATCACAATACCGTCGATGATCTCAAGCAGAGACTTGTCTGTGATTGGCTGATCTGGCTCCTCCTGCGGTCGCCCCAGCAACAGGCCGTCGTTTCCGTGGCTCCCTTCGACTGCATGGCAGAGAGGAGACAGGAAGAAGGAAGTTGAACCTAGACAACAGCAGAACCCAAGGGGTCCAGAGACCAGGCATCACTCACTGTCCTCCTCGGTACGCTGCTCCACAGCCAAGGTCCGGACCTTGACCTTATCTGGTTGAGACAGCGGCCGTCTGGGGGTCATCAGGCTGACCGCGGCCGTGCTCAGGAACCGGTTGGCCCGGCCCAGAGTGGGAGAACTCAACCAGCTGGGCCTGGCTAAAGCTCCGCCCATTGCTGCTGCTCCGAATGGCCTCTGAAAGGAGAACAGAGGAGAAGTGGTCAGGAGAGGACAGAACAGGACAGGTTGGGTCCTTCTCCTCCCTATCTGATGCTTGCTGGTATATCTAATAGTTCTAAACCAGCCTCTATTGTTCTGTTGGGTCAATTGGTTTCAAGCCACGCCCCTGAATCAGAGCTAATCCTCCAGACCTGAGCAGCCCCGCTCTCCTCGTCTTCATCCAGGTCGTCCATGGAAGCGGCTTGGATCTCTGCAGGATCGATGACGATGTTGGCCTTACTGGAAAGGTCATCTGGAAAACATAAAACGCATTCATCAGGGAAAGTGGAAGAGGAGGCGGCAGCACCCTGAATGGGGTCAGATCTCCATCTAAATCTGATCATCAGTGTGAGCAGCGAAGGAAAGAGGTCCAGGCCTCCTGATGAAGACCATCATAGCATCTATGAAGGTTGACAACATCAAAAGCCGATGGTTCAAAAAATACTATCATCCTCTTCTACACATTTTCATGGTGGAGACCCTCTGTATGGTGAATTATAACTGAGCTCAGCAGAAACTTCTAACAGGGGTTGTTCTGCTGAAAAGAAACCAGTTTAACCAGTTTAAAAAGTCCCAGTTTTTAATCTAACTGCAATGATAAGGACGAATGAGAGCACAATCGCTCCTTATATGAGGAGGGTGTTGTCCAAGCTTACGAGGGGCGTTCAATAAGTAATGCCCCTGACCCACTTCCAGATGTTTGATCCAGCTGAAATTTTGAATGTGAGGTTATTTAAATCTCTATAGATTAAGTAGCAAATTACAGCTCTGAACTATTTGTGGTTTCTGACTAACAGGTGTCTGAATTGAGTAAAGTCTGAAATGCAGCCTGTTGAGTGTTGAGCAGTGATCCGCTTATTCTATTTAAAAGGACTCACACCAAGGGAGACTTTTGATTAAATTAAAGTAACTCATGGTGATGATGCCCGTTATATGACCTTGCAAAATGTTTTACAAGGTTATATTATGGGACATTATCACTATAAGTTACTTTCATTTGATGAAAAGTCTCCCGTTGTGTGCGTCTTTTGAATGCAAAAAAAACAGACCTGACTCAGTTTGAACACCTGTAAGTCAGAAACCACAACAGTTCAGAGATGTGATTTGCTATTTAATCTATAGAGATAATTTCACATGGAAAATTTCAGGTCGATCAAACATCTGGAAGTGGGTCAGGGGCATTACTTATTGAAAGCCCCTCGTACATCCATCATGGACAACACCTTTCACCCCCTGCACCAGACTGTAGAGGAGCTGTTCAGCTCATATAGTAACAGAATTATAAACCCGCGTGTGTAAAAAGATGCGCTACCACAGGTCATTCATCGCTGCTGCCATCAGACTCAACAATGCCACTACGCTATAACCTGGTGTAATAACACTGCAATAACTTATACTATTCCCTATTTAACAAACCAGAAACCGTACTTTACCTGCCACCACTTTACTGTACATAAGATTCTGTATATATTAGTCATCTTAAATATCTTTTATTTTTTACCATTCACTGTATATATCTGGATGCACTCTATGTGCTTCAAGCACCTTTTCCTCCTTTGTGAACCTTTTGTTTTTTTATAAGAGCCAATGTCATAAGGGAATTTCTCCATTGTGAAATCAATAAAGTTTTACTCTAATTTATTCTATGAACGATTGTCTCACCTTTAAGGGTTTTCTTCAGGTGAGAAAGGAGCCCCCCCAGTCTTTGCAGGTCAAAGTAGTCGACCTTCCCATTGTAGAAGAGCTGCGGGGGGACGTAGGCATCTGTAGAGATAGAAGAGAGACAGACTGATAAGATAGGAAATAGAGACATCAGAGATGGAACAGAAAGCTAATGATAAACACTGACTGGAAGAAACTGCAACTACACATCTAATCGTTGTAGCTCTGACTTCAAAACAGTAATAAAAGACTCACAACGCCACCGGACACTATTGCATTAACGTTGCTAATAAGAAGGCCTCATCCAGCCTTAATCACAGTGTTTGATCTCTACTGATCCAGTGGATGAAGCTTTTTCTGGATCAGCTTAGCTTTATAATCCGTATGCATGAACATTTAGCACAAAGGTCTTTGGATCAGTGCAACAGCCTGACATCCGAAGAAAGAGAATCTCCAAAGGAGACGTTGCATTCCTTCCTGTTTTTCTACCCATCACTGCTCTATTACTGGAACCGCTCAGACCAGTAAGGCTGAAATCCAGTTGGTTCCTGACCCAGAAACAAAATAAAATGGTCTAATTTAGCATTTCTCCAATGTCTGGCAGGAAGCTATTTTAGCTGTAGCCTTGTGCATGTTTAAAGTTTAAAGCTCTTGCTTTGAACTTTCTGCTAAATGTTGCTTTGATTGTTTAAAGTGTGTTAATCAGAAAACTTTCAGCAGACCCCAGGCTAGCCAAGTCAGACCAACTCCTTTGTTCTTCTTTGCTTCCCTGCTGTGGCCAGTAGGGATGTTTCTACAGCATTTTTGTATATATTAGATGACAATACTGCAGTTTTTTCTTTTTTTCTTGTTTTTTTTAAAGCTTCCTCTCTGCTGTTGGGGCTGCAGCATGTTCAACCTCCTCGGTGAGCGGTGTGTCGGTTGGAGTTCATGTTCCGACAGCTCTTTCCTTATGTATATATGCAAATAAATGTGTTTAAAAACACATTTACCACGGATGTTACGCTCATTTAAAGGTCAATTTTGATTCTAAAAGTCTCAGCGACTTATTTAGCATCTGTGCTGATGAGCTGAGGAGGAAGCCCAGATGACAAAGATCCATTATGCTTATAAAGATGAGTGCATCGTCCTGATTTTCAGCGTAACGGTGACTTTTTTTAGAGCATAACGGTCCGTCGAGACTGATCTACTGTCTCTAAAAGTAAGCACTCACACACGCCTTTTAAGTCTATGGTTTGGTAATACAGTGATAGTTATTGCTATCTTTATTAATATTTATTAGCTGCCAATTGCAGATATAAACTGTGATTATCAACATTTGCTAGTGGTAAACAAACAAGACCACAACAGAACTTAACTGTTGAAAGTTTTGCTGCTGGTGCAATAATTAAAAATGCCTTTTTCAAACCCTAAATATCTACAAATTGTGGGGGATTTTGGTCATTATGATTTTCCATTATAATTGCTAAAAAATATTCAAAACCAAATTACAAAACAGGTAGATAAAGACCTAAAGAAAGACAACCCAGGTAGAGCCCTAATTAATAAAGAGCGAGGCACTGCACATATAATGAAAACCTGGGTAAGGACCTAAATAATGAAAGATCAAGGTACAGAGAAATTAATCACGACTCAAGTAAGGAGATAATCAATTAGAATTCCAGGTACGGGTAAATTAAAGAGAAACACAGGTAAGGGTCTAATTACCGACCACTCCGGCACAGACTAATCATCGACAGCCAGCGTACAGAAATAATTAACAACCAAGTGATGGTCAAATTAACTGTTAACATGGCTCTAATGAACTTCATCTGCAAATCACTCAAAGTTATTAGTGTTTAAAGGACGGATCACAGGCAGCAGCTCTTCAAGATCCTCAGATTTTCTCAAACTGTAGAGATGCTAAAGCTCATGAGGACACAGCACCACCATGTGGTCCAAGAGGAGTCGAAGTAAATCAAATTTTAGCTCATTGTTACTTTTATGATTATGCTGTTCAGGGTGCTGCCGGCTAGGGCTGAAAAATAATTAATTGGATTAATCATGATTAATCGATTATTGAAATAAACGTCAAATACTTTAGTAATCGATTAACCGTTACCTGGAATATAGAGATTATAAAACATGCCTGTAGGTGACAGAGTGACCCATTTAGCACAGCCATTATACCAAAATATTTAAACATTTTCCTTTTAAGATAAAAAAAACTCTCAACAGATCTCCTCAAATTAAAAAAACTCTTCTTTCGCTATTCGACTATTTATTGATTAATCTAAAAATAATCAACAAGTTAATCCTTTTGCAAAATAATTGGTAGTTGAAGCCCTACTGCAGGCATCAATACACTCGATGCAACCAAAGAAACTCCTGACAATTAGACGATCCAGCTGCTCAATCTTTAGAAAACATGAATTTCAAGGTCAGTACGCCCCAGGAACAATTAAACTCAGAGGAACAGCCTCCATCCATCGCTGCAGCCTTTAAACCTCAGCAGAGAAACTTCTATTATCAGCTGTTCCAGGTGTTTCATATCTAGCAGACAGAGTGATTATGTTTGAAACCTCCTTCATCACTAAGGATGCAGCAGATGATGATGATGATGATGATAAGATCCCACCTTCACTGCTGAGGCTGCTGGGGCTCTTCCTGTTGCCTTCATCCCAGCAGCTCCTCACGGCGGTGATGAGGCGGTGCAGGAAACACACCATGTACTCCGGAGGGCACAGAGCTGTGGGATGCTGCTCAGACACAAATTGGATCATCATGATGGTTACTGTTCTGCCAAAAGCCCATCAGTAAACACCTTTAAAGCTGAAACACATCCTCAATCCACACTGACCAACTTCATCAGATAGGACTCAGTTAAATAAACAGTATGATTGATGTTATGCTGATGCTTCTCTGATGGTTCTTACCCCTCGGTTGCTGGCGTTTTCCTGCAGGAACTTCCTGAACTTGTTAAGGAAAATGTAACGAGAAGCTTCACCCTGGAGGAGATGGAGAAAGATGTTTCAGTTAGAGCTGAGAGGGTGGAGCAGAACATCAACCTGCTCTGATCATTCCTGGGCGTCCTACAAAGCCTCTGCATCAAAGATCATCAATTTAAACTTAAATGGTTTCCATTCAAATACCACCAAAGGTGGGTCCAACACAGCTATCGTTTCAGTAGCATTGCTCCATGATAAAGAACTAGCAGATGATAAACCTCAACAGCGAAAGCTTTGACAAATTAAACCATTATCACTCTTTTTTTATCATTACCGTCGTTTTATCTTTATTGTTGAGCAGCAGCTTGAGGATCTGGACCTGCAGGTCCTCCACCACTGAAGAATAGCATAGGAGAAGTTCATCCAAAGGAATATGAGGGAGAATCTGCAGGAGCAGACAGCATCTTCCAAAAGGTAAATCACCAGAAAACAAGCAGACCTTCGATCCTCTTCTTCAGCCTCTGGCAGCCTCTCTCGTATGCTCGGCGCCTCAGACGCTCGTCTGAACTCTCGTCTGTGGGCTCTCGTTCATCTTTACCCTGCAGGAGGGAAATTCAGCTCAGTCTGTGTTTGCAGAACATTTCCTTGAATTTTGTTAAAGGAAACCGACACTATCTGAGAAAGATTAGTTCTTATTCAGTTCAGATTGGCATCTGAGTATCCCCACAATCAAACACACCATCAGCCCATTTCTAGACTGGACCGGCACAGCTGAACCTTATGTACACTCTAAATACTACGTTTCTATGTCCAGGTCTGTCTTATATCTTCAAGTGTTTTCAATCTCTGCTTGTGTGTTAAAAAAAATGGTTTTAGTCTCATATTTCACCCATTTTCACTCAATTGAACCCTGAACTCATAACATAAAAACCTGTAGAAGTTCTTAAGCTTTAAGCAGACTCTCCCACTGGTCATCAGACTGGTTCTGCAGATCTTCAGGGGTTCTGTTTACCTCTTTATCGAAGTGTGTGGGCCACCAGGTGGTCGGGATGAGCTCCTCCAGCCCCGCCTCCTTAACCCTCAGAGGAGTCTTAATGTAGAAGAAGACCACAGAACGTAGAACATCAAACGTAAGCTTTGTTAAGGAAACCAGGAGTGTGACCCAAACTCTGTGGACCAATCAGCTGCTGGTCCTGAAAACAACCTAAGATCAGACAGCGATTACAGCGAAAGGATATAGGACATTGTTGAGCAGGTACTTCCTGGACTTCTCATGACGCAAGATGGCCGTGGTCAGGCGCAGATAGTGGATCTGGAACAGAGACAGACAGGATCTGATCTGTGGAGGGGAGTTCATCCTGGTGACGGGTTAGCAGGAAGGGAGGCATACCTGGAAGCCCAGGTCTGGGATGATGGGAGAGAAACGGTACGCCCTCAGAAGAGACATCATGAGCTGCTTTAGACACTCGTTTACCTCGTGGTCCTGCAGACAAAGAGGAACAGTCAAGTTTTCAGTTCCTCACAACCTCAAGGAACAATCAGAGGACGGACCTAAAGTCCATCCAGGAAGTTTTCACAGCTCTAAACGTTTAGCCTTATTCTAAATGTACTCCGTCATCTAAAAGTTGACATTTTTTTTTAGAGCATTTCAGATTTATTACAGACAGAAAAAACATTAATTTAAGCATTCACAGCCTGTACTAGGAAGCTCCTACTGTAACATGGGACGTTTAACCTGGGTTTTCTGGGGGAGGGTGTCCTGCACATCTTAGGCTACGTTCACACTGCAGGCCTTAATGCTCAATTCCGATTTTTTTGTGAAATCGGATTTTTTTGCGTGTCCGTTCACACTTCCAAGTATATGCGACTTGTATGTGATCTACTGTGTGAACTGAAAGCGTTCAACCGAAGTGTCCCGCATGCGCACTCGAGGACGCGATGACGTCACATGTAGCAAGCGTCCTCAGTGTTTGCGGAAGTAAACATGACTCGTAATACCGCAGCGTATATTGCGTTCTTTAAGTTCTTCTCCAACAGGAGCAGGCACATTACGAACGAAATCTTTTTAAGAAGATCAAAAAGAAAGAGAGCCAGATTTCTTGCAATGGCGTTTTGTGGAGCAGTAATAGCAACGTCCGTAAGTCAGCAACCTCACTTTCTCTCCATTGACTGCTCTCTGTGTTATCTTCCGCCATGGTTGTTAGTTTTTCCCGCCTCCGCTTAGTAGGACGCAGATTAGTAACGTTTTTAGTAACATTTGTCAAGTATCAATGACGTGTAGGGCGGATGAATGCGACCTGGCCGTACAGACACAGGTCGCATTTGAAAAGATCAGATACGTATCGGATTCAGGACCACATATCCAAGTGGCCTGGGTCGCATTTGAAAAAATCCAATCTGTGTCGTTCAGACTGTCATAAAAAGATCAGATACAGGTCACATATGGGCAAAAAAATCGGAATTGGGTCACTTCAGGCTGCAGTGTGAACGTAGCCTTAGATGCGACTACAGCTCAGTTCAGTTGTCGATGAGCCATCAATGGAATAATGGAGGACAGGATCAACTTTGGACAACCCTCATCTAGAAGTTTGTTCTTTCTGCAATATTTCCATAATAAAAACACTAACCTCCAGTAGGAGCTTCACACATGCTCCTGTCTCTGGAATTTCTAAGATTCTGCTTCATTGAAACTGGATTTAATCTTAGTTTGATGTAAACCAAGGCCACACAGATAAAACACATCTATAGTGATAAACCAGCTTTAACTGTATTATGATCTCAGTGATGGTCTGATCACATTTCAAACGGTTTGGTAGAGGTGCTTATTATTTCATTGACAGAACAACCCATCAGGTCTGGTAAAGGTTTAGAATGGTGCTCCATTCAGACAGCTTCATACTCGCCTCCATTAGCAGCCAAAAGAGGTCCAGCAGCTGCTGGATGAGCGGATGTTCATCCACAGATCCTCCTCCTTCCAGGATCCCCAGCAGGAAGTTCATCAGAACATCCTCCACCAGGTAGACCTTACACTGTGGAGAAAACACACTGTTTACATCAGAGGGAAACCTCTGCAGCGCCGCCTGCAGGTTGGTGCTGTTCTCCACAATCTCAGCAGCATCTGCATCTTCCACTGCTGACAATTAGAAATGTGACTTTGGCAGGGGTTCCTGCTGCTGCTTCCTCTGAGGAGGAATTTCTATATTTTAGCATAAAAAAATAAAAGCTACCACATCTTTGAAACACAATTGTTTGTATATTTTTCAGGACAGACAGACATTCTCACTGAATACTAGGTAGGCTAAACGTCCACTGTAAATTTTAGAAAATAATTGGTCAAATAAGTATTGTTTGACTTAAAAAATGTGGTCATTAAACTGAATTAAATGTGCGCTAAAATGCGCTCCATTTCAAGAGTATGTTGGGTCCTCTCAGCAGCCGTCAGACTAGAGGAGACAAACTCTGGTCTGTTTCCCCATCAAAAAAAGACTTCTAAAGTCCTTGCCTTCCCACATGATCAAAGCTTCCACTGACCTCTCCCTGGGTTACAAAGTCAGATGTAAATATACCGTATTTTCACGACTATAAGGCGCACTTAAACGTCTTTTTTTCCCCTCAAAATGTGCGGTGCGCCCAATGGTGCGGTGCGCCCTATGTGTGTTGTAACTGCGACTTTTGAGACCACCCCATTGAGGAGATGATGAAAGAGTGGCTGAATGTAAGGAGACCAGGTGTGTTTTTTTTCCACTCATCACCATCGCTGTTAATATGTGACTCCATGCGTGCCCATCTCACAGCTGATGTGAAAAACATGGTGAATCAAATGAACGCTGTGCTCGCCGTTATCCCGGGGGTCTGACAAAGGAGCTTCAACCGCTCGACATCGGTGTGAAGCGGCCGTTCAAAGTAAGGCTGCGAGCGGCGTGGGAGCGATGGATGACAGACGGAGACCACAGTTTCAGGATAAGTGGAAGGCAGCGCCGGGCAAGTTACGCCACCGTTTGCGGATGGATTGTTGATGCTTGGACTAACGTGTCTGCTGGCTCTGTTGTTCAAGCTTTTGCAAAAGCCGGCATTATTTCTGAGGAGCCGCGCTGCACGGAAAGTGACTCTGACAGCGAAGAATGGGAAACTGGCATGTCTGATTTAGCGCAGCTGTTTAATTCAGAAACAGAGGATGATGACTTTGATGGGTTTGATTAATACTTTGTAATAAATACATGAATAAAGCACAATCATACTCAGTTTTGCTCCCGCTCTATTTTTCTCCCTGAAAACTTAATTCAACAGCAGCCTCTGGGCGGGTCTCCTCCTCTTCACCGCGGCGGCTGGCAGGTGTTTTTTCATCTAAATAATCTAAATCTTGCAGCTATATTTGCTGTGATCAGTGGGAATAAAATAGTTTTAATATGTTTTTAAGTGAGAAAGGCCACCTGAAAACTTAATTGCAGTCAGTTCATCCAGATTATCTATTTCTGTCGGAGGCGCTCAGACCCCCACATACCAGCGGTGCACCGACAGTAAATCCCTTCAACAGCAGCCTCACACGGCTGGCAGATGTTTTTCATCTAAATAATTTAAACTGCAGGCACCCATAAAAGCGAACATATTCCGTCGGCAGGTTTCAGGATTTTAAGTTAATTTAGGAGTGATCACAGCGCTGTGTCATCTGCGATGTGTCTGTCTCACGGCCAGCTGCCAGGTTTGATTAATACTTTTTAATAAATACATGAATAAAGCACAGTCATACTCAGTTTTGGGCCCGCTGTATTTTTAAAATACGCAGTAGAGGTATTTAAAGGTAGTAGAGGACATGTACCTGTATATAAAAAGGCGCCCTATAGTCCGGTGCGCCTTATGTGTGTGTTAAATACAGAAATGGGACACATAACTGAGACTGCGCCTTTTAGTACGGTGCGCCTTATGGTCATGAAAATACGGTAATAGAAATAAAATTTTCAACGTAATGGTTTGTTGTTCTTTTTTTGGAAACTGTTACACTTGAATAAATCTCTTCCTGCTTACGATTCAGTTACTTGTTAATGCCTGTGCCTCTACCGTCTTTTGCTTACATTTGACAACATGATTTGATGTATGTAGTTTAGGATCAGGTAAAGTATTAATAAAAACTTGAAACTAATTAATTAGTCAATCTAAAGTTTCAACTTATTGGGAGTTTTTTTTTATTACTTTCTGTCAAGCCAATGTTGACATTTCTCTCTTCTAGGAGCAAGGTATTACCAAACATGCAAACGAGTCAACGATGTCATCTAAAACAGCCAATAGCAGCTTTCCTTGCTAAAGAGTTGGTATCAGAGAGGTCTGACGTAGAGAAAGAAGAGGTACCTAAGAAAGGTTAAGCTGAATGCATTTTTAGCTCCGGTGTGTAATGTTGCCGCATGCTGCTTTTGAACAACAATATGTAGTTAATCAACATAGTTTGGCCCTCGTGCGTAATATTTCCAATACATTTTTAGTTGAGACTCATTTCTGGCTACATTTTTAGATGAGTGTATTAGGACATTTTCAGAAGAAGAGGAAGGAAACTGAGGAAAGGTTTCAGGTAACGTTAGATGGGGATGAATATAGAATATAGAAATGATCACGCAGCTGTTTGTCTCACCATGAGAGGAGCAAAATAGTTGAAGATGTGAGCCAGAGTGATGAGAATGGTTGGTTCTCCATGAAGCCTCCAGGCTGCAGAGTCCTTCTCCAACAGCTTCTCCTCCTGCAAACACAGAGGATTTTAAAGGCATCAGAGACCGAGACAAGTTCCTAAACTATACATCCATGACCTGAAGCAGGTCACCCTTCATCAGATCACCATGGAGATAAGCCAATCAGAGGTTTAGTTACCTGGGCATCGATGGTGACAGACAGAACATTCTTGATGTAACCCAGCAGTCTGTGGGCCTTCAGCAGGTCTGCGGTGGGGGGGTCCTGAAGGGGCAGGTAGCCTTCCACTGGGTATGTAGGGCTGCATGGGTTAAAGACTTACACCCGATTCAATGAGAAGAACCACATCCCTGCATGTCCAGAGGTTCAAGTGAGTTTAGATTCTACAGAGTTCTTTCTCAGCAGAGTCCTGTGCATCATGCATCAGGATGCATTCACTGGAGCTCAGAAATTTCACCCGCTTGGTTTTGCTACCTGCATTCACCCTTTTAACCCGTTTAACTACCGAGTGCTGAGAATTTCAGGAAGTTACTCCTACTTAAGAATAAAAACTATGAACTTTCTCAAGTCTAAAAATCACTCCAAATATTTAGAGAGACCTCCAGAGGCGTCTTAAGAGGGAAGGAGTTGACATTAGAGGTTGGTACTGAGGACAGAAAGATGCTCACAGACAAAAGCGTCATAATTGCCTGCCACTAAAGATCTGCTAGCATCTCAAACCAACCAGTTTGTATTTTAGGCTTTTAAAATTAGGAAAAACTAAACAATTCATAAACATGAAGCATGGATTCTCTTTTATAGGGAATCCTTTGACATATAAAAACATGAAAATAAAACATTATTTGTAAGCTGATGAAAAAAAAGCTCTAAAAATGTATTTCTGCTTCTTTTAATGTCTTTCTGTTGTGAAAATTGTATTTAAATATTCTTTATATAAATGAATATAGTTTCTAAGATAGTTTTTTATTGCTACAGTATATTAGTTAGTTCTTTATATCATTTTTAGCCATTAAGGAGCTATTGTAGAGGGTCCAAAGAGCAACATGTGGCTCCGGAGGAGCAGGATGCAGACCGCCTGGTTAGACTGATGTCCAACTTATAGGTATCACATTTAAAAAAAAAAAAAAAAATTATCAGTCTTTTTCTAATCATTATCCCAGAAAAGATGATGAAGAAGAAGCCCTTTCTGATGCTGAAAGGATATCTGAGCGGTCTGCTGCCGAAGTTAAAAGCCACCGATTCTTTGAAGGACAGGCTGATGGCCGGGAAGTACGCGACGCCGGGGCCCGTCTTAATGTTGTTGAAGGCCGTACCCAGAGACTGACCGTTCCTGAGGACACAGAGAGGAAACGGTTCTGATACAGACTCTGATCAGCAGCTGATTACCTCAGATTCATGTCTAAACTCTGATTAGCTTAGCATAAAGACTGGAAACAAATGGAAACTGTTAGCATGCGCGTAGACTCACAGGCAGAAGGTGATGGTGCCCTCATCCAGGTCGATCAGACAACTCACAATGTCTCCAGCTGCCCAAGACTGCTCAGAAAAAAAACACCCAACATGAACATCTAACCCACTCCTGACCCCCCCCAGACACTCCCACGGGTTCCACGCCTCACCTTTCCGTAGTTGGTGGTCGTCACGTTCCACTTCCTCACCCGGTTCCCATCATAGGCGTAGGAGTCTGGAGTGTCCCCTACGCCTTCCTGAGGAGAAAATAGAGACCCTGGTGAACGCTGAAACCCATGTCATCATCGTCATCATCACCATCATCACCTCTTGGTTGAAGCGACAGCTCAGTGTGCACCAGCCGATCTGCATCAGCCCCTGGGAGGAGATCAGAACCTCGTAGGCCCATTTCCCTGCAGAAACAGAACTAATTCAGTCCAGATGTTCTGTAGAGCCTGGTTCAGAGCGCCCAGACAGAGAGATGGTTTACCTTTAAACACACAGCTGGTGGCTCTGATGGAGCTGAAGTTACTGTGGCCGATCACCTGCAGGAAGTAAACATGATGTGAGACATTCTAGTACCGCCTGGAGCTTCCTTATATCCATTGGAACCCGGCTCACCCCCAGCAGGTCATCATCCACAAACAGCAGACCTTCGAAGCCGCTGGTGTGATCCAGTACCACGGGCTGAGGACCCAGGCGGCCTTCTGCAGACTGATCTGAACACAGAGACGTCATCAGAATGTTCCTCTTCAGCTTTTCACACAAACTCACACGGCCCATGATTTCTTCAGATTCTAACTACAGACGTGAAAGGAAGGACTTGACCTTTACCTCTGCTTTCCTCAGAAGGTTCTTCCTCAGACAGAAGTTTCTCCAAGTGAGATCCCAGGTCCTGGAAACCAAGAGGCTTTCTGCGCACAAACAGAGAACAGATAATCAGACATTAAGGAAACCCATGTCAGAACCAGAACCTCCAGCTAAAGGGCTGGCAGTGTGTCGCAGTGAGCTTGTCGCAGATATTTTTGATTTATGCTCAATATTGAAGCACAGTCTGTGCTATGTTATTCCACGCCACAATGCAAGAGGGACAATAAGGAACTAGCTGTGGGTCTAGATACGGCCGAGGCGGTGAGGAAGTGGGGGCAAGTTTGTGCGACAGCGGAGGGACATGAGGGTGAAAAAGAGCGGGGATCCAGGTGGAAAAAGGGTCGCAGCGTTCTCGCGCACCTCACTCTTCTAGCTGGTCCATCTTCACGAGTTGATTTCCACAATGGCGGTCATACAAACAAAACAAGCCATTAAGGTACCAAACAGGAAATTATAGTGTAGAGCGGATGTAGATATGACCAATCAGATGCCTCCTGTCTGCGGCCACCTACAATTTTGGAGAGGTGCAGCAGAGTGTCTGCGGCAGGGGCCCATTTGCGTTCACTGCAGACAAGTGAAGTGACTCTGAGATTCTTTCCCGACGGTGTGAACAGGCCAAGTCAAATGGAATCTGACTTTTTCTAATCCGAACTGGGCCACATTTGTATGTGGTTTTAATTCGACACAGGTTGGATCTTTTGGAATCTGTCTGAACAGCCTATTGACCCGTATCAGATATCACTCTGTACTGACATCGCAAAAAAAAAAAACAATTACAATAAATATGGAGGAAAGCGAAGATTGGGGTATACAGTGGAGGGACAACGAAATAATGGAGGTAATAAGTGGGTGGATACAAACACCAAAAAGAGTTGACTAGGATGCTGCAACCACACAGTTCTCTTCAGAGATGTTACTGCCACTGCAGTATTTTTAATATACTTTTATGCGAGATAATCCACCTCAAAACATTGTTCAGTCTGTTTATCAAGACTACGATCCTGCTTTAAAATATTTCACGTTAGGAGGTGCACAGATCCCCGTATACCAACTGTGTGCTGTCACTGGGAATTCCCAGCAGCAGCTTTCTCAGGCCAGATCGTCAATTTTTTTTTTCCCCCTACTGTTAATGGCGGCTGTTCATGTATGTACAAACTAGGGGTGGAACGGTTCACAAAATCCACAGTTCGGTTCACGGTTTCGTGGTCACGGTTTTCGGTTTGGTTCGGTATATGTTGATTGTTAGGAAAATCTACTATGTCTTGTATAGTACAACACATGTTGCACAATGCTTGCACACTGTTTTTATCCACAACTTTCTTTCCGTCGTCATCGTAGGTCACTCTAAATGCAAAGTGGTCCCATACAGCAGACCTATAAAGTGCTGCTGGCGCGTCTTCCAACTCCTGTTCTTTCCCACTCGCCATTCCGACACAATTCTCCAAAACAACTGATTTTTTTCTGCTACACCCGGCTAAGCTGCTTCGCTTCTTCTTCTTGTTTACTACTGGTGGTTGGCTTTGGTTGCAGTACCGCCACCTTCTGCTCTGGAGTGTAAACACTTCGCCTATGAGAAAAAGGAGCAGCGCATGAACAGAACGCAACACACGCGAATCGAACCAAGACAGTCGAACTGAACGGTTCGGACGGTTTTTATAAATCATCATTCCACTCCTAATACAAACTGCATGCATCAGAATAATTAAAGCTAACATATTTTGCCGGCAGGTTTAAAGACCTCATGCACGCGCTGTTTAAAAGTTTCTGTTTGCATCGCTCCTACAAGCTTAGTTTCAACAAGAAGATTTGCAATCTTTCTGCTAGACTCACCTGGTAAGTGAAAATGGGGATGACCACATAGAACGGCGGTAAACATATCACCAGAATGATCGACAATTAGGAGGACCACTTATTTTGATGATCCACCCGGTAAAAATAACATCCTCCTCCATACCTTCTGATTTATGCATTAATACACAGTTTCGGGGGATGATCAGAGCGCTCTGTATCAGCAGCGCTCTGTCTCCCTGCCAGCTTGCAGATCAGCTTCTCTGATTGGTTGATGTGGTGCTTTGAGGAGCAAAACTTTAATTTTTCCAACTTATGAAATTTTGAACATTTGGGCAAAGTTTCAAGGGAAAAAACAGGCCGTACAATTTTTTAAGTAAAGGCCATATGACATACAGATTGCTAGCTAAAAGCCTGCGGGCCGACTTCATCATCAACGCAGGATGAATTTTACATTCGAAAAAAATGGCAACCTACAAAGGTTAAAAAATATAACTAAGAAGTTAAAACCTTTTTAGTAATTATGAGGTTTGATGAGATTTTCTCTATCAGACACTTTTTTTAAGTTTCAACATTTTCAGGCAAATATGTTTAACTGGTAATGGATTCCTTTAGGTTTTTTAAAAGTGTATTTAATTCAACAGTAAAATTACTTCATAAAACCTAATGTTGGTTCAGGACAGGTCAGGAGTCTTTTGGAATTTTAGCAGTTTGGGCTTAAAGTCACTCAGTGACACAAAGTGGACTCATTTCAATGTTGGACATAACTTGGATGACAGAGATGACGTGGCTCCAAACCACTGACGACTAAAAATAACCTGATAATATGTTAAAGATTTAAACTCCAAGGCTTAAATAAGACAGCGATACATTTATTAATACTAATAATGAATAAAAGAAGAGACTGGTGGTTAAAGCCAGTGGGCAAATTCAGACATAAGAAAAACAAAGTTTTCCCTTCCTTTCTCTAAGCTCTCAGATGTTCCTGCTGGATATCAGAACAGCTGACAGAATGGGTCTATCATTAGAACTGGGTCTGAAACATGAAGCTGGGCCTCAGAGATGACGACATTCTGAGACACACTCTCTGAGAAACACAACGAGAGACACAAAGCCACAAAGACTACAGAGGAGCCTCTAGTTTTTAAATAATACGGTTACGTACGTTGTTACTATCCAACACCATGACTACCTAAGCTTGTACTGATGCCGTTACTATGTGAAAGCATTACTATCTAAATTATTATTTTAAACCCATTACAATCCAAAATAGTTACTCCCAACACTGGCAAGATGTCAGACTAAACTTCATGTTATTATCCGCTGAAGCAGATAAATGAGGTTTTAACGGCACACAGGTTTAAACAGACCAATATTCTGAGGTTTGCTGTTTTCTAATTTGGAGTTCTGGCTCTGCTGGACTGAAAAAACGACAGAATTTTAGATCGGCAGGTTCTGTTCAGTACCTGAGAGAGGCGACAGTCTGTCCCTGTTTGGTGGAAGGAAACACATGATGCAGGTAGTCGCTCAGCAGCTTCTCATTCACGATACCTGAGAGACAAAGAGGAGAGAAGCTTCTTGAGACCTTCAACACCAAGTGAAACATCAATACCAAGCACCTGGAAGAACTCCCTAAAAACTTCAAATGATCCCACCTAAGGTGCCTACTTCCACTCCCTGCAGGAAGTGGCCATTCTAAGATAAAGAGCTCCATGACCAGGAAATGAGATGTCACCATGGATACCAGACTTAAACCGGTCAAACTTTTGTGCTTTGAAAACGGATGATTTTCACATGATCGGGTACGATCAGCGACCAGCTATTTTAAGCTGTTGGTGAAATTTTCTCTGAGCGGATGAGCATCTTTCTCCCACGCTTGTTTCTCCCATGTTTGTTTTTGTCAGAGTACCTAAAACAAGGGGATAAATGACCCAGACAACAGGAGGAAGAGGAGGCAGAATTCTGACCTCAGACAGTAGCGGCGGGGAATCAGTGCGAGAACAATAGAAGAGACCATCATAAACAGCGACCAGCCGTCTCCCCCTTTGAAGGTAAGAAACCACAGCAATAGATGGGAGGACAGCAAACCGGAGCAGGAAGATGAGGCAGCTCTAGAGGAGGGTGGAGGATCACAGCGCAAGTTTCTATAAGCGCGCTAAGGAAACGGTTAGCTAGGCTAATTGCGTAGGATCTAAGGAGCACGGTGAAGAACCTGTAACTAGTGCACAAGGAAACAAAACGCTGAGGTCGGTGGAGAGGTTACTGCTGACCGGGAGCAGGAGAGCAGTATTTTTGAGAAGCCCACCAGGGAGAATGAGCAGGGAGAGGCTACGGCTGGCCGAGGCTAGCCCATAAAAGCTAACTACTAGAGGCGGAGGAATGACAGTGGGGGAATCAGAGGAGCCTGTGGGCAGACAGCGCAGCAGAGCGGGGAGAGAAGGCGACTGCTGGTCAGTGTCTCTGCTGGAGGTAGGATAATGAAACAGTCCCTAGGGCTAAAATAAAAAGTCATTTTTAAAAGCCACCTACACCCCCTTAAGAGCATTCCAGCTTCATCCTTTGTGAACATTATTTTCTCCAGCTTTCATTTTGATTAAAAAAAGCTCATCTCCGCAGCCTCCTTCACCAAGACAGTGATCAGTTCATGATAGTTTCTCATCTCCTATAATTTTGATACCTAATAATACAATGTATATGTGCATGAGACGGCAGTATTAAAGAATTAATGGATTTGATGCTGTGATCGGCTCCCAAATTCCTGACAGGTGCATGTCTAATGGTTACAGAGGAATAGCAAAAAAAGGGTTTGAGCCCAAGTTTAATAATGCCTTTGAGAATCTTTCCAGAGGAGCAGAAAACCACGACCTAAGCTTTGATGGACTTAGTGGCAGTGATTTAAAGCTGTAAGAAAAGGGACATCTAAAAATTGGACAGATGGTTAAACCATGAGGACGTCATTTTGTAGAAGCACCATGAAAGGAGAACATGCTGCTTCGGGTTATAACTACATGACTTTATGCTGATGAACAATACTGTCTTTCTGCTCATTATCTGGACGCACAGAAAATAAGCTTTTATTAAGCTACTAGGAATAATGTCAAAATAGATTTACAGGAAATGAGAGACTTAAAGATCCATAAATCACCAGCTCATGTTTCCTACAGTCCAGACATTCCTATACTCTATTTTACATAGTGATATTGCTATAATGAAGTATTCCCTATGTATCATGCAGCCCTGCTTCCTGTTCCCGGACCCTCGTCGTTCTTACCTGTGGATCTGGGTTTGTCCGTGTCCGAGGCCAGTCTGTAGTTCCTGCGGGTCAGAGCCGTAACACCTCCCTTTGTGCTCATCCTGACGGGAACTGGATTCACCGATCCATACACTGCTGATAGAAGAGAACCTCCATAATAAGCCTTCACTCAGTTTCTCCAAGAGCAGAACATCAATAGCAGTTAAGGTGGACCCAAAACTGATATCAAATTCAGCGATCTAAAGCCTCTTTCCCACTGAAATTAGCAGGTTAACGCAAGTTTTTCGGTATTTGGCTCTCTTCCCATTGGCAAAAAAAGCAGGTCTGACCCATTCTAGTGAAAGAGCACAGGAGGCTCCAGCTGTGAATCTGAGTCAGGTATCCCTGCTTTTAATCTGGTTCTGACCAGACCTGGATGAACCCTAACCTTTGCTTTAACAGATATCACTCAGCTCTACAGAAAGCTGAATGAAGTGAAGGGAAAAGGGATCAATTGCTCCCTTTCCAAGAACTGATCCCTTTATGATCAGCACCAGGAGTCACAGACACAAACAGAGCAGACACTGTAAACCTGGAGGTCATTTTGACCTAAAGTGGTTCACACACCGCAGGCTTTTTCATGACCCTTAACCCAAGACATCTATATTTGTCTGGAGAAGCTTTGCTGATAAACAGAATAACCCAGATTATCATTTATTGTTTGTTTTCCATCATTCTTATTAGTGATTCAGCCAAAATTGACAAGTTTTTACCTGATTTTATGGCAAACTTGCTTCTTCTTTATTTATTTATCTTAACTGGAAGAAAACCAATTATGGGCAAACATAGCATATAAATAGATAGGTTTCTGTATTCATCATTGACTCAGCAAAATTATTCATGATGCTGAATTTGATTATGTGAACATTATTATTTTTACCATTGTTGTTATTATAGGTTATTACAGGAACAGTACTTGCAGTCATTTCAGTTAATGTGCCAGGCTTAGAAAGATGACCTGTATAAATAAACTGACATGAGCTAAGCGACACAATATTAGTGAAATGTAATCTCTTCTGTTTTAATCTACTGAATGTAAAATTCTGAATAATGTCAAATGTTGGTTGTTGTTGTTAGCTGTAGCTGCAGTTCTAAACTGCTGAAATGATGCTAACTTGCTTCCTTAGCTCACCGCAGTAGTCGGTTTAACACCAGCTAACCGGTTCGGTTCTGGTTCTGGGTGTCAGTGAGATGAACGCGGGTTTGTGCCTCCGTCTCTCGGGTCGGTTTGGTTTCCTAGCAGTCTTTGAAGCTAACGGCAGGCTAAAAGCTAAAGCTAACAGCCTAGCTATAGCAAACACTAACCCGCCGCTTCTCGCCGTCCCAGTACTCTCCTCCTGTTGTGACCGGTTGCTGTAACCTAAACCCCGGCCAGCTGAAGATCTGTAAGCCGCTATTTGCAGCTGGAGCCTAATTTTCACAGCAAACGTCAGACTACGGAGCGCTGCTAGGTTCAAAATAGAGTACTCAAATCCCGTTCCAGGAAACAACACGAGAGCGCTCTTGAGTCACAGATCACAGGTTGTTTTGTTTTGTTTTCTTAACCAGTGACTCCAATTGGGTAACCATCTCCTTTCAGAGGAAGAACTAAATTAGAAGTTTCAAGCTAAAGCTGTAGTTTATGTTCATTTACTGTCTGAAACGCTCTATTAAACGAAATATCATACAGTCTGTGTATACAAAATGACAATACAAGTTGGGAAAGTCTAAGTCTGTAGAGATTTAATGAATAAAAAAATGTCAGAGGGATCAAAATGTAGCTACGAGGTCCACATGAAGACCAAGCATTGCACTCTCCAGCTTTCTGGACCTCTGAATGTATTAATAGACAAAGTGCAAGTGACTTCACTGTCACTGTATGCTCATCCAGAGGGAGGGAATTCTGCAGTCTGACTGGATGTAATCTGATGCTTTTCCTTTGATAGAAAAACTTTAACCAATCTCTCTTAAGGATTTGATTAATTGTCTTTGTAAAATGCTTAAGATGGCATTTGCTGTGAATTGAAGATATGAAAAAAAACTTCAATGATCCACGAACATAATGACAAACCCAAATAACCGACCAAATATCCGTCTAAGTAGGAGGACCAGCTCTACCATATTTAAAAATAAATAAATGCTCAATAAATAAATAAGCATATAATTATTGCACCTAATAATGCAATAAACAAATACATGTAGGTAGAAGTTAACCCACTAAGACACAGCCCTTCCTCATTTACATAATGATGCAGAAATGCATACAGAAATGCAGAGATGGGAAGTAACAAAGTACAAATACTTCGTTACTGTACTCAAGTAGATTTTTCTGATATTTTTACTTTACTTTACTACTTATTTTTATGGCGACTTTTTACTTCTACTCCTTACATTTTTACACAAATATCTGTACTTTCTACTCCTTACATTTTAAAAAATTGGCTCGTTACTTTATTTTTGAATCATTTCAATGGAGTTACCGTTATTATTTTTCACGTCATCAATACCAAATTCAATCTAATTGGATGGGAATCTACGTTGCATTTGAAGCACCACTACAAGATGAATCGACAGATTCGGCGGTATTCATTGGCGGCAAATCATTGCAGCTTGGTGGCGGTGGCGTTAGCATAGTAGCATGGACGACGAGATGATTGAAAATGAACACAACGGAGATCTAGTCCTATAGGCAGACATTCATTTAAAATGTAGGCAACGGCATGAAAAAAGTGGTTTCTACTTTTACTTTTATACTTTAAGTAAATTTACAAGCCTGTACTTTGTTACTTTTACTTGAGTAAAGAAGTTTAATCAGTACTTCCACTTTTACCAGAGTATTTTTTAACACAAGTATCTGTACTTTTACTCAAGTACGGAAATTGAGTACTTTTGCCATCTCTGCAGAAATGTAAAAACGACAGGCAGAAATAAATAGGGTAAACAAAATACAAAGGAAGAATAAAACAGACAAAAAATATAATAACATGCATATAAATAAATACTTAAAAAAATAAGTAATTAATAAATAAATGTAAAGATTATAACAGACAAAAAATAAATAAGGTAATTATTACAATGGCGATAAATAAAGAAGCTATTTCAAAAGATATATACATTTATGTCTCACTGCATAATTAAATGTCTACATACATTTATTTGTTTATTGTATTTTTGGTCGCAATTAATTGTATGCTTATTTATTGAGCATTTATTTAGTTCTATATTTATTTTTAAATATGGTAGAGCTGGTCCTCCATATTGCCGCAGTTTGCAGACCATCATGTTGTTTTAGAAAAATAGTCACACGGGTGTCTGTCTCCCTCTTCTGGTCATTTATTGTCATTACCGGCTGAAACTCTCTAAAGACCACACCCTCAAAAGGGCATGTTCTCCTTGTACATTCACTGGTTTTCCCTGGGGACTTTCACGCATCAACATCAACAACTCAGTTTTACTGAAGAACATACTAGGAAGTTATGGATACACAAGATGAATCTAACATAGACGGATGGTCCATAAAGCATAGGCATTGTTTATAAAGACAACCTGAAGCCTAGCTCCTTCCAGGCATGGACGTAATTTCTGGGGGAGACGGGGGGACATGTCCCCTGAACTTTTTTAACGTCTATTATTGTCCCCTGCACGTTTTACTATCCAAAAACAATGTTATGCTGATAATTGTTGAGCACTAAGAACAAGTGGGAAACCGCAGCTCCCGACTGGCCCTCTGTCTTCTCTTGTGGGATTAGTTGTCACTGCTGTCATTCATGAGCTCACTTTACAAACAAGGCCAAATACGCTGAAGTTAGTTATATTAAAAATAGTTGTGTCCCTGCCATTTCTGAAATTAAAATTTCATCCATACTTCCAGGAATGTTATAGTGGATAGTCTGACTGTTCGAGATATTAAATTCTGTTGAAGTTTTGTCTGCTAATTATTAAGTGTCACTTGCAGGTTGTGCACTTACTGCAGCCTGTCTGTAAATTGACCTCACAGTTCAACTCAAAATGACCTCAAATATACCACCTCAAAACCTGGGATTCGGTTTTATTTCCTGGTATATTTATGTTTGAAGCAAAATATGGAAGGCCTAAAAAAAAAAAAAAAAAAAAAAAAAAAAAAAAAAAAAAAAAAAAAAAAAGCTGTCATATGTGGATGCATGATGTATATACAGTATATCTTGCATAACTTGCTCTGATTCACGTATAACGTCGCTTTTGTTCAAATTAATTCACTGTAGTAGCTGAAAGTTAAACTGTTATTTTGCTCTGAACTCCTACTGTGAATTACCTTTCAAAATAAAACACACCATGTTCAAGGGCACGGAAACACGGATCTACTTCTTACCAGTCCGCCGGAGGGAGGAGTGTGCATTTCATCGTTGGAGGAGAGCACAAGAAATGATGAACAATAAAATATGTCTACCTGAGATAAACTGCTCGTTGATAAACAACTAATGTTTATTCTACTTTATTGTTTAATGTTGCTCCCTAAAATACAATTAATTAGCTTTAAATAGGAAAGTTTTGCATCTGGTTGTTAGCACACAGAGTAAAATATGTCGAATTTAACAGAGCCACTATGATATTATCATTAGTTTTTTCGAAATAAAATTTCTTGTGCTTGTTTTAGCCACATTGTTTCCAAACTCCTCCCCCGGCGCCCCAGTAGTTCTGCCGTCGTGTAAATGGTGCAGAGCCACTCAGATAGAACGGCCAGGCCTATCGGTTACGCCATACACACCCTGCTGTTCAGGTAACGAGCTTTGATTGGCTGATAAAATTATGCTGTCCTGTGATTGGTCAGTGCGCTACCCGCCTCTGGAAGCCCCTATCTTTCTGGAGGGGGCTTTAGAGATTAAGTGGATAAATATTTTATAGTTCTGGGGAGTTATTATTCTCACTGTTGGGTTAAAGTGATCAATAATTTTATCATATTTCCTACATTTTCATATGTCTGTGTGGGTGCGCTGATAATGAGGTGAATTTAGCGAACTGTCAGTAGCGTCTCCCCCCTGCAGCAGGTGACGGAGTCCGGCTAGCCTCCTGTCAGCTCGCTGTTACCTTCGGATCGGTGATTGATCAGTTATTGGGGCTCCCATAGGATCGTCGAACCATTCCCTTCCTTCTCTCAGTGTCTCTTCGGTTCCAGGCAGGAAGATGCTCCGTGCCCGGGTGCTCCTGGGTCCGTCCTGGAGGGGGTAAGTCCCGCCGCTGAACTTCACATGAGCGGACACGGGACTCCGCAGAAACTTCCAGAAGGTGTTCAGATCATTGCCTGATCAATAACTTGTCAGCTGCTTAAATTTGTCGGGGCAGCGAACTGTTGATCCGGTGGTGGTGAGCTTCAGGTGTGGCAGCGGGTTATGTAACAACACCTGATCACCTGCACCTTCAGGCTGGGTCTGGTCCTGCAGAATCACTGAACTTCAGGGTGTGAAAATACCTCAACATTTCATCTTGGCCTCATAATATATTATACAGACTATTGATTCTGCTCTGCAGCAGATCTGCTGCTCTCTGTACCAAACACGTGTGCATGAAAATAACCTGAAATGCAAAACACATGTAAAAAAAAAAAAAAAAAAGCTGTTTTATCACCTTCCCACAGCACAGGTGGTTCTAGACAGGGGCCAACAGGGGACCTGGACCCTGTTATGGCCCCTGAAATAAGTGTCATTTTTTTTTAGAAAAGTTATATTTTACCCTGATTTGAGTAAGAAGTAAGTAGGTAAGATTATTTATTAATTAAATAAGATTATGTACGGAAGAGGATTAGGGCCACTGAAAAAAACTTAACTGATTTTTAAATTGTATCTCAGTTTAATATGGGAGAAAAGTCAGAATTCCGAGATTGAAGTCAGAAATGAGGATATTAAAGTCATAAATTCTTGGATAAAAGTCAGAATTCCGAGAATAAAGTCAGAAATTCCGAGAATAAAGTCAGAAATTCCGAGAATAAAGTCAGAAATTCTGAGATAAAAGTCAGAATTCTTACTTTTTTCCCATATTAAACTGAAATAAAATGTGAAAATCAGTTAACAATTTTTTTTATTTTTTTCAGTGGCCCTAATCCTCCTCCGTAATTATGTGCATTAAAAATAAGAAAAAGAAGCATTCCCATTATCTTATCTAATGTGGATGATATGTAATTTGCTTATTCTAAAGGGCAAACATACAGATAATCTTGGTTACCCTTTCAATTTAAGAGCAAATATGCTTATTTTAAGAAATCTTTACTTAAGATGGGTTTTTGCTCTTTAATAATAACATCAGTTGTTTTCATGATATACGCTGACAGAATGGCCCGCTCTTTTTAATATTATTTTGAGAATATTAGACTTTATACAACTTTTATTGTCATTTTTTATACACAGAATGTATACAAAAACAGCTTTCCAGTAAATGAACATTCCCGTTCCATAAAGTGCAGCAATGATCAAATGTAAACAGTGAAGGAGGGAAAAAACAACATGTTAAAAAAAACAGATTTGGAATGGAAGTTCAGAGCATTAATATATATGGTGCAAAGACCCTTACAAAGGTTCTGCTGATTATTGCATTTATTTTGAGGAGAATCCTCTCAAAAAAAATTAATAATTTATAAAAATCTGCTTTTGTTAAGTATGTAATTCACAAAACAGGATAAAAATATTTTTGTGGTTAGATGTTGTTAGATGCAGAATATTTGCACTGGTAATTGATTCATATCTTGGACCAGTTAACTTAATAATCTTTACCATTTATTTTTTAACAATTATTTTGCAAATTTCTTTAAGCTTCATCATTATAAGATGCAACCACAGTTTTCATCTGTTAGATCAGAAGTCTGCAGCTATGGCTCTGTGGCTCGCTTCATGTACTTTAATACTTTTTTTAAATTTATTGCTTACTTTTGCCAAGAAGGTAATTATTTTGAGAGAGTTTGTGTCTGTCTGTTCAGGATAACTTGAAATATAATGGATGGATTTTAATACAATTCTTATCAGAGGTGTCCCTCATGCCAAAAAACATCCATTTAAATTTGATAACGATCTAGATCATGCAGGATTTTTAGCTATAGCTCTATGCTGTGTTTTTCTATTTGCAGGAATTAAAGGAGCAGTTTGTATTCAATACTGCCATCTAGTGGCCACAGTGGAACTAAAAACCTTATTAAATTTCTTCTCCCAACAAATTTACAAATAACAATAGCGTTTAGTAGAAATGGATAAAGGCGATTTAAAAAGAGCAATAATCAATCATTCCGGTTACACCTAAAGAATTTAAAAACAGACAATAAAAGCCTCTGCTGTTCAGGTCTACATATGATTTCCTTACATATGCATTCAACACTGATACGATCACTTTAATGAATATGGACATCTGTAAGCATAAAATACTATAGAAAATGAGTTGGTACTTAATAGAACAATCAAATCCTCTCTGCGTCTTGCATAATAACCAAAGTTACAGCAAATAACAGAACACCAGCTGGTCTGCAGAGGACAGCTGCTCAGTCAGCGCCAAGCTTCCATGTTTTGTGCCTCATATAGCTGCTCATGTTTCCAGACAGCAGCTTTTACCCTCTTAATGGCTCCCATCTGCTTGGTAACCTGGCTGTATGTCACCACCAGGCCATATTGCTGCCATATTCACTGCTGGGCTCCCCTCTGCTGCCCCCTTGTGGTGAACCTTGGGTTGTATTCAAGGTCTGATTTTTGAAACGAGTTTGGATTATTCAGAGCGCTCCAGATTAAATGCAATAAAATGAATGTTTATGAGCTCAGAGGCTGATGATGTTCAGGATCTTAGCTGAGCCCCTTCCAACTATCCAGTACCACTGGGGGGAATTGGATCAGGGAACATCTGGGTCTGAACAACAGAACCATCAACGGAATGTTGTCAAATCCAGAAGTGTGAGACTCTGGAACCAAGCAGAAACGTTGCTTTTGTCGTGTGATCCAACAAAACAAACGTACCTAAACTTCCATTTCCATCAGAAAAATTTTAGAAGGATGTTTCTTTGAGGGTCAGAACCTGTGGGGGCCCCAGTGGCTTTGGGGTTAAAGTCCTACAGAGTGTGTTTGCTTTACTTGGAGCAGCTGTAGCAGCAGCTCATAGTGGAGACTGACTGGTTGGTGCAGGAAAACCCCAGCTGGCTCTGGTCCTCCTCCTTTTCCTCCTCCTCCCTCAGACCAGAGTTCAGGTTCTTGTTCAGTTATAGACCTGCGTGGGAAACGGTCCTGCTGCGCTGCTCTGATCCGGGTCGGCAGGTGTTCTGATCAGGAAAATGACTGAAGCAAAGGGGTGAGTCTGACTGAGCAACCTTAATCTGATTAAAACCTGCCGATCAGAACCGATTCCACATCTTATTCCGGACGATTAAATAAGAAACCGGATTCCGCTATAAAGCCCTCATACTGCAAAGTTTCTAACAGCCATTTGCAAAGGGCATCAGATCTTAAACAGAACCAGCAGATAGATGATAGATGCTACAATGTGGGGGTTCTGACCCAAACACAGAGGCAGCCTCCCAATTCAGATTTAGTGTCTGAAAACATAAAGTTCTGGTTCTGGAACGTCTGAAACAAATAAACAGGCCCAGGGTCTGATTAGGAAAAGCTCTGTTGTCAAGACAAGAACTAAAAAAAAAAAACAACAATCCAGGACTGATCCAAGTACAGAACCAACAGCAGAACTGACCCGGTGCAGATTATTCTCATGCACTAACTGGACTCCACCGGTACCGGTTAAGATGCCGCTCGGTTCTCTCATATCGGACCAACAAGATAGTGTAGAGATTCATTTAGACCATGGAGAAGCTTTAATAGTCTGGTTCTGGTTCTGAAAGTGTCACATATAAAATGAGGTGGGCTAATAATCCAGACCTACGGCAGATGTTTAATAAAACTCCATTATGTTCTGGTTCTGGACTGTTATTCAAGAATCCCCCTGGATCAGAACCAAACTACAGAACCTTTGATCCAAGTCCATTTCACGGTGGAAACCTGACCTGGAGGGAGTTGACATGGAAGTGGACCAGATTGAGGCGATGGAGAGCTGCAGTTCTGGAACCGGATGTTTGGGTTTGGACCTGCAGAGATTCTGCCTCATGGTTCAGATCTGTGCTGGAGAAGAAGCACTAAGAAGGATTCTGGGCGACCGGACAGGCTGGTAAAGAAAGCTGGTTCTGTAGTGGCTACTGAACTGGATCACATCTCTTCCCTATTAAACAAAAATGCCCTGAACTGATCAGCATCTTGGTCAATGAGCGCCATCCACCTCACAGCATCATCATAAAGCAGAAGTTTGATCAGACACTCAGGCTCATCTGACTGACAGGAAGTCATTTGTCCCCAGGGCTACTGAACTGATCACTGCTTCACTGGAAGAAATCTACATCTAGATAAGTCACCATTTCTTCAAATAAGTGCATTTGTTCTTGAATTGAGGAGGTAAGAGACATTTTGCCAATGGAACAAGACAATTTAGATTTACAATAAGAAAACACAATTGCATTGTCTTATTTCAAGGACATATCAAATTATCTTATTTTAAGAGTAAAAGATCTCATTCCATAGGCAAACTATCTCATTTACCTTCTCAAATGAAACGTAAATACACCTAATTTAAGAAATTTTTACTTATTTCTAGGTCATATTTCCAGTGCAAAGGGTAGAGTAGCGATAGACTCCTCTGCAAAGTCTGTCTGTTTATCCAACTTTCTGCTGAAAGTGCTTGTGTGTGTTTGATGTCTATAAGCTGCTGAGACTTTAAATTCCCCTTAGGAATGAATAAAGTTTGCATCTATGTGGGTCAGAGCCGGTTCTGAAGTCCATATCCGCCTCCTGTTACTGATTAGCTGCCAGCAGAGCTTCTGTTTACTCATTAAACCTCCAGTAGCTTTGTCCAGTTTGATCCGGTTCGGTCCAACAGCAGCTGACCCGTTCAGGCCCGGTGGGTCAGAATAGCTGAAGTTCTGTGTGTTTCCAGGTTTAAAACGTTTCCTCGGGCGGCGGTGGAGGTGAAGAATGAACCCATTCTTGGCTTTCAGAAGGGGAGTCCAGAACGGGCCGAGCTGCAGAAGGTCTGAAGGTTCTGAAGGTCCACATATGCTCCACATCTGCTGTCAGTTGGGTGTTTTAACCCTGCTCTGTGTCTGCAGGCTCTGGACAGCCTGAAGGGGAAGACGGAGGAGATCCCCTGTGTGGTCGGAGATGAACACGTTTGGACCAGAGACATCAGATACCAGCTGTCTGTGAGTAGAACTCTGAGTTTCTGATAGAGCTGGAGGTGGTGCTCCTCACTGACACCTGTGTGTTTCTCTTTTCAAGCCCTTCAACCACTCACAAAAGGTGGCAAAGTTCTGTTATGCCGACAAGGTGAGCTCCTCTGACCCAGATCCAGAACAGCACATCTGGAAGTTCAGTAAAACCCAGTCCTTCTAGTTCTGCTAGTCACAGCCAAAGAAACTGATCCGAACCGAGTCAGGTTCTGTGGACTGATCACACAATCTAGATCCACCAAACCCTCATCGTGATTCTGGTTATAAACTTGGTTAACAGTTTCAGAACCAGGTACTTATCTGAGGCCCGGGCTGGTCCAGCTCCTCCTGGTGATGTTCTCCATGTCTGAATCCTCTCCAGGATCTGATCAACAAGGCCATCCAGGCCTCAGTGGCAGCGCGGAAGGAGTGGGACCTGAAGCCCGTCCAGGACCGGGCGCAGATTCTGTTCAAGGCCGCCGATGTCATCAGTGGACCCAAGAGGGCAGAGATTGTGGCCAAGACCATGATTGGACAGGTACACATCTCACCTGGAGGTCAGGGGACCTCTAGAGTTTACCTCGTAGATCCAAACATGGTAGAGAGAACGGGAATCAGTCAGCATAGAAAAGATCCGCAGAGGCTGTAGAAATGCTGACTAGAGCAGCTTCACATAGAAGATTCAGACATAGACGCTAACTCAGACAAAGCGCCACCAGAGGAACGTAGAGAGCTGCCGACCTCCCGCTGACGCTGCCTCCTTCTCCCTCTGTGTGGTGTTCAGGGTAAAACGGTGGTTCAGGCAGAGATCGACGCCGCCGCTGAGCTCATCGACTTCTTCAGGTTCAACGCCAAACACGCCATCGAGTTGGAGTCCCAGCAGCCAATCAGCACGAAGGAGAGCACGAACACGGCTCTCTACCGAGGGCTGGAGGTATGAACACCAGCCGGGTGTTTGGTGGGTTCTGGTGTGTCAGCACCTGGAGCACCTAGTTTTCCTTCTAACGAGGTCCAGATGTGTTCCAGGTGTGGTTCTGTGTTTGCTGATCCGGTCTGGATCTTTCTGCTTTTCCCTTTCAGGGCTTCATAGCAGCCGTGGCCCCGTTTAACTTCACGGCCATCGGCGGGAACCTGGCGGGGACTCCTGCTATCATGGTGAGTCATGGAGGTCTTTCACGCTTCATGAAGCAGCTGCTGGTTTCTGGTCTAAACCTGAGCTGTTTCCTCAGGACAGAGAAAGAGAAACAAGTCGAAACTTCACACTCTGCTTAGACTTGTCCCCTAAAAACTGAGAATAGAATAAAATGGTTAAAAAAAACCTGACTTGCAGCATTTCTTCCTCAGGGTAACGTGGTGTTGTGGAAGCCCAGTGACACGGCCGTGTCTGCGAGCTACGCGGTCTACAGAGTCCTGCGGGAGTGCGGTCTGCCCCCCAACATCATCCAGTTCCTGCCCGCCGACGGCCCCGTGTTTGGAGACACAGTCACCTCCTCCGAGCACCTGGCGGGGATCAACTTCACCGGCAGCGTGCCGTAAGGACCCCCTCCTACAGCTGATGCTTGCTCTTTTGGTGTTACCGTGGCAACCATCTGTTTTCATTGCAGGACCTTCAAGCGTCTGTGGAAACAAGTGGCCCAGAACCTGGACGTCTACAGGACGTTTCCCCGCCTGGCTGGAGGTGAGCGATTTCTGAGGACCAAATGGATCTTAACGTCAGAGACCCATCTCCCAGCTTCTGTCAAAGCTTCTTAAACCATAATAGCATCTATTGAATTAGTAACTTATTTAATTGATGGAATAACATCAGCTTTTTGTCAAACTTCTTCTGTTTGTTTATGATAGTATTTTAATAACAGAACTCGGCGTACGAGACAACGAGTACGAGGCTTTGAGATGTAGTGGGTCTATAAGGTGTAGGGATGCGTACCACTCACATTTAAACTGATGCAGTAGTGACACTTGGGTATTGTGTCACATGTATTTCAAAATGGCCGCGAGCAAAATAAACATCCTCGCATGTATGTTAAACTACTTCTGCGCATGGTTTATATACCACCATAAAACAAAATAACATCACATTATTTATAAATGTGATGCCATACCTGGGAATCTGTATCGTTAATTAACGGTACCTATTTTAGCTACCATGCTAACATCATCTTAAACACTAGACGATGAGTTGCTCACGGCATGTAATTTATTCATTGGCATAAATCTGAGGCTGTCGAACATTTTGCACTCTAGCCATAAGAAATTCTTGTGCTTAACCAGAAGCTTCCTCAGATTAAAAGTGTTCAAGCTTCCGGCCTTGCTTTTCACCTCGCAAATATAACAGCAAGTGTAAGCTACAAACTTTGACAAGTGGAGCCATACCCTCGGGTGCTTTCTTTGTTTATTCTATCGGGAGTTCTGAAGTTGTGCGCGCCATCCTGTGTTCATGCCTGACGTTGAAATTCGCCTATTACTGTTTCTTTGTTGAAATGTGGCAGTACTTCATTACCCCATTTACACTACCCTTGAAGAACCACGCCGAGAACAGTCTGAGCTCAGTAACTGAGATAACGTATCGTGTGTAAATGGAAAGCAAACTGAACTGAACCGAGCTAGACACACCGAACCGAGCTAACTGCAGACCAGTTCCAGAGGTGGGCTCGGCTCGGTTTTTCCCTGGCTCGGTTCTCTGATAACAAGAGCGCATGAGCAGAACGCTTCATCTCCGTCTGGCTGCACATCCTGATTCACACTCCATTCCAGTAGATGGCGGTAATGCCCCTCCAGAAGTTGCTTGCCAACCAACACAAAACAGAAGAGGAAGAACAACTATAAAAAACAATCGAAATCTTCTCCACGCAACATTTTAAATAATAACACCGAAGTACAGCAATAATCATCAAGCATAACTTTCTGAATGTGACAGGCGCCGCCATTTTGATTTGCTTGATTCCCTCCTGCTTTGTCGTCTTCTTCTTGTGTTTTATGGCGGTTGGCAAACAACTTTTGGTGCATTACAGCCACCAACTGCTTGATTTCCTCCTTCAATACTGGAAGTAATACCGCAGATCGTCACTAGGAGGCAAGGAGTCGAGGAACCGAGATGACGTGATGTGTTAGTAATGGCCATAACGGCCGTCAGAACCGAGCTCCGGCCGTTCTCGGCATGGATCGGTTTTTCAAGGGTAGTGTAAATGGGGTATATTGTAGTTAAATGCGTCTATGCAGACCAGATCATGCTGGGAAACCACAGATCTCTGTCTTCTCTTTCATTTGTAATATTCCCCCTAGAGCAGCTAATATACAGCTAATTGAGTGATTTTTCTTTTCTATGTTAATAATATTAATCTCTGTTCTGTAAAGCCAGTATTTGAAGTTGTCGCCTTTGTTAAACTTACAGTAGAATCAAACTGTCTGGCCGTTTCTCAATTCACAAAAACACAAGTACGGATTCATGTCCTGGCCAAGTATGTTCTTGAGAAGAACACAGGAAACTATGGACACAGTATAAATAAGGATCAATTGGTACAGAAGTGTACTCGTGACGTCACCACATGCTCAGCTCGTCTGAGCTGCATTTCACCTCCTGTTATTAATAGTCTCTAGATGATAATAATAAATTCTGATATTATATTTCTGATAATATAATAATTAGATAGATTAAATTAAATAGAATAATTTACGGTGAGATAAACACAAATCAAATTAACATTTTGCCAAATAAAACAAAAAAAAGATCACCATCAGAACCAGTGGTTCTTCACACACGGCTATGCCGAGAAAGGGCTGCTGCAGACGGGTTAACGTTAGCCCTGGCTGCCGTTAGCCTCGGAGGTCCACTGGTTGCAGCGGTCCTTTCAACATAGGAACTTTTTTGGACCATATATTGAAGCTTAAAAGTATAATATTCTCTCCTCAAATGATCTTAAAACGTACTTTTATAGAACATGACAACAGATAAGAGAACTTTTAACTTAACACTCTGAGTTCTGTGAACGCTAACCTGGAAGCTGCTGCTGCCGCAGTGCATGCTGGGACAGGAGATTCATTTGTTCGCTGTTTTTAAACAAGCTTTATGTCGTCTAATGTTTCATCTTTTCTTTATTTTGTTTGACCTATGGCTTTTTATATGTTAATAAAACTGAAACCCTTGTGTTGGCAGAGTGCGGGGGGAAGAACTTCCACTTCGTGCACTCGTCTGCAGACATCCAAAGCGTGGTGATGGGGACCATCCGCTCGGCCTTTGAGTACGGAGGCCAGAAGTGCTCTGCGTGCTCCAGGCTGTACGTTCCTGACAGCACGTGGCCGCAGATCAGAGACCAGCTGCTGGATGTGCAAAAGAAGATCCGAGTGGGAGATGTGAGTGAAACCCTACTGGTCCTTCTGTGAAAACTTTAAATCAAAGCAAATCCCACCCAGGTTCTGTTCTGGTGACTAACTGCATCTGCTGTACCCCTCAGCCGGTGGAGGACTTCAGCACCTATTTCTCTGCTGTCATAGATGATAAGGTAGAGTGCCCCCCCATCTTTAACTGTCTTCTCATTAAGCTCTGAGCCTAACCAGGAACTGTGGCTCCTCTCCCTGCAGTCCTTCGCTCGCATCAAGAGATGGTTGGACCACGCCAAGTCCTCTCCGAACCTCAGCATCATCGCAGGAGGAAACTGTGATGACAGCAAAGGTTACTTTGTGGAGCCGACCATCATCGTGACCAAAGACCCTCAGGACCCCATCATGAATGAGGTAAGACGCCGAGTCAGAAAGTTTCCTGTGAGCGTCTACAGCTCTGATCCTCCTGTAGCTCACACGGCTTCATGTTTGTGATGTTTTCAGGAGATCTTTGGGCCTGTCCTCACTGTCTACGTCTATCCAGAGAAGAACTACCAGGAGGTTCTGAGGCTGGTTGACAGCACATCACCCTACGCCCTTACCGGATCCGTGTTCGCCAAGGATCAGTAAGATTTAAAACTGATTTATTCTCAGAAACCAGGTTGTCTGCGTTTCTATCGCAGTAAATCCAAATGTGCCTCTGCCCCTACCTCAGACACTCTGCTGCATAAGGGTGTAAATCACACCCATCATGGCGATTCGATTCAGTATCAATTTCCTTACCCAACGATTCGATTATTTTTGATACTCAGGAATCTGCCTTGTCTGTCTTACATACTGTTTACAAGAGTGTGTGTGTGCAAGCAGAAAGAGGGTAGTGGCTAAAGGAAGTGAGGTAAGAGGAGAAAATAGGTTTAGCGCCACTGCAGGATAGGAGTCAGAATTACGTCCAGGACGAGATGGATAAAAATAGACCGGAGGGGGGAAAATAACATGAATCGATACTCTTGTGGATGTGTTGATCCATCGGATCGTCGGCTGTTGGATCGAAGCATCGATACAAAACGATTATTATTTACACCCCTACTGCTGCACCTCTCTAAATTGTAGGTGACTGCAGCAAATGCAGCAGACAGGAGGCCTCTGATTGGTCAAATCTACATTCTCTCTACACTATTTTCTGTTTCTACCTTACCAACTTGTTTTGTTTGTATGAGCACCACTGTGACACACTGCTGCGGGAGGAGAACCAGCCTTTTATTCATACGTGTTGCTTTCTATTGTCCACTGAGACGCACTCGCTCGTCCAGAACCCTGGATCAGCCCAACAGTTTCTCAAGTTCAGATGGTTGAGAGTCAGAACTACATGGATCTCCTCAGGTTCTCCTGGGCTGATTGAAGGACTCTTCGTCACAGCTCTCCTCAGCTCCCGGTTCTGTCTGGTTCTGGTACAGATAAAATCTTCCTACAGCTACGACTGTTTGTTAAAGCTCGGTCCTGTTTCTGCTTTTTAACCTGAAACATAAAAGCTCTAATTGACCTGTAAAGATCTGGAGCAGATCTGAGTCCAAGTTTATAAATGTATTATTCTGAGTCTTGGTTCTGTGTCGTGTTCCTTTTTTTCTTGCTTGTGCTGTCTGAGAGGGGACAGAGCTTTAGCAGAACCTGAAAGAACAGCCTGCTGTTCCTCCAAAGCCTTTCAACCAGTCAGCTTCAGAATACTGGGTTTTCAGGAAAAGTTGCAGTTTTAAAAGACCGTATGATGAACCTTTTTCTGATCCAGACTGATTCTGACCTCTTTGTTCTGCAGGAAGGTGATCGATGAGGCCGCCAGAGTCCTGAGGAACGCTGCAGGGAATTATTACGTGAACGATAAATCTACGGGATCCGTTGTGGCTCAGCAGCCGTTTGGAGGAGCCAGAGCTTCAGGTGAGGCATGAAGCTTCAGTCTTCTCTGGTTCAGACATTGTCCAGGTCTCTGTAGGACGTTCAGGACAGCATGAAGATATGCAGGAACTGAGGGCAAGAGAGTTTAGATCATCAAAACTTTGTTTATTCTGTCAGACACATATTTGAAGAGGTTCAGCAGTCAGTGTGTTAGTCCGACGGATGAACGATTGAATAAATAGATGGATGGTTGGATGAAGGGTTAGTCACCTTGAAGATCACTGACCTGTCCTTCTTCCTTTGAAGGTACCAATGACAAACCTGGAGGTCCTCACTACGTCCTGAGATGGACATCTCCTCGGGTGGTGAAGCAGACTCATGTCCCCCTCACAGAGTGGAAGTATCCATACATGGGCTGAGGTCCCACTTGTCCGTCCACTGGTCTACATCTGTCCTCTTCATCCATCCTTCTGTCTACATGTCCATCATATCTGTCTGTCTCCCGGTGACTCCTTCCGTCACCTGAAACAGACCTCCGTTGTCCTTTGTTTCCTTCTGTCGCACTGAAGCTGGTCGAGTTTGTCCATCAGACGGAGCAGGAAGATGTCCTCTGAGAAACTTCTCTTTGTCCCACTCAGATTTTCTAAAGCATTTGATCCGTCCGGAGAAAAGTGTTAGTTTCTGAACTAAGCGAGTGGCTGATACCTGGATCAGATCAGAACCACTGATGGACTTTTTTTATTTCAATTATTCAACCTGATGCTTAGTGGAAACTAACAAGACTTTGATCAGTCAGCAATAACGGAAGCAGAGACCCGTCCGAGCAGAACCGGATCCTGCTGGAGAACGTTCTGCATCAATAAGTGATAAGGAACTAAATGTTATGAGGCTGTAAATCTTTGAGCAGATAGTGAATGAGGTGTGCGTGTGTGTCTGGATGAGGCGTTCATCAGTTAGTAAGCAGAAGATCTCTCTGCTCCGTGTTTCTTCCCATTTATGGAGGCGTTTCCTCACAGATCTTGATGTGAGCACCTGAACCTGTGTGCCTCAGTAACTCTGTACATTTAGGTCAATCACATTGGATAATAAATACTTTCTCAACATCTTGTGTCTCTGATCATTAGTTAATATCCCTGATCTCCACTAATATATGTTCCTGTACCCAACAGAGTACTGTCCTATTGTCCATCTTTCTGACCTTCTTCCAGTGGGACTGTTGGGCGCTCCAGTAACTGTCAGTTTAAAGCAGACGGGCTCCAACAAGTCATTTTTAGCAAAGATTGGTTGGAGGAAAAAAAATACTTCCTTTATCAAGCCCCATGACTTTGAAGATATTCACACTGGTGACGACCAAATGAAGATCATGAGGCTCGGAGGCCTTCCAACCACTTCCTTCCACTTAAAAAGAAAATGCACGTGCACAACCCTGTACCCCTACCGAGAGGGAACGCCCATATGCACAAGATCCACAGCTCCTCCACACTTACTAAAGATGCATACAGCAACTTTAAAAGTTGCTGTATGCATCCCTCATACAAGCTTACTTTCCAAAAGAAGATTTGCAATTTTAAATGAAAATGGGAACCAGCTCGTAGGATGGCCTCCGTAAATGTAACATTAGAATGATTAACAATTAGGAAGACCACTATACCTTTAATGAAACAATTTAAACAAGAATTAGACTTTTTCTTCAGATTATGGTGATTCCTTAACATCCTGTGAATTTCTGTGCTTAAAACTAAAAGCCCATCTTTGTTTCTGCTGAAATGACCACTGACCACTTTCTCATCAGTCTTTCTTCTTTTTACAATAATCCAAGATGAATCCAAGATGGCGGCATAGGTGTTTTCATGTCTGTCTGCGTTACCTGTTTCTGTGTTTTTAATGGATTAATTGGGCTATATTTCTTAGATTTTTTTGGATCACGTTTTCCTCAGAGCACTTCTTTAAGTGGCATCACAAAAATCGTAACACTATGGCGATGAGTAGCCATAAACAACTACGCAAACCCAGGCCTAGGCCTACTCAGTCACGTAGGTCTGGCTGCACCTTCAGACTCCCAGTTTATCTATCATTTGTGTTTGCGCTGTACTCACCGTTCATGGGCGTCGTGGGAGCTGCAAATGATGATGGATTTTATAATTCCTCTTGGCGGATTGTACTATCGAATGCTGGAACTGGGTTGTGTACTGACACGAGCGGATTTGCACCCCTAACTGGATGTGTTGCTGAGCCCCTTTGCCCAACCGAACCTGTCAGCTGGCCCGAAATTGGACATTCTCGGTTCATCTGTAGCAGGCGCGGCAGGGGAGCCGCCAGCAGCGCAACAAGATCAGCGCTTTGGATTACCATTCTTCTGTGTTTGTCAGGTAACATACATCCAAACCCAGGACCACTAGTGACTGAACTGTCGAGTCCCGATGTTTTGAAAAACAGCAGTGGCTTGCGTTTCATCCATGTCAATGTGCGCAGCCTTATAAATAAAATCGACGCTATTCGCATATGGGTTAAAATGACGGACAGTGATATACTCGTATTATCTGAGACCTGGCTCAAGCCTGCGATTGCGAACAATGTGGTTTACATCGAAGGGTACAATATCTATAGGACGGACCGTGGGAAAAAAGGAGGAGGGGTGGCCATATATGTAAAGGCCTCCTTGGACTGCTGCGTCGTCGAGGCAATTAGTAAACCAAAGTTTTTCGAACTCTGTGCCATTAAACTCAATCTCCCCAATGGCGCTTCCTTGACAGTAGTAGGTTGCTACAGGCCACCATCGGCAGTGGCTGGAGCATCTGCGCTGCTGTCTGACTTCCTGGGAAAGCTGTCAAGCGAGTACATCGTCTTGGGGGATTTAAACTGGGACTATCTCTCGTCGTCCTCTGCATTAAGAGACTTGTGTGATGCACTGCAGTTGACTCTGCTGATCAAGTCACCTACACGCCTTAATATTAAATGTATGGACAAATCTACGCTGCTTGACGTTATCCTGACCAATGCTCCACACAAATTTTCTGCGGCTGGTGTTTTTTGTAATGACCAGTGTTGGGCACGTTACTTTGAAAAAGTAATTAGTTATAGTTACTAGTTACTTCTCCCAAAAAGTAACTGAGTTACTAACTGAGTTACTCCACAATAAAAGTAACTAGTTACTAGTAAAAGTAACTATTGCGTTACTTTTCCGTTCCTCGCCCCCGTAAACCTCACCACCCGGCCCCCACCTTCTCGCCGTGTGTTTCCAAAGCCAGCTGAATAGAGCGGACGACAAAGACAAGAACCTGCAGACAGTTTAGCATTTATTGCAACTCAACGCGATGTGAAGTTTTATAACAGGACATTCAGATCTGGTGAGTATATGAAATTAATAACTGGGGATGTCTAATTCTGAAATCCTGTGTGTTTGGGTTGTTATAGATACTGCAACATCTATCTATCCATCTATCTATCTATCTATCTATCTATCTATCTATCTATCTATCTATCTATCTATCTATCTATCTATCTATCTATCTATCTATCTATACTCTGCGTGTGACATAAAATATGGATCTCCATCCCTGCCACAAAGGCCATCAAATAATGTTTAAAATAAAAAATACAGTAGGTTGAGAAGGCAGAGTATCCATCCATCCATCCATCCATCCATCCATCCAGATTTCTCCCTTTCTCCATATAGGCTATCATTTCTGGCTGTTGTCAGGTTCATTTGATCGTTCACGCTCTCCATAGTTCTCCTGTGGCGCGAGCACAGAGCGACTGTTGCGCGCCTTTAGCGAGCATGCGCGTTTCCTGCCGCTTGCGCGGTGACTCTTGCCGCCTGCGCTGTGTGGAGATGCAGAGGAAACCGTTATGTGATGGGGAAACGCAGCTCTACGTAACACCAGTATTTCCATGTGGAAAACGCTGTTTTGCTGCTGGAGTCATCCTCACTCTCCATCTCTCTGTGTGTGCTGTACGTTAACACCCACCAGCAGAAACACCCACCTTTTCAACTGACAGACGAAATCTCATCCTCCCCTCTCTCATGACAAGGCGCGCACCTCTTGATGACCTAAAAAATAATCTTTAATATCTCTTAAACAAAAGTAGCACAAACAATATTTTTTTCTGCACAAATCTGCACTAACGTTGCACTAACCATTCAGTCTATTTGCAGAGTTTTTTGACGTGGGTGGGGTGTCAGCTTCACGCAGCTGCGCACGAGTCCTATCATGAAAAAAGGTTCATTGTGCGACCTGAGTAACGCGCAGTAACGGGGTGCCTGCAATGGTAACTGCGTTATAGTTACAGTCAAAGTAATTAGTTAGATTACTCGTTACTAAAACAAGGTAACGGCGTTAGTAACGCCGTTAGTTTCAACGCCGTTAGTCCCATCACTGGTAATGACGTCAGTGATCACTGCATGGTTGCGTGCGTCAGGGACTGTAAAATGGTTAAGACCAAGTCACGGTTTGTTTTTAAACGACATCTTAAGCGTTTTAATGAGCAGGCATTTCTTCATGATATTTTCCACAGTGACTTAAATGCAGTTTGTTTTATGGATGATGTTGAAATGGCCTGGGATTATTTTAAGAAAACTTTTTTAGCCATCATTGATAAACACGCCCCTTTTAGAAGATTTAGAGTGAGGGGCAGGGATAACCCCTGGTTTAATTATTGTATTGCTACTGCAATAAGAGAACGTAATGAGGCATGGGTAAAAGCAAAAAAATATAATAGTGATGCAAGCTGGTTGAACTACAGGGTATTAAGAAATAAATGCACAAGACTAATAAAAAGTACAAAAAATGAGCATTACCTTAATTTAATAAAAGAAAATCTCAATGACCCTAAGAAATTTTGGAAAGCAATAAAATCATCATCAGGCGATGTGCCACCTCCCACTATCCCTGAATATATTGTAACTAGTCAGGGAGAAATTAAGGATAAACAACATATGGTAGACACTTTTAACATGCACTTCATCAATGCTGGAATTGCTACTCAGTCAACTCTTCCAGCAAATATTAGCAGAGGTAGGCCTACAATTACTGTTCCAGATCCAAATATGAGTCAAAATAGTTTTAATTTAATCTGTATTTCTGCTTATGAAGTTCAGAAGGCTTTGCAAGGACTAGACTGTGAAAAGTCTGCTGGGCCTGACCAGATTGAACCGTATTTTCTTAGAACTGCTGCTAACTTGATTGCTGAGCCTATTGCCTCAATTTTTAATCTTAGTTTATGTAGTGGTACCATACCTACATCTTGGAAGTCTGCTTTTGTCCTCCCACTTTTGAAAAGTGGAGACCCTTCCTTATTGGACAATTATCGCCCAATCTCTAGATTGTCTGTGCTGGCCAAACTGTTTGAATCTCTTATAAATGAGCAACTCAAACTTTTTTTAACCGAGAACTCAATTTTAAACCCATTGCAGTCTGGCTTTCGACAAGGTCATAGTACAGTCACTGCTGTTACCACAGTCACAAATGACATTTTGAATGCTTTAGATAATAAGAAGTCTTGTGCTGCAATATTCATTGATCTTTCTAAAGCGTTTGATACAGTGGACCATGATCTTCTTTTGAAGCAATTACAAAGAATAGGCTTTAGTGATACTGTATTACGGTGGTTTTCAAATTACCTTAATAATAGAACGCAGTGTATTGTAATTGATAACTATACCTCAACATCATTAGAAGTTACAATGGGGGTCCCACAAGGGTCAGTTTTGGGTCCAATTTTATTTTCTCTTTATATAAATGACTTGGGTAAGGACCTGATGACAGCAAAAGTGCATCTTTATGCAGATGACACTATTTTGTACACCACAGCTTCATCAGTGAATGCTGCATTTGCACAATTGCAGTCTGCTTTTAATCATGTACAAACATTTCTTATTGAATTAAAGTTGGTACTGAATGCTAAAAAAACTAAAACAATGACATTCACACATTCACGATCCTCACCTAACATTAGTGTTTCAACACAAGATGGCACTAAAATAGAAGGAGTATCATCTTACAAGTATTTAGGCATCTGGTTGGATGATAAGATGTCCTTTGGTGTCCATATTGAGAGCCTCTGTAAGAAACTTAGACCAAAGTTGGGTTTTTTCTTTAGAATGAGGAAGTGCTTTCCCTATCTTGCGAGGAAAAGGCTAGTTCAGAGCACATTCCTGTCAGTGCTTGACTATGGGGATACACTGTATATTCACTCCAGTTTATTCTTACTTAAAAAACTGGATGTACTGTACCACTCTGCCTTACGTTTTATCACAGGTGCATCAGCTAGGACTCACCACTGCACTCTCTATGAAACTGTACAGTGGTCTTCTCTTTACATGAGGAGAAAAATTCATGTACTGACTTTTATTGCTAAAGCCCTTATGGGTAAACTACCTTTATACATTTTTAATTTACTTTCCATTCAAGATAGTACTTACAGGACTAGGTCATCAGAAAAAATACTTTTACATACTCCATTTACAAGAACTGAACTAGGAAAAACAGCATTTTCATCATTTGCACCTAAAGTATGGAATGAACTTCAAGCCACTTTAAATCTTGAAGTACTTCCATCCATAAATTCTTTTAAAGACCTGTTAAAATCATCATTAACTGACAGATGCAACTGTTTTTGATTGGATGCCTTATTTGCTGTTTGCTTTTTGGTTGTATGTGTATGCCCAATCTTGTTGTGTTGTTTTTAATTTTGCCTAGATGATATGTAGCTGTGGTTGTCTTGTCTCCTGTGGTTTTATGTTAATGTAACTTTTTAAGCCGCCTTCTTGGCCAGGACTCCCTGGAAGAAGAGTTACTTTAACTCAATGGGACTTTCCTGGTTAAATAAAGGTTAAATAAATAAAAAATAAAAAATGAGCTGTTGGTGTGTTGATGTACAAAGCTTTTCTTAAAAGAAAAACATACAATACATCATTTTTTTTTTTATAATAGGCCCTATGGTTTTAGGACTTTATTTGTCTTCCTCTGGTCAGCATGAAAACGGGAAGAAAGCTTTTCTTTTTCTAAATCCAAGGACCAGTTTGCAATCAGGCTAAGAGCTCCCCTTAGCAAAAAGTAGCATACTCGAAGTAAATTCTATTAAGAATACTTAAGTATAATTTTAGAAAGTATACCAAACAATGTTATTTTAGTGTACTTGAAGTATTACTAAAGTAATACTTCTTCGAACTAAATTGGGACATTTTTAAGTTTACTAAAGTATACTTAAAGTATACTTTAGTAAACAATAAAGTAAACAATAGTATAGTCAAGTGTACTTGACTATACTATTGTTTAGTATATGAAATATAGTTGAAAATAAGTAAACTCTAAGTGCACTGACTGATGTATGACAAAAAGTGCACTTTTAGTATACTTGAATAAACTACTTTTTGCTAAGAGCCACAGTTTATCTTAACTTAATGTAAAGACCATCAAAGATCCCATCATATCCAAGTTACATAAAAAGGGTGCTTAAATTTAAATTGCTTTATTTTATTTTCTAATAAATATATTATGTGACTATTCTTTATGTGATTATGTGTTGACGTTATTTGCTTTTTAGCCATATGTTGTCACATCTGGTACAGTCTGATCCCTGTAATAAAAACCTGGTTAAAAAAATGCCTTTTTATTTTTTATTATTTTCTATTTTTTTTATGTTATTATGAGAACTCAACAGCTGAGGAACATTTTTTACTGATTATTAACTAATATGTGTAGAGGGCAAATAATAAAGATCTATGATATGGAGCAGTGTACAAAAATAATGAATAAAGAGGAAAATATTACTTAGCTGTCTGTTATAGTGCGTTCATACTGGAGAGAAGTGCGACGAGTAGAGTGTGCGATCAAATTTTATCCCTATGCAAAGGTGCTTCTGGAATTTGGTTTACTGTTTCTAGCTTGAGCATCTACCCCATTCACATTTCTACTAGATCCGGCCCTGCTTCAACCTCCTATTTCTGTTCCTGTACCGCCACGCAGGGTGGGAGCAACATCTCCAACAGAAACGTTGGAGAACATGAAGTAAAGAATCTGTGACTGAGAGAGATTCTAGAAGTTCTGGATGATTTTAGAAGATCTGTTGTTGACAAGATGCTCCGATCAAAGTCATGTCATTACATGTGTAGCTGCTGCAGCTTTCATGTTCACACACAGCAGCTCAGTGGGAGTTCACAAACTCTCTTTAATTTCAACCTTTCTTTTTTGTTGCAGTGTTAATGCATAGAGTTCTTATTTATTTACTCATTTTTGACTCGGTTCTGCACTAGTAAAGTGAGCGGAACGCAAAAGTTCTGCAAACACAGCGAAAAGTTTTGAAATCTGCTTTGAGAAAACATACTTCCTGAAGCAGGCCTGGGCTTGGTTTAAGGTCCAAATGAGGACTAAGGGTAAATTCAGCCAGAGGCATGTTTCTTCAACATATTTCTAATGCTGGAAAAAATAAAAAATAACTAGTTTTACTGGTCAGGATACAGGCATGATGATCAGCTGTGTTGATGGACGACCTGCTGCAGAACTCTGATATGCAGAGAAGTTATGGTCATTATAAATCTGCCAGGCATCATGACTTCTAGCTGTATGGGTTCTGCTATCCGAAAACTCTCAGTGCGTTTCTCCCTGCACTGGAAAAAAAATCAAAATCTAGATACCGGTAAGTCATTTTTTCTTAAAATTTGTGTATTTGTTCTTGGATTGAGGAGGTAAAAGAGACATTTTGCCAATGGAAAAAGACAATTTATACTTAAAATAAGAAAACACAATTGCATTGTCTTATTTTAAGTGCAAATTATCTAATAATCTTATTCTATAAGTAAAAATACTAATTCCATTGACAAATTATCTCATTTACCTGCTCAAATTAAGGGTAACTACACTTAATTTAAAAAACTGTTACTTATTTCTAGATTGTTTTTTCAGCGTGGTGACAGGAGCTGTGCAGACAAGCATCTTGTTAATCTGCAGGAAAATCAGAATACTTTAAGTTCTGGAGATCTATGCAACGTTGGGCTACAACCCTGAGCCCAACGACCCAATCAAAGCAAACAGAATCAATGGATAAGGTTTCATGAAGTTTTTTGTAAAGAAAGCAGCTGGTTGGAGAAGCTCAATCTGCAGCTGGTTGAGCTTCTCCAACATATCTTCACCTTTAACCAGTGATCCGTTTGCCACTTCAGATCCTGTGGAACAGAACAAACATCAGCAACACTGGGGTTCTACTGATAGGTCGGTGTTAACAGTGGTCCTGTACCGCATATGAGAACTCTGACAGACCTAGTGATCCAGCCCATTTAGAAAAATCTATGTGTAAGTGTGGAGGAGCTGTGGATCCAGGAGAGGTCCACAGAGATGGTTTCCTGCCATCAGAACAGCCCTCGGATCAGAAGGATCTCTGAACACCTTAATGAGAGCTTCTGTCCTCACCTGCAGACTGGGATCATCGCAGGTGAGTGTCGGGTTGCAGGTGTGTGTGTAAACAGTCATCAGGGTGTGCGGTGCCAGCAGACGTGTGATGACAGGAAGGGTGTATGCCGCTGATGCCTTTCATCTGGAGGAGAAGGATTTAGGGAGAGGAAACTGCAAACATTCATTCTAGGCTTCAGGCCGCTTTGATGTGAACGCCACTCCAGAGAGTTCCTTCAAGGACTGGGGGACCCTGGAAAGACTGTGTGACCCTGGAATGACTAGGAGGCCGTTGGGTGACTGTGAGACCCCAGAGACCCGAAGGGTACCGGTCAGAGGAAGGTCTCACACAGAAACATGAAATCAGAGGAAATGTTCATGTTCCTCAGTAAAATACTTGCAGAATTTGATGTTCTGTCTTTAACCTGACTCTCTTGTTCCCTCTCCACCCCACCACACACACACACACGCGCACACACACCTATGAGGGCGGAGCTTCAGCAGCTAAGGTCTGAGCTTTTCATCCTGCAGTCAGAGATCCAGAGAAGCTGAAGGACGATCTGCTGCAGCTGCATCTGAAGGTGAGATGTCCTCTTTGGGTCGTTCTTTGCAGGTCCACCTTCCTCCATAAAAAACTGTCTAACTTTTCATTTCTGAGGAAACGCTTCCAAAACTCAACACTCCATGAATCTCAGAAGATTCAATCTTGCCTGTGACCAGGGACCCTGTGAAGATGAAAGAATTGAGATCTCTGCAGCTTTTGTGTCACGGTTCTGATTCTGCGTCCTGTTGAAGCCTGCTGGTTATTTTCTTCCTGCTTGTTAAATTCATCCAGCGTGGAGAGGCTGCTCAGTTAAGGAATGTAAAAAAAAATGTCTTAAAATAATAATACAACATTCCTCAGAACCACGTCCAGTAATAAATGTTTACAGCGACTCCCTACGCTGACTTTCATCAACTGGACGGCTCTGAGTTGGCTTTTCCAAGCGTCCAAATAGAGACCCTTTTTGTGGTCCAACAGGAGGTCAGGGGACTGAGATGCTCCTGATGAACCGTTTCTGTCATGGAGGGATTTAGATCATAATCAGGACCCATTTCCAGCCTCCTGAATCAGATACGTATCTTAAATGTTCCTCATGAGTCTGTGCACTCCAGGAAAGGTTACCAAGGAAAGCCTCGGCATTATGCATCCTCTACTGTGCTGGATAGTGGTAATCCTTATCTACACATCCAGCCTTTACTGGTTCTTTTAAATTTCAGTCTGGGGCTCCTCTGACCAATGGCTCCCAGGCCCAGATAAGGTCCCAGTAGATCCTGGTCATGGTAAGACAGCATGCAGCTAGGAGCTGCCTGAGCAACAAAATTCCAACCTTTGATGTCGTTCTCTAACCTTGAGCTGTGGAGATGTCCCACATTTCTCGTGGACAGACTTAAGTCCAACGTTGCTCCTCACCCGTCCAGCTGCCTTAAGCTCTTTCATTCTTGCTCAGACTGGAGATCGGATCAGCCTGGGCCAGAGGTGTGCCAAAGATGGGCCCCTCCAGAAGGGACAGATAGACAACTTGATGTCTCTGTAGAAAATACATGAGGACAGTCTGGCCATTCTTTAGATGACAAACAGACTGATGTCTCTGTTACAGACAGAGGGACAATCTGATGTCTCCTATCAGGGCAAATTAGAAGTATAATTTCTAATAAAATATTCAGATGTCTCTAAATGGTAGACAATGAGATGTGTCTTTAAGGACAGATTTTAAAAAACGGCTTTCCATGCAGTGACCCTTTGCCGGATTTAGCTTCTGACCCCAGGATGCTACAAAATATGTAAAGAAAAACTTTTAGAGGGTTTTTATGAATTATATTGCTGTACAATTATTATGCTTTTTTAGCAGAGGGATTATTAACTAGCATCTTTCTAATTTGTTGTTGTTCCAATAAATTATAAACTGTTGTAAATATAAATATTTCTATTCATTATGTTAATGTAAAAAATAATTAACTTTTAAATCAATTTCTTTTTATATTTTTCTTAATTTCCTATGGTCCCTTTGCTCTCCTCATGTTGAAAACCACTCAGTTAGAAAAGTTTGATGTCTCTGTTTCTGACAGATCGAAGGTCTGTCTTCTCTAGAAAGAACAGATGGACGTTCCACTGTCTTCATTAAAGACATATGGAAAATATACTGTCTCTCTAGACAGGACAGTGGGTCAGTCTGCTTGCTGTAGGAAGGATCGATCAGATCAGACATGGTTCCTCAGCAGGTTTGCATTCAGCTTTCTTTGTCAAATCAATTTCCTGTCCTCAAAGTGTCTGATGATTTTCCTTTGTATCCTGCTCATGGGCTCATGGGCAGGATACAGGGGCAATTACAAGGGCCGTCTATGTACTAAGAACATACACTACAAAAAATGTAATCTTAGTTCGTAAATGTTTCTTGAATTAAATATATTTTTCCTTTGTTTGAGAAGAAAAATAAAGCAATTTGGCTTTTTTCTATTTTATTAAAAAAGAAAATAAAAAAAAATCCATTAAATTATTTTAAGCGCATCATACTATATCTTATTGTAAGAGGAAAAATACCCATCTCTTTGGCAGATTATTTTACTTAGCTGTTTTAATTAAGGGTAAATACACTTATTTCAAAAACAGTTTTACTTATTTAGATCAGCTTTTGCAGTGTAATACTAAATACATTTCTTATGATGACATAAGCTAACAGAGGAGACTATAACTGATTAATCACTTGGACTAACTCAATTATTCGCTTAAACAATAAATTAGAAATTAGTCAGCTTTGAGCTCCAGCCCTGTCAGTATCAGATTTAGGTCAAAGGTCTGCAACCTTGACTTTGTGGCTCACCTAAAATACTAAACAATGTGCTCATGCCCTGTTTCTGTTTTTACATAATTATTTCATTTTTTGTTGTTTGCATTTGTTATTTTTTTCTGTTCTCCCCTGAAAAAACACCCACTGGCCCCCTTTTTATATATTTTGTCTTGGAACGTCACTGTTTTTGCTTTTTGTGGTCTTCAGAAATGACCGCAGCATGTGGTTGACCAGTCGGTTAGCCAGATTATATCCAATATTCAACATTCCTGCTTTTTAGGAGTCTATAGAAGTCTTAATGTTGTCATAATCCTAACATTAGTTGGTAAGTTTTCCTTTATTTGCTCTCTCTGAAGCTCAGTTCTGCCCCCTGATGGAAATGTTTGTTAGTCGATAAACTGAAGCATATCTCCGTCTCTTCACAGGAGACCGGGATGATCCTTCTCTGATCCAGCCAGCTGTCTTCTCCCCTCATTGGTCGCTCCCGATGACATGATGAGCTCTGCCTTCTCTCAGTCACTCTTTGATTGCTTCGGTATGTCTCCCCCTGTTGGACTGGAGGAGCGGAGCAGGTCCCAGCACCCAGAGTCTCTCTCCACCTCTGTCCCCATCCTCTTCTATCCCCCCAATATGGACCCATCTACCCTTAGCCTGTATAAGGGCCCTCTGAGAGGCCCCGGAGGGATCCTGCCATACCTGTCCCCATTCCACCATCATGGACACTTCAGTGTCTATGAGTGTCCGTTTGAGCCAGCGTTTATCCAGAAACGAAACGAACGCGAACGTCAGCGCGTTAAGTGTGTGAACCAGGGCTACGCCAAGCTAAGGGACCACCTGCCGGGGCAGAGCGCCGAAAAAAGGCTTAGCAAGGTGGAGACGCTGCGAGCCGCCATCAGGTATATCAAGTACTTGCAGAGGCTGGTAAAGATGGAGGAAGAAGATCAAGACGAGGCGGAGTCATCCAGGGGCAGCCCGTCTGTACCGGACAACGGAGGAGGGACGCAGGCTGTTGAGCTCTAAACAAAGCTGTCTGCTTCCCATGGAGGACCAATCAGATCCCACCATCAAGAGGGAGGAGCCAAAACACACCTATGATGGCGGAGTCTATAGACTGCCTGAGCTCCAGAGGACGCTGGCTCACTCTGAATACAATCAAACTGTAGCTCAAACTTTCCGCTCCTATCCCTTCACCTTTCGCAGTGCCAACTGTAAGAACACTATCCAGGGCAGCAAAGGAGCTTAAGCAGTTATGCTTGCTGCTCCTAGCTCCTTCTTGTCAGCACTATTCACATTGCACTTATGGTGGCAACCTCCACGGTGGTTAACTGTCCTTACTGATTTGTGGTATTCGGAGGAGGAGTCTATAGACTGCCTGAGCTGTAGGCGATGGTGGCGCAATCTGAATACGTCAAACTGTAGCTCCTACTTGCTGCTCCTATCCCTTCACCATGTCAACTGTAAGAAGACTATCCAGGGCAGCAAAGGAGCTTCACACTTCTATGCATCATCTGGAAAACCTTCAGCCATACGGATCTCATTACGCGGCGGACATGCATATAAATGACGCTGGTTTAATTGGGATAATAGTCTTAAGGAAAATAGCTACAGAAAAAACAGGTGACATAAATGTAGCGAATGGCTAAGGCCCTCCATTATAATACCCAACACATTTGAAAGTGAGGACATTTAATGTTTTTGTTCAACTCAGTGAGGTGGGCTTGCCTATAAGGTTTGTGACACAAAGGGTGATCAACTGCATAGTTCTTAGCAGCAGCTAGGGACATCATGAGGTCCTTACATTTAATCAAGCAGTTCTACTCCCTGGTTGTAACTCCTTCCTAACTGACAGCACTATTCAGATAGCACTTATTGGGGCAGCTTATGCAGTGGTTTATGTGTCCTAACTGATTTGAGGTATTCAGATTGAGCCAAATGTCTGTAGAAGTTCTGCATTTAAAAAAAAAACAGATCCTACTAGAACAATTGTGTGAAAACTATAACAGAACCACCTTTAATCTGGGCCCCATCAAACCAACATAGCATAGAAATTCTAGAGGGACAACCCATAGACTTCTTGGGGACCTTTCAGCCCCTATAGTTTAGAAATCTGCAGTTCATGTAGTTTTAAATTTGCTATTAGGCCTCTAGATGTCAAAACAAAAAGCAAAGAAATTAGTTACTTACGAATGTTATAAAATGTAAATTTGGATTCTCGAATCAAAGTAGAAACTGAAAAATACAGTATTTACAGTTATGAAGACGTGCATACAATCAGGAAATACAGTATGTAGTTGTCGTATCATTGCTGTATATGGAAATCACAATATTATGAATACTTGGCATTTTAATCTTGTCCATTAACAATAACCCACATGGCCAAAGAACACAGCCAAGGCGTGGTTCCACGTCAGGAACTAGAACCAAATCCGGACCTATCCCAGGGCTTTTAAAGATATGGATCCAATCCAGTGAGCCTAATGGACGTATTGAATTACAGAAAGCAGGGTTTCACAGTCTCCATAGATATGATCAGGGACCCCACAATGGAACCTTGCTAAAAATAATAATAATATCCAACCCAATCTAACTGGTCCTAGATATTACTGGACTGAGACATTAAAAAAAAAAAAAAAAAAAAATGAAAAGGAAATCCAAAGTAAACTAAAAAGCACTCTAAGAGCGCAGATCTCTGCCAAGCAGCACTTTGCCACACATTGTGATTTACACCAATAGCTGAAACTTGCACGATGTGGATCATTAACAAATTTAAACAAATTGTTCCTTCGCACGAGGGTGCCAAGATCCTTAAAATCCTTTCATACGTTTATGAATAAGGCACAGCGTGTGTCTGCAGCCTCTAGTGTTTGTTCTGCTCTCACCTTCTTCATTCACTCTGCGAGGCATGGCTCACCTTTCCAGTTTTTTTGGTCTTCAGTATACTTCCAGACAACCCATGCTGAAGCTGTCAATAGTCACTGCTGCCACTCTCTGGTTTCGGGGGGAACTGCATGTTCTGCCAACTAATGTTAAAGAATACTTTATACTCTTATAATCCATTCTCATCTTTTCAAGTTATCCTGTAGACAGACAGACTGACAGAACCACACACAATCTCCTTTGCAGAGGTAGCCAGCATCCAGGCAGTCCTGCTTTGCTACAATCATCTTGTGGTGATTCATTCCATTTATTGGAGTGTAATTTGTTTTAATTTAATATCTGAATAATCTATTAATGCTGCATTTATTTAAACTATGATTTTCTATCTAGTATAGATTTTTCTCCAGACTATTTTACGTTCTTCCATTTTATTTTAATGTTTGGTGCCATCTAGCGGCCATTGATGCTACTGCAGGTAATGAACCCGTAGTAACTTCAGATTGGGAAACTGAACCTTTAACCTGGTTTAACTGAAGGAAATGAGCCAGAATCCTCTTCAGGCTCAAACTCAAACCTACTTTCTGTTCAAGCACCTCTCACACCTGTATTTCCTTTCTGTGGGACAATTTTTATTTCTACTCATAAGTGTCCATTAAATAAATTGTATTGTTTTTACATTTGTACTTGTGATTTTGTTTTGAGGATTTATTTCTTTTACTTATTACTTTTGAACACAAATGGTATTTTTATAGAAATGAATTACGATGCAAAAGCATGAAAAGAATATGTCTGGTTGGAATTTAGTTATAGAAAAACACTGATAGATGAAGACATGAGGATGGAAAACAACAGATTTTGGATCAGATTTAGAAATGGAAGACATTCCCATCCATCCCCCTCAATTAAATTACACATTTTATTGTTATGTTTCAAGATAATTTCATTATAAATGCTATTGGTAGCTTTAATGCTGTAATGGATACCAGAACTCTAATACTTTTCAGCTGCTAATGCAGGTTCAATCAATATTATGCTGCATTGTAATGAAGAACAGAACTAGACCAAGTTATCCTTTGTTCTACCAACACATGAGAAAAAACAGGGAAATTAATCTACAAAATAGTGCTTCTTGTGTTAAGTATAACGTAGAACCTGTACGTTAGTACTTTTACTTAAGTAAAGGAGATCATTTGGTACTTTTCCTAATCCTTCCTAACACAGGTATCTGTAGTTTTAACATCCGTTTCCAACACAAATAAATCAATAAAACTGTAATTTAAGGACAAAAGTTCTCAGAACTTTAACGTCCAACTTAAAATGTTTTAAACTGAATAAGCTTTTTTATTATATTATTTGATGAAAGTGATATTTGATTATTTTTACAACTAAAACCAGTCAGAAAACGTCTTTACAATCATCCCAGTCTATCAGGGGGTCTGGGTGACCAGCTGACCTTGATGCAGGGCAGCATCCAGACAATGTCCCAGAGGAAATGACAGACAGGAGTCAGCTTTGATCAACACAGGTTTATTAGCTCATCATTGGTCTGCGAGGAGACCAAGAGGCACGGATTGAACCATGAGTTAGAAAAATAAAAACCATCCTCTGATTAAAGGTAAACACCAAAGATTCGGATCAAACTGGCACTGTCACTCTGATAATTTTAAGTCCTAAACTCAGTCAAACACTCGTCTTCCTGCAAACATCACACGATCCAGCATCGCTTCAGCTTCCTGTTCTCTGAACTGTTGAACTGAACGTCCCATTTTACCCAAACGATCCACGAAGGCCCAACAAAGCCCTCTGCAGAGGAATCTACCTGTCTGGGTTCCCCCCACTGACGTCCATTATTCTCTGCATCCATCCTGTCAAACATTTCCTGCAGTTCTTAATTCCAGCAGATAACATCTGATCCATTTACTGCTTCAATAAAGATGATTCAACAAATATCCTGAGTTAATCTGTGGAGTTTAATCACAGGAATAATCAGACAAGCCCCCAGGCCCCATGGCAGCAGTTATTTTATGATTCAGGTCAGCCTGAAGTTTAACTCTGTATTTAAGATTGAAAAACATTGTGAAATTAAGAAATTCAACAGGAAGAAAATATTCTTCGTTCTGCAGTTTAAATAGTTCTTATTAAGATCAGCTCTGCTATTAGACAAGAAATCGAAGGAGAAAGTCGTAATTCCCACACTTTATTAATCCCTGAAGGCAGCAAAGAGCTGACCGGACAAAAACACCATCAATATTAGGCCTGTTTCCTGAATGTGAGACTGAAGATGTAGAAGAGTTCATTCAAGGTTGTTATGGAAACTAAAATTCATCAGACTGGTTCTGGGTTGTGTTCAGTGCTGCCTTTAGGGTCTCTGATAGTGTGGGAACTCTGAGTTTCTCCAGGTTATCAGTTTTTTTTAATCAGTGGGTGCACCTTTATCATTTTGTTTCCATATTCTTCATAAAAACATTTATTTCTGTGATTTATTTGACCAGAACTTCATCCATCGATCCATGAGGATCTGAGGCCCAAAGGGGATCAGTCTGAGCAAAGACCATCTGGTTGGATTCTGCATGATTTTGTTCTTCAGCTTAAAACTTTCAGGAGATGTTCTGCTGAATGCTCTGAACAGCGCCTCCTGCTGGACGTTCAGATCAACAGCGGAGCAGTTTAATACCACAGGGATTCTGACACTCAGCGTCCAAGTTTTCCTCCCGTTGTCTTTGGCTTTAATGGGCCACAGCTAAGCCCGGGACAAACACTGGCTCCGGCCCGTTAGGCAGCTCGCTAACACACCTGCTGCAGGTTATAATTAGAGAAACACTGAAAGTTTGAAATTTGAATCCTTAAAATAAAACTTTAATTGGCAATAATCTAGATTTTAATTAACACAAAGCACAAACACTCCTTCATGTCTCTGAAGCAGATTTCCTGCATCCTGGTTTGACCCGCTGGTTAGAGCAGGCGCTGTGTGAACCTGAACATGTTAGACAAAGCCTCCGTTTGGCTCTGTTGTGAAAATGATGAAAGCAGCAGCTTGATTAAAATTTATTCAAACTGCGACCTCTTCACGCAGAAAGTCAGTTACCGAGACAGAACCGGCACTGGGTTCGTCCACCTGTGGTTCCTGTCAGGTGTCGGAAAGAGCGTTGAGTCTCTGGAACATCTGCTGCCGGTGCTGTGGCTGCAAACAGAACCCGATGCTTTGCTCAACCTCCTGACACCGCCGCAGGAACCGGCAGCGATCCCGGGCCAGCTCCTCCCACTGACCTCGCCGGTCCTCCTCAGAGTTAATCAAGTGCTCCTCCACAGTGTCACTGAAACGGACCTGACAGAGGAGAGATCGGTGGTCAGAACACAGATGAAAATCACAGAACAGAACCAGAAATAGCTGAGCAGCAGCAACACGACCACTGCAGGAAATGTTCTGATCTCTATACCGCATTTATGACCCGTTTTGGGCCTTATAAACCATGGTATTAATTTGAGGCATTAAGCTGGACATACACTGTACTATTTTTTGGCCCTTTTCAGGCCGATTCTCCGGTTGTGTGAGAATTCTTTCGATCGTGCCGAGTTTTAGCCTCATGGTGCGTCCTGCATCATGAAGCATACGAGGGACGATTAGCCTCTCGCGACCACCTCCCGATCAGGAATTTCAAGGTCGGGAGAAAATCAAACGTTTGAAATTCAGTCGACCGTCGTAAGCAAATCCTGCTGTTGAAGCAGAGCTACGAGCTGATTTAACAGAACGTCGAGCATTGTGCATGTGCAAACAAGGGAGTTCTTCTTATTCCAGATCGAAGAGTCTGACCAGTGCCATCGCTCGGCGACCAGTCCAACATGTGGTTTTTGGACGGGCAGTGTGAGCAGTAAGATACATCAGAGCGTCGGGCTGTACAGTGTAAAAACAAACATAGTGAGCTGTGAACCTTTAAACCCTGTGGTCTCGTCGTACAGTTTGAGCTGCAATGGGTGCAACGGTTGGAAATATCGTACAGTGTATGCCCGGCTTTTGGGACAAACGTCCATGCTGATATTAACTCTGATCATTGATCGGCTGTGGCTCTCCTCTCCATTTTCAACCCCTTCCTCTCCCACAGGATAGGCAATCCTGCCTCTCATGGTGCTTTGAGGAAAAAGCAACAACTTCATGCTTCTTTTTGCTGCGAGGCTCTGAGGATCACATCGGTAGAGATGCCAACATGGAAGGTCACATGCTAAAGACCAGGATCTGCAGACTGATCAAAGCCTAAGTAGACCTGGTGGTTAATTCTAGCACCAAATGGCTGCGAAACAATTTTGCAGCAAAAATTCTGAGTTTCAGGAACTGTGGAGTGGAGCTCCGGAGAACAAAGAACACCCCTGATGTGGGTGTGCTATGCTAAGCTGCTAAATGCTGGAGAAAACTCTACCCTCTCCAAAACGCAGATCAGCAGATGCTGCAGATCTGGCACAAAATTTTAAGTTTCCAGCTAACAGTTTTTTTTTCTTCATGCATTTAATGTTGTGTAAGACCAGCAAAGAACATGTTTCGAGCTGTTCATAAAGATAAATAGCATATCATGCGTTTCATCACATTTGATTAGCATAATATTATCAAAGAGGATATTAAAATGAATTCCCTTATGTCTGCTTATTATGTAAAGGTTATGGGGATTTTTATTAAGCAAATTGTTCAATGAACCATATATTTGCATGTTTTATTAATATCATGGGTTTGCACTCCACTTGCTCTAAATAGTAAAAAGCCAACTTGACTTGATTCCAAATTCTTCTAGATAAACTTTGGTTGTCCAAGAAAAAACATGGAAAACTGTGATAACATTGAATCATTTTATTGATTATGGTTTTCAAACCTTCTGCATTCCTCCTTCTTTGTGTACAAAGTGAAGTACATGTGAAATATGTTTAACTTGGAGATGAACAATTTTTGTCCATAAACTCTTACATTTTGAAAGGACATACTGGTGAATTCATTCCAATTATGTGCGGGTTTATCTGTTTGTAGTTCTAACACAAAGCCAGGTGGGTGTGTGGACAGAAGAAGATATGACCATCTGAATATTATTTGATTGAATATAATATTTGCCATCTCTTCTGGGGTGGACAATGAATATATCATGATTGCATAACACCCATCTTCCGTTAGCTCTGCTAGCCTCTTAACATCCACCTCATTTTGAAGTAATCCTTGCCTATTTTGCATACCCAATTAGAAAAGCAAATAACTGATGAACTGTAAGCCAAAATTATGTGTTAAGTGTTTCAAAATGTAAATGAAAATTGGGGGGAGTAAAAAACAGCCCAAGCTGCACATGGCAAATTTCTCATGGTGGAATATTTTTATTATGAATATTCTGGATTACTTTTAATCTGTGGACCCTTATGGACGAATGGAGTATAAAAAATTGAAGATTGGATTTTTAAGACGGCTTTTGGATGCTTTCAAAGGTATGCTGTTGTGGCTGCTTTGTCATGTTTAAATTCTGACATGCTGCTATGTGTTAATTTGTTCCTCGCTATGTCGATAAAAATCAACTTGGCGTTTAAATTGTGAACAGTCTAAGCTTTCCAACAATATCCAACACGTTTATATTGGTAAACATTTTACCGGTGTAATTTTCATTTGTTCTGAGTTTTTAGTTGCTTTAAAACCCAGTCACCAGCAACCCAGTGGATTTTGAGAAGCTAGACCTTGAGTGGATCGGGTTCTGGGTTCTTTCATCAGCACCAGGTTGAGGTTTCTGTAGGTCCAAACAACCATAAGCTTCACTGGGATTGAGCAGAATATCAGCAGTAAGAGTTCTGGTAACTGATCCAAGGATCGTTCAGCTGCAGGCTGCTTTTTTCTCACACAGACTCTGGGTCAGCTGGAGCGAGGCTTCATGCTGCAGAAACATGAGATCCTGACACATGAAACTGAATCCTGCAGAGGCCTGAACACCCTGTGACTTCATGCTCACAGTAAACAACCTCAACAGAACCTACCATGTAAGGTTTCTGTCTGTTGAACATGTGTTGATGTTGTTAGAGGGGGTTGTTTTTTTCCTCCACAATCAATAAAAGATTCCAACAATGAATTCCTTTAAACATTTCCTCTCTGGCCAACAGATATAAAGATAGCTGAGTTGGTTCTGGTTCTAAAATGATGAAATCTCAGCTCCTGCTGACTGAAGCAACAGGAGGAGATCCGGGTGGACCGACACAATGAGCATCATTTAAGGTCAGACAGCTCTGACACCGGTCTCAGATCTCTCCTGGTACCACTATCCATTCATGTCTCCTTCTGAGGAAGATTACGGGGACAGTGGAGAGGAATGACTCCCTTTAAACAGCAGAACCAGGATCAGGATCAGTGTACGCAGCCATCTCCTTCACTGCGCAACCAATTTGAAAATGGCCCAAACTTAAAAAGACCCATGCATTGAATAAAATTATGGAATTCAGGCTGCCATAGACTAAAAAGCTACCCTGTCCTGCCTTAATTACCTGGAGAAACAGCAATCTACACAATCAGACACCAGTCTGTCTACCAGGAGATTTAACTGTAGACCTGCACAAGGCTGGGATGGACTACAGGTCAGCAGTTTGCAGAGAAAGTAACAACTACTGGTGTTATCCTTGGAAATCTGAGAAACTTAAGATGACGCCTGATCTTCCTCAGATTGGAGCTCCAGGTAATGTCTGACCATGAGAAAGCTGTTGCCAACACGCTACAGCATCATAGAATCAAATCCTGCAGCGCATACATGCCTCCCCCCATGACAGCCCATCTAGATGATCCAGAGTACCACGTGGTTTTCAGTAACATCCCTCAGTAAAATGAAAATGGTTCGATCTTCGAGGATGACGGTGACCCCCAAAACAGACAGTGCAACCAGGAAGTGGCTGTGGCCCAAATGACAAACCTGAATTTTGAAAGATATGGAGATCTTTAGGCGTATTTCTGCAGTATGCAAACAGGAGCAGCTGAGCTCAGTCACTGAAACTTTCTGTAATAAATATTTGGTTATATTTATTGTTGTCAAAAATAGTTTAAGTACCGGTAATAAAATGCTGATTATTTAATCATATAATGTGTTGTTTATGGACCTTATTTTAGATCACGTCTAACAATTAAAGTGCTTCTAAAATGTTCCTAAAATGAAAATGACATGTTTTGTTGGTGGGACAGCTAATCAAATACTTTTTTGCACTCTGTTAGACTCCGTAAGCAAGCGGCTCTGTACCTGATCACAGATTGAAGTGTTAGAGGACAGGAAGTGAGGTGATGAGCTGGACTGACCTTTTTGGGGATCTTGCAGCTTTGCTGCGTGGTGGAGGCCTCTGAGAAGCCGCTGTCCAGCCTCTCCTCAGCACCCTCCTTCCTGTACTCAGGTGGAGATGCAGTATTATGATGGAGAGCCTGAGGGATTGCACTGGTTCTGTTCTTGGTTTTAGGAGGCGGCTCAGTGGGGCCTTGAGTCCTGAGTGGAGCCTTAAAGTTTAAAGGGCTGTATGGGTCTGCAGAACAACTGAAAGAGCTCAGCAGGCGGAGACTCTCCGCTTCATCCACCTCACTGGCCGACGTTGAATCGTCCCAAGTGTCTTGGCTGGATGGAGGGGAGGCGGAGATGGGGGTAGGAGAAGACGCCAGGGGGGAATGAGGGGTGGAGGCAGGTGAGGGAGCTGTAACACTGACGGGCAGGGTGGGGGCGGTCCTGGCGGGCGGGCCTGTGTGCAGGCGGGCGGTAAAATTTCGGGGGTTGTAGGGGTCCTGACTTTGGCACAGGGAGGTCCAGAGACGCTCCGATTCTGAGTCGGGTTCACTGTCAGAGTCTGAAGCCTCATCATCCTCGTCTTCGTTTGAGGAGTCGGACAGATCAGAGGAGCCCTCGCTGTCAAAGCCGTCATCATCGTCATCATCATCAGACTCAGAGTCGGATTCTGATTGGCTGCTCTCGTCGTCGCTGCAGGGGCAGCCCATGATGAAGGCGATGCTTTTGTTTTGACACTGGGGAACGGAGACCGCCTCTTCAGGTTCAGGCTGTTCTGGGATCTCCTCCATCTGAGGGACGCTGGGCTCCAGCTGGTTCCCCTCTTCACTGGGGGCCCTCATCTGGGAAAGGAGGCCCATCTGGGAATGCTCCTCCTCTAGGCTGGAATACCCGTTATCATGCTCAGGTAAAGGAAGTCCTGCCCCTCTGCAGCCCCGCTCACCTTCCGTGAAGCCAGCTTTGTTCTGGACTCTGTGAGGGGCTTTGCTGTCATCCAGGCAGGGAGGTCCAGCGTTTTCTGGCAGCACCGACTCTAACATAGGGATGGTGTCAGTAGGGGGGGCTTTTATCTGGGCTACAGAGGGAGAACAAAGCCGGCCCGTTTCCGTCACCTCAGACAGAAGACATGTCTCTGAGCTTTCCTCTATTTGTATAAAGCTGCCCCACCAAGGCCCAATTTTACCTGCAGAGCTGCTCCTCATTGGGGGGCTCACCGGAACCAAGGGCCTCCCTCCAGCGCCTTGTACTTCCTGAGGAGTCTTCAGATTCTTGTTTATATGAGTCCTGATGGAGGAGAAATAGCTTATCTGAGGCTGCAGGTTGTGATCCATCCCAGCAGACATCCAGGACACAGGGCCGCCTATCCCTGGATCCAGGAGGCCAACACCGGGTACTCCGTCGTGTTTACATCGCGTAAATTGATGTCCCACAGGAGGCGTAAACGGCATTATTCCATTTAACTGTCGTAAAATGTCGTTCTCCTCACCGATGAAGCTGTTGCTGATCTCTGCGGGCGCTGCACCCCACAGGCGGAGTCTCCGCAGCAGAGACAGCGCGGGCCTGGACAGCAGGCCGATCCACGAGCTTTCCTGGCCGTCAAAGGTGACCGAAGCGAGCTGCGAGGAGGAAGGAGAGCCTGGGCCGCTAGGAAAACGTGCTTCACCGTTAGCGTTTCTGAACATGTTGCTGTGTTAAAGTGCAGAGTTTAAAATCTCCAGCAGCGACGCCTGCTGCTGGTCTGACAGCTGTCAAACACTTGGGCTTACAGAGCACCGGAGCGGCGCGGAAACCAGGAAATATCCTCCATAAAACCGGCGTCAGGCTTAGAGCGGTGGTCGGACTTCCTCCGTGTAGAGCCAGAGCTGAGGTAGACAATGAGGCCTGACGAGTTGGATCCGTGACATGAGGACTGGTACCGGTCTGAAAAGCGGGAAGAATCCATTCTGTCGGAATTCGGACTGCGAGGATCGGCGGCTATTCTGCTAGTTAGCACGTTAGCTTAGCCCCCGGCAGCGTACTGGCGGGTTGGTTCCCAACGGTTTAAGATTTCAAAAACAGCCTCAACACCCGCTCTGATAAACTCCTTCACCGGTTGTGTTTTTAGACTCCTCGCTGGGGTCGGTAATACTTCTCGGTGTCCGCCTGCTGTTGAGGTTGAGCCGCCGAGGTTCTCCCTGTGTCCGTCTGCCGCTCCAGATGGAGATTTCATCAGAAATTTTTACTCACCGTCCTTCCTCTTCCGGTGAGCGAGGCACGCGCTCAAGAGACAGCCGCGCCGCTCTCTTACATAAACAGCTGGAAGATGTGAGTGCCACGTGTGGATGAGTTAGACAGGTTACAGAGATGTAACAAAAAAGAAATAAAAATACAAAATAAAATTTTTTGGGACAATTATTTATTTTAAAAAAGCATGGACACAGAGAAAATATTTTATAGCACTTAATAATGATTATAAAGCGTCATAAATCTATAAAGATCTATATCCAGCCATTCAGCAAAGTACATCTTATTTAACCATTTGACCAATTAGATGAGCCCTTGAATGATAAATTACTACGGAAGAGGATTAGGGCCACTGGGGGAAAAAGTTAACTGATTTTTAAATATTATTTCAGCTTAATATGGGAAAAAAAGTCAGAATTCTGACTTTTTTTTTCTCAGAAATCGGACTTTTTTCTCAAAATTCTGATTTTATATTTAAGAATTCTGGATTTTAATGTAGATGGGCACCATGAAGGAAGAGATGTGGAACACTCAGCTTCACTGACAAAGATGTGAGTAGTTTGAGAGGACCAGTGACACATTGTTCAGTTCAGTTCAGTAGCTTTTATTTGTCCCAGTATGGGCAATTTTTGTGCAGTAGTACACCTTTCACCTGGTGGGTATTTAAAACATGAACCAGAGGGTAGAAACTGAAATTCGTTATGTAGGGGATGGGTATAATTTTCCAAAATGGACTCAGCCTTCCTGATTGGTGGAAAATGATGTAATTAGGTGACTTTTTAGGTGGCCGATGGGTCCCAGGTGATGCTATTTCATTACTGGAAACAGAAGTCGATTAAAACAAGAGCGCTAGTTTAGTCTCTAAAACAGACATGGCTTCGCCTTGATGCTAATGTGTTTTTTAGCTGAAAGAATTCATTTAGAATTTGGAGAAAAAAAGTCAGAATTCTAAGATTAAAGTCAGAATCCTGAGATTAAAGTCAGAATTGTGAGGAAAAAAAGACTTTTTTCTCATACTGAAATAAAATGTAGAAATACAGGTGCTGGTCATAAAATTAGAATATCATGAAAAAGTAGATTGATTTCAGTAATTCCATTTAAAAAGTGAAACTTGTATATTATATTCATACATTACATACAAACTCATATATTTCAGATGTTTATTTTGTTTAATTTTGATGATTACAAATGACAACAAATGAAAATCTCAAATTCATCATATCAGAAAATTAGAATATTACTGAAGACCAATAAAAACAAAGGATTTATAGAAATGTTGGCCAACTGAAAAGTATGAACATGAAAAGTATGAGCATGTACAGCACTCAGTATTTAGTTGGGCCTCCTTTGGCCTGTATTACTGCAGCAATGCGGCGTGGCATGGAGTCGATCAGTCTGTGGCACTGCTCAGGTGTTATGATAGCCCAGGTTGCTCTAATAGTGGCTTTTAGCTCTTCTGAATTGTTGGGTCTGGTGTATTGCATCTTCTTCTTCACAATACCCCATAGATTTTCTATGGGGTTAAGGTCAGGAGAGTTTGCTGGCCAATTAAGAACAGGGATACCATGGTCCTTCAACCAGGTACTGGTAGCTTTGGCACTGTGTGCAGGTGCCAAGTCCTGTTGGAAAATGAAATCTGCATCTCCAAAAAGTTGGTCAGCTGCAGGAAGCATGAAGTGCTCTAAAACTTCCTGGTATGTGGCTGCGTTGACCCTGGACCTCAGAAAACACAATGGACCAACACCAGCAGATGACATGGCACCCCAAACCATCACTTACTGTGGAAACTTTACACTGGACTTCAAGCAACGTGGATGAAGTGCCTCTCTTCTTTTCCTCCAGACTCTGGGACCTTGATTTCCAAAGGAAATGCAAAATTTACTTTCATCAGAGAACATGACTTTGGACCACTCACCAGCAGTCCAGTCCTGTTTCTCTTTAGCCCAGGCAAGACGCTTCTGACGCTGTCTGTGGTTCAAGAGTGGCTTGACACAAGGAATGCGACAGCAGAAACCCATGTCTTTCATACGTCTGTGTGTGGTGGTTCTTGAAGCACTCACTCCAGCTGCAGTCCACTCTTTGTGAATCTCCCCCACATTTTTGAATGGGTTTTGTTTCACAATCCTCTCCAGGGTGCGGTTATCTCTCTTGCTTGTACACTTTTTTCGACCACATCTTTTCCTTCCCTTCGCCTCTCTATTAATGTGCTTGGACACTGAGCTCTGTGAACAGCCAGCCTCTTTAGCGATGACCTTTTGTGTCTTGCCCTCCTTGTGCAAGGTGTCGATGGTCGTCTTTTGGACAACTGTCAAGTCAGCAGTCTTCCCCATGATTGTGTAGCCTATAGAACTAGACTGAAAGACCATTTAAAGGCTTTTGCAGGTGGTTTGAGTTAATTAGCTGATTAGAGTGTGGCACCAGGGGCCATCAATTTTGAACCTTTTCACAATATTCTAATTTTCTGATATGATGAATTTGAGATTTTCATTTGTTGTCATTTGTAATCATCAAAATTAAACAAAATAAACATCTGAAATATATGAGTTTGTATGTAATGTATGAATATAATATACAAGTTTCACTTTTTAAATGGAATTACTGAAATCAATCTACTTTTTCATGATATTCTAATTTTATGACCAGCACCTGTAAGTGAACTTTTTCATTTTTTTCAGAGGCCCTTATATCCTTCCGTACATTACCTACTGTAAATTAAGTTGGGGAAAAAGGTTACTAAGTCAAGAAAAAATTTAAAAAGCTTAAAGTTGAAAAATAAAGTTAAAAAGTTTATAAGCCTAATTAACAAGTGGCAGTATCAGCATGAATGATTCTAAGGTTATGTTGGACCAAAAAATGTGTTTCTTTTACTCTGAGTGTTTTTCATGAATTTGATATAGAAGCACTTTTGTGATTTTTCTTAATACATTCGGGCAAGTTCAGAATCAGAAATACTTTAATAATCCCAGATGGAAATTACTTTTGTTACACGCTCTAGTTACAGTTTTACATGACATATACACACATCCAACTATACAATATAATAAAGATAAAAAATAAGAATAAAAAGAGATAAAATATATATATATATATATATATATATATATATATAGCTAGTTCAAGTTGACATTTGTTATTACATTGACATTGATTTTTGCAGTCAAAATATCCATATTTTTTAAATGTACAAAACTAATAAGGTCTTCTACTGGATTCTCATAACACTATTGTATTTCACTGAGTGTGCTATAAAGGGTTAACTGTATATCTCTAATCCACTACTGATGAAGGCACAACTTATCTTCATTAAATATCTGTCAGCAAACATGAACTTGAAAACGGAAAACTTGAAATGTGCAACTGTGAAAAGAAAAACAAAAAAATAAAAACACCTCTATATACATGTCTGTGTTTATCATTTCTATTTCGGCCCATCCATGATGGTGATGATCCTATGAGGTGTGTATATCATGGCCAGATAGATGGGAGAGCTGGATGTTAATTTTTTTTTTAACAGTAAATGGTAGCGTCTCGGCTTCATTTTTGCGGAGCTGTCGATCAATTGTGACCGGCCTAATTTGGAGAGTTCTCCTCTCTCAATTCCACTGTGAGGGCGGACTGGTGTGTGCTTCGTTTTGAGAGAGGAAAATTAATGAATTAAAAAATCAGTGCCCCAGGTATACCCAGGCACTGCAGATCCACAACAGGGCACGTGCCCCTGTGAAAAGGGTCTGCTGACGCCCCTATTGGAACCAAACATACAGGTCCCAGTTCACCACCAGTTCTACCAAATTATGGTGTTAAATTGCTGCCAAAAATTAGAATTAAGAAAGTAGAATAATTGCACTATTGTGATTCCTTAATTCGCTCTCCTAATTGTTGGCAGCAATTTAACACCATACTAATCCAGCTCAGGTCATCTGACATTATGGGCAGGTCTAGCAGGTGCCAGGGTCCCTGTAGAACTGATCCCACTACTGTTATGGCCTCTGTACCATAAACATACGGTAATAAACAAATTTATGAGGAAGATATTATAATATGCAATGGAATTGAACGGAATCCCTTGGACAATATATTTTTTGTATTTTACAAATTTTTAATTGATAATTTAAAACTTAAGTTGTTTTTACTTTTAAGTTTAACTTAACTGATGATTTTTTTTGGGTGGGGGGGTGTTGCAGTACTCTAAGTGCCGATGTACGAGGGTGTAAATGTGGATTTTGGCCTGATGCGTTAGTGTAGGTATGTATATGTTCATTTACATGTATGTATGTATATGTATACATATACATATATATATATATATACACATACATATACACTCACCGGCCACTTTATTAGGTACCCCATGCTAGTAACGGGTTGGACCCCCTTTTGCCTTCAGAACTGCCTCAATTCATCGTGGCATAGATTCAACAAGGTGCTGGAAGCATTCCTCAGGGAGTTTGGTCCATATTGACATGATGGCATCACACAGTTGCCGCAGATTTGTCGGCTGCACATCCATGATGCGAATCTCCCGTTCCACCACATCCCAAAGATGCTCTATTGGATTGAGATCTGGTGACTGTGGAGGCCATTTGAGTACAGTGAACTCATTGTCATGTTCAAGAAACCAGTCTGAGATGATTCCAGCTTTATGACATGGCGCATTATCCTGCTGAAAGTAGCCATCAGAAGTTGGGTACATTGTGGTCATAAAGGGATGGACATGGTCAGCAACAATACTCAGGTAGGCTGTGGCGTTGCAACGATGCTCAATTGGTACCAAGGGACCCAAAGAGTGCCATGAAAATATTCCCCACACCATGACACCACCACCACCAGCCTGAACCGTTGATACAAGGCAGGATGGATCCATGCTTTCATGTTGTAGACGCCAAATTCTGACCCTACCATCCGAATGTTGCAGCAGAAATCGAGACTCATCAGACCAGGCAACGTTTTTCCAATCTTCTATTGTCCAATTTCGATGAGCTTGTGCAAATTGTAGCCTCAGTTTCCTGTTCTTAGCTGAAAGGAGTGGCA